AACTGTATGTACACTGGATTAGATGTACGATATCGATTTATACTATGATCATGAGAAGATATGGACTTCAGATACGCTAGTACTATAAGATTCATACTATATAAGATATAGGCTATAGATGGCACCACGGACATGGATGGCACTATAGACTTATACTTGTATTCCGACATTGACTACGGATGTTTACCATATCTGGATAGGCACCAAGATTAATGCAATATGAGCTTGTTGCTTCAGATGTGCACTTCATGATCCACGCTATAAGACACATGCTTATATCCGTGATACTAGCTACAGATACTTTATGTACTACAGACTTGTACTATATATGAGACATGCTATAGACATGCATACGATATGCTATAGACATGCCATATATCCAGATACATGCTAAAGATGTATGCTTAGCGATATACACTCAGATATGTACTATTAATATAGACTAAGAAGACTGTACCTATCGGATACATGCTACTAGATCGATATTAATTATCCTTATGGAAAGGATAGATCAGGGTACTTCGGATGAGAGTCTAATTATTCATCCAGACAGAGCTAAATCATGATTAGCTTGCTGGAGTTGTCTTTTAGCATGATTAGACATTAGTTGATCTGAGTTGACTTATTTGTCAATCTAATTAATAGAACTTTTATCCATTGTTATAGTATATAAGAAGGATCATCTACCTGGCCAGTAGAGAGACTTCAGTTTACTTTACACCTGTCAGTTTGATAATAAAATATACCTTTATCAAGTTGACTTTACTGTTTTTTTATGCTTTTTTTTTCCATGAATTTTAGTCTATAAAGCCTCAAATTCCACAGGTTCCATACTTCAATAACAAACATCACACTTTAAACCATCAAGGTTACATTAAATCATGCTATGACGATAGCTCACCCAAGCCCATCAAGGTTACTCAAATCGACCCTTATGGCCAGTGCTCTTGCGTTGTTGATTACCACTTTAAATCAAACGTCAACAACATTTGCCAGATATCGCAGTAGCAGCACCTATTGCTCTCTAACATGACTAATTCTACAAGCTAGTTGCAAATGTATAAATACTCTTCTTTTTTTTTTACCCAATTCCAGGATCTTCAGTTCATTTTATACACAAATAAAATACAGTTGATTTCTATTGTATTTTACTATTGCTTTATTTTATTTGTGAAATCTATTCAAACCTGATTTCACTGCTAGAATAAAAGCACCGATAACTTGGAGATTGAGCTCCGTACAATGCAAAACATCAGGGACATTAGACCGAATTGTAATGCACTTACTCTTCTGGCAACGCAACCCACTACACCGTCGTTTTAGGTCGAATTCTGTTCAAATCTAGCCATTTTCAAGCACGAATATCTCATGCCACAAAGCGTTTTGAGCGCTTGAAATAGCTTCACACGCCTTCTCTTGGCTACTGATTTATCAGAAATAAATTATTTATAAAAAAGAGTAAGAAATTAATCAGGTAAAGAAAATCGTTTATTACATTGAAAATAAGAGGGTTTATATACTATTCGAATTGAGGGATTTGATGTGAGGATAAAGTATTAGATGGGTTGATTTGGGTGATAGGATAATAGATCCAATCTATTATCCTGAACATGCCATGATATGGATCGTAACTGAATCCTGTTTCATGTCAAAGTTTATGATCTGATGTGATCGGTGCTTGAACTGCTTGTTTCTACGCATTTGGAGATCCGGTTTAGAAATGATACATCAAACAGTCAAAACATGGCAAGATGTATCTCTTTAAATATCAGGTGAACAATGTACACCAAAGACTTGAAATAAATACCATTGTATTTTCCTTGCAATTCTCTACAAGTTTTATATAAGCTTAAAGGGGTGTTTACTATCAAGAAACGCGTAATTTTAAGGTCGATAGATTTCGGAATCCTATGGATCATCATTCAGAACAATAGAAATTGAAGCTCCGTTGACCTTCCACATATGTACACGACACATGTATGAATTTGACTGAGCATTTTAAAAATCGGAGCGTACGAAAAGGGCCATATTAACTTACTGGTTTCAAGTTATCAATAGATACTTGACATGATGGAGAATCTTGCTTTTAAGGTTAGATAGCTGTAACTTACTTTGTTCAATAATGATAAGATTTGCAGTTTAAAGCATGCATAGTCCCCTGCTTAAAAATATCATCTCCAATGTGGATTATCTCATGAAGTAGGCATTTCCGATATAATGTTCCCACTTACAAGCTGCTTCAATATCATTATTCTACAACATATTTAAGTTTGATGATTTTCTAGTTTTTTTCTCCTATAAGGACCTGGATTTTATTTGTCAAGATTATAACTTGAGCGAGCTTTAGCAACCTGCTCCTGACTGGCCGTATCTTCCGATGTCAAAAACAGAATTTTAATCTTTTTCTTTATTTCATATTTACTAAAGAAAGAGAACATGAAAGCAGTGAAGTAAAGAAAACAAGGTCACCAAGAACGATCATTTTGACCTCTCATTGCCGTATACAATAACATGGTCTCCTTAGGAGGAGGGTTATGTTCATTCAGAGCGGCACCAACCTTTTTAAAGATGAGCAACCAGTCTCCAATCTTATCGCAAAAGTCCATTCCAAGATAACGCTTATTGTAGTTGCTCATGTTTAGCTCCCCCGTTTGATGGCGAAAGCGAAGCGTGTAAAATGCAAGGCACATTCGAAATAATGTACACTAGTTTCAATCTTCATTCAATTTTGGTTTAACTTAATAAATATATTCACAACTAACTGTATTTCTTCTGTCTTTATTTCGTTATTCTAAACAGACTTATTGAGCGCTGTAAATCCATGGGGACTGATGCTGCTGCAGCGTCAAGTAGAAAATCAAGCAATAGATGCTTCTTCTTGAATTTACGCAATGAACAGTTAATCGGAGCATATGTGGCACATAACCGTCTTGGAAAACGTCCAAAATATATGAGAAAAATGGCCTATTTAGACGCAAGTTGAGCGACAAGCATTAAAGTGGTCATTCGATTCGCATTTCAGTTCTGTACAAATTTACTATATAATGAAAACAGTGGTTACTATCAAAAAACTTGCTTGACCTTCACTTTTCAAAAGCTTTTTTTCTGACAATGATATCGATGATTCCCTTGCATTTGTCGTCTTTGAATTTAAATACGTAATGTTTATAATAAAACAAGAGGCTTTAGTACAGTGGACAAGGCGTATTTGCCTTTGTTAGAAGGGCCACAAGCTCGACTCGGGGCAGCCGCCGTTAGAGCTAGGTTTTACTATATTTCTTGCAAAGCAATGTTAGTTATGCACAAGCTTTATGTGTAATTTTTTTATTATTGCTATGTTTTACAGAATTGACATTCTACGGCTTTGAACGATTACACATTCGAGGCAAATTTGAGTCAACTCCCTATTTCTAATTGGATGAAGCTTGCTGGAGCTAAAGATATAATAGAAGGTATAGTCTACTGTCATCAAATTTCGATGCATCATGATGCCACGTGTATGGCAATCGTGCCATGTTCTTCATGGTCATTACTTGAGATGGCACTATGTACTTATGGCCAATCAGATAAGCAGTGCTACAGTCTTAATGTGACACCTTAGACGAAAAACGCAAAAATGTAAAGTCTGAGCAGGCTGACAGCTTCCGATGTGCCATAAGAACATGAGGCTGGTGCGAATTGCAATGTATTTAATAGCACACTCAAGATGAAAATAACAAACATGACATGTCTGAGCAGGCTAGCAACCTCTTGGGTGAGTTGATAGCACAAACTGTTGCAGATCAATAATCATTGGTCTCGTCAATTGATGGTGTATAGTACAGTCTCCCTTGAGCATTATATATAGCGCACAATTCTATGGCCACATCCACATTAGCATTTGGGCTCTAAAGCTATATCACCCGGCGCCTGCCAAGCCAAGATGAAGAAATAAATTTTACACTAGTTTTCTGGCTCTGATGCTCACACAGGTTTAAAAGATTTAGCAACAGGTATTCAAATACAGTAGAGTATTGATATGAAAGGAATATAGTTATGGATAATGTTTCGCATACAAAAAGTTTAAACAAACGTTACATATCATACCAGATGTTGTATAGCTGGCAAAGAGTTCCTTAATTACCTCTTGTGTAAAAACTGGTCGATAAATGTGCTGGCTGGGATGTTATAATCCAAGCATAACATACTCTTTCTCTGAAATGCTATTTATGTACAGCTGTTTAATCTGTTATAGACTAATTGTATTGCTAATTTCACCAGTAGAAAAACCAAATCTTCAACGAGACTTCGAAGAAGGTTTAGCTCAAGCAACACTACAAATCACCACGAGGTAACAACCGCTTCCATAAACCGGTAGTATTCACTGGGGAATGTAAGGAGAAGTCCTATGTAGGTACCACAACATCAGGGTTAATAAGCTGCCTAGCGTAATTACAAATTAAATCGTCAGCCTTTGGCTGAGCACTCACTAGAAAATAAGGACCAAAGACTGGCATACACTGCATGCTAGAGACAAAATGCACTGTGGAAATTGAAGTGTTGTAAATTGTTTGTATACTTCTGGTAAAGAAACGGCTTCTTTGATCCCAGCCATTTGTTTCAACAAGAAGGATATCATCTACTGTATTTGGTATGGCCAGACCAGGGGCATCGCAAAAGAAAATCTTGTTATATAAACCGTGAAAGTATCACTCTAAGCATCGATCAGTATTATGATAAGGATTGAGGCTGATGGATACTATTCTTGCAGAGGCGGATAGCTGCATTACGATCAAACACATCGTCGATGGTCTGCAGTGGTGTACAGATATGATACAAACATCTCTTTCTTTTGCAAGCTTATTACAAATGGACAAATTTCAAATGACCACTATGATTACAACTCGGAGAGATTATTTTTAATAATTTTCTGTCAATATAAAGACGGATGCAGTATTATTTATCCATTATAGAAACTATTTATACACACACACACACACACACACACACACACACACAACATGCCAAGTTCCAGAGAAAAAGAAGATTCGAAAAAGGAGTTCCAGGAGGAAGGGAAAAAGCCAAAAAGTAGCTGATTAATTGTAACAACGAATGCGCGATTACTGATGCTTCATCTTGTACTAGTTTCAGAGCATGTCATAGCAAAATTACCTCCAGTGGATCAGATTGATACAGAAAACAAGAGCAAAAAGAACAGGCAAAAAGAAAAAGACAGCATACCTTCTGCCAAAGCAACTACTGCGGCGACACCAGCAGCCATACCAACACCCGCATCTCTACAGCCAGCAGAGCAGCAACCAGCAGAGCAGCAATCAGTGGCCATGGTTCAGATGGGCGGTGGATTGCCAGCATTGCCACCTAGACCATCAGTGCCACAAAGACAGGCGCAAGCCTCCGTTTCATCTGCATTTTCCAATGGTAAAATAGCACAAAGACTACCCAACGTCAAACAAGTGTCAACACCACAATTCAATGTTCCCGCAGGCAGTGATTTGGGTGCAGTAGGTAAAATTGGAGCGTATCAGATGGCACAAATAAAACCTAAAAATACATCATCTGCCACACAAATACATACAAACATGATTTTCTGGGTTTGTGCATTACTCTTTGTCACCATGTTCATTATGAAGAAACAATAAAAATTTAGTTTGCACTGCCTTATTATGAAAATGCTTGTGCATCTTAAATTTGACGTAAAGCTTATGTTATGTAGCTAGAATGTTTTTTTTTTTGTGAGCATTCCACGTGGTTGGCTATGAAATAAGGAGATGGCGTCAACTATAGTTGGCCTGTTCTTTATAGACAAATTGACATGCAATCTACTCTATAGAACTTGTCTTTTTTTCATTTGTTCATGGACCCAAAATGATTATATCACTATTAACGATAGTAACAATAAGGGATTGTGCCACACCAAGGGTGATGATGTACATGATGAACAAACAAAAAGTAAGGGAACAAGAAGGGAATGAAGAATCCAGTCTGTATCAAAATCAATTGGAATTTGAGGGGATTTGAAAGGGGAAAGGATGGGGGGCATCCAGTAAAGGGGGACGGGCTGAAGAGCGTGTAATACTCAAAGAGAACAGTAAGAAAAAGGGGCCGTATAAACAGTATAAAAATCAATCATTTTTCTCATGTTCTTTGTGTTCTTTACATATACATACAAATCGATAACAATAACAATAAATGACCCATCAATCTCTTAACATTGCACTTCCCTCCATCCACCGTATTCAAAAGCGAGAACATAAGGTGATGCATCGTCATAGCCACGAGCAACAACAACAACAGCCATTACACTTTAAGCTGTCTCGAAGCCATGTCCGTACAACATCTGTGCCTTCTGTATTGCCCAGTCAGCAGCAAAACCAAAAGGACCGCATGAACATTCTCCTCGATGCTATTGATTTGGATCAACAAATGCGCCAATTTTTCAAGACTGAAATCATGAAATGTAAAAACCGCACGAGTTCTGCATTTGTTCCACCTTCCATCATGATGGCTAGACGTCGATCAAAGTCTGCTCCCGGTGCCCCACCCTCTTACCACCAACAACGTGCTTTCAATTCTCGTTGGATAGCTCCCAACTGTAATAACCGCACTGTCACTTGTGCATCTCAGGCACAAGAAGTTGCTCAATTCATCGTCAAGCAACATTTTGAATCTGTCAAGAAAAGATAAGGGACATTTCAAGTTCTTTTTCAATATACCACCTATGACACGATTTCTATCCAACAGCAGTACTTTTTTTTCTCACATTCCATTCATTACACATTCACTCATTTCATTTTTTTTCTTATTGTAATTCTTGGTCCATTTTTTTGCTATAATTATCCATGCTCTATTTTTTTTTTTTCTTATTTGATCATATCACATACATTATCAGTTTTTATACAAGTAGTATCCCTTTATTTCCTCTCTCTCCCTCAATATCATGTAGTAGTTGCTAAATCATTTCTCATTTCTTATTTTTATTATTACTATTATTATTATTAAAGACAACTTTGAAAATATTGTATATTTTGACGGGTTTGAAACATGAATTCAGGCACAATGTTCACCCTTCATTCTTGACGTGTTTTCCTGGTAAATCAGGATCATCGAGCTCCTGCCTAAAAGTTCATTATAGGTTATTACGCCTCCCCCCTTTTAAATTGAGCTCCCCCTTTCTCCTCAACATTCCAATCGCCATGTATAGAATAGCACAAGTCATTTATTATATAGTAACATTTCAATTCAAGGATACACCTTGACAGCTTCAGCCATGATACGATCCAGCTCCTGAAAAAAAAATACAAATAAACCATGAATCATCATGACATGTATACATCGTGTGCCCAATATTTACCTTTTCCAACTGATCTAGTCTCGTCTGACTATCTTTAAAGACTTCACTGATTTCGCTTCGAATCTGGTAGGATGATTGTCTTGCAGGCTGTGTTGGTTTTTCGAGCTGAGCTGCACCACGAATAATGACCATCAGATCATTCATGCCAAAATCATTGCAAAACAGCATGGATTCAGTGGATTCAGGACGAGGGCGTTGCTTTTGTGACGGAGGTGGTGGAGGTGATTGGAGTTGAGGCTGTAGCTGTTGTTGTTGTTGTTGTTGATGATGAAGGGGGGGAGCCATAGGTGGAGGAGTTGTGGGTGTAAGGGTATCGATTGCCTCATCTAATTGAGATAACACATCTTCGTTGGAATCAGGTGAAGATGAAAGGACAGGTTTACTTTCAAACATGGCGTCTTCAGGGCTGCTCATCATATCACGCGTATCGAGTACGATTTGAGGCTGGTATTGTGGAAGCGGCTGCTGAGTGAACCCATCTGTGGGTGTCGTCTCTTGGCGAGGCATAGGTGTATCTTGTCGCATCATCACACGGTGAGGCTTTTTATGTTGCTGGTGCTGCTCCTCCTGATGATGAGGCTGGTATTCCCTGTCATCATTCGTGCACTTGAGGATAAAAAACGTCTCCGTCTTTTCGGGAGGCGTGATATTGACTGTAATAGAGCTTCTATCTGGATTACTGTTGCGGCGATAGTGGATAGGTGGCACTTGATCAACGCCGAATGTGTCCAACAGCTTGTCTGTGGTATCGAGTAAATGCTCTTGACCGTCTCTGTTGATGTATAGTTGATACTTGACAAGTTCGTCGTCGCCATCCAAGCGCAGTGATTCAATGTCATTTGTAGTTGAACCAGCTACAATGCCATTTAAAATGTGGAATTTCTCCAACAGCAATGTCACAGCGTCCTTGATCAAAATGTTCGATGGAATCTTGACAAGCTTATCCACTCTTTTAGATTGATCTGCATTGTAATGTTGTTGTTGTTGTGGTGGTGGTGGTTGAGAAGGAAATAAGGACACTTTGATTTGAATTTCACCATCTTCGATTCGCTTTGTTTTGGAAAACAAAAAGAACTGGACTTGATCTGGCTGTTGGTGCATTGTTTCCTTGGTGGGGCCTCCAATATGCGTATTGTCGCTGCCCATCAGTTGCGAAATACGTCTAGCCTTTTTGAGCGATGGCATAGGTGTATTCAAATGAGCTGTCAGGGAGTGGAAGATCTCTAGCGGCTTATCGGATGGCACCAGCGTAAACTCATCACCACCCGGCGTTTTGACAATCACGTAGTAGTCATGGTAGGCCACCATATTCTCTTCCATCAACACGGCATCATCACTATCATCCTTGGAACGATGAATGACTTGATGGATGAGCTCCAGTGCAGTCGTAGAGGGGTAGATCAAGGCAAGTCTGTAGACCTCATGACCAAAATCAGTGATATTTCCAGCGTAAATCTTGAGCTGAGTGGGTTGCACTGCAGCTGCAGCAGTCATGATGGAGGAATCCAAGCTGCCTTGACGATCACGATCAAAGGACATCATCCCAGTCGACTGGGAGCTGATGGACGCTGTCTCATAGTTGGATCCACCGGACAATTGTCTCTCCAAACTCGACTGTGTAGCTAATTTCTTGCTCTTTTTGCTTTCTTTGCTGCTACCACCACTGCTACTACTGCTTCTGCTAAAAAACTTGCGAATACCTGACTTCTCCTTCTTGCCACTATTGCTATCTTTAGAGTTACGACGCTGCTGTTCTTGTACAGAAGGTTCAGGCGATGCAGATGGGCCAAGTAGTTTGTCCAGTTTGGCTGCCTTTTTCAATTTGGATTGAATGCTGCTGTCAGAGTTGCGTTGTTGGTCATCGTAGCCGCGTGCAATAGAGGGCGTCAGTGAGATTTTGATGGTCTCGTCTTCCAGATTCAATGTATTTCTATCCATGTCGCGGGCAACGTGATCTTCTAGGTCATTGATAATGTCAGAGTCATTGCTGATTTGGTTGTATTGATCGATGGGATCAGTGTAATGCGTGTTGTTGTTGCTGTGATGGACGTAGCTGGTATTATTGATAGGTTTGGTGTTGATTAGAGATCGTCTCTGTTGTTGTTGTTGTTGTTGTTGGTAGGTTGCGGTTTCTGCTACTGTTGCTGCTTCATTTCCCCCGCGAGAAGGCGAATACAGGTCAGCTTGGTCAGAGTAGCTCTGGTTATGGTCATCATAATAGTTGTATGGGTCATCGCTATCTTCATCTGAATCCTGGTCGTCCGTCTCTGAGTCATCGGAGCGCATCTTTTCATCCCATTGCTCAAACTCTGCTTCGAAATCCTCTTCATCATCGCTGGATCCATAGATGATTTGAGACTGGAACTGCACACCTTTAGCAAGTGTCACCCGCTTTCTCTTCTTGAGCTTATTAGAGGGTGGTGTTGGGAAGGCATCTTGGATATCTTTTCGAGTGAGCTAAAGACTCGAGCTAATTAGGTTTTGTCGTACACAGAAAAATAGCTTGATCCACTTACTTCAATGTTGCGATGAGAATTCAGTCTAGCCAATCTTTCGTGTGGTGTCTATATGGCCCTTTCTGTTGAATATGAGAAAGCAGATTGTGTGTGTGTTTTCAGTTACCTCAATGTTTTCAGCAGGAATGTAACCTACTTCAGCTGTTTTCAGCACCTTGACAAGCCACCAGTACGAATTACTGTCATCCAGCAATGTTAAAGCATCTCCTCTGACGACCGAAGCTTGACCTTCTACTGTAGCAGCAAACGTATGGAGTGCGTACACCATATCAAAATCGATATTTGGATCAGGTATACTCAATTCTGAACCAGTGTCATCTTGGTCATCATCCTGCTGTTGTTGAAGATCATCAAGATCTTCATCATATTCTTCATAAACGTCGTCGTCGTCTGTCGCTGTATAAAGTTGGTAGTCTTCCATATCATCATCATAGAGCGAGTGGTGCTGAATCTGTCCAATGTGATTACTGTCTGCAGTATCACCTCGATAGCCTGTAAGGCGTCTACTATCCTTTGTTGAAGCTGATGGCATGTGTTGTAAAAGAGTGGAAGGGGGAAGTGCAAGTGTTTAGTGAGAACGGAAAAAGAGAGAGTGAGAGTGTAATTCTTGTAAATGAGAGAAAGGGGGATTTGTATGTAGAATAAGGCGGAGAAGGTATTACGAGGTTAATAAGGATTTCGACACCATATTTGGTAGCACAATGTTCACTTGTGCTTCATTGAATTTTAATTGAGGAAAGAAAGGTGTGAGCTAATTCTCCTTTATTTGGTACAAGTGTGTCTTCACTTCAGTGAGAACTAACCTACTCAGCGACAGCTCATGCTACCGATTGCCCTTGTTCATCTTGTTAAAATACTGCTACTTTCATTTTAACTCTCTACTTACACGAGAACCCTTCCTATTATCTGCAGATCTGACTTTTATACGATATCCTACATCCGTATACACGTAATTACTTTATATACGAGCAAGCAGCATACTGCTATTACCCCTATTTAGTCAAGTGTATGCCTATACAGCAAAAACGGGGTACATGCAAGCCATGATTTCTTGCGCTAGAAGCCATTTTAGACCGCCAGAGTAGCACCAAACAGTTGCTCTTATCTGGCATTTACTTCCTGACACCTTTGCTCAACTTTTTGAGGACCAAAAAAAAACATGACCAAGATTCGACCAAAAAGCATGAGGTACCCCTCATGGTTTTCATCGAAAATTAAACGATCTCGTTCTTCACCTTGAAAATGAAGACTTTTACTATAGCATATATTGAATCGAAATGTTTCTCTCGATCCAAAGCAACCCTCGAAACTTTATTTGCGAGACGTTCAAATGCAAAATCTCGATATTTAGGCCAAAAACCTCATTTCGTATCTTTGCGGATTGCTCAATAAGTTTACTCAAAACACCTGTTTTATTTGGTACCATTGGATGCGCCTTGAAAAGCACTTCTAAACATCTTAGAGAAGTATTTTTTTTTTTTTTTTTTTTTTTTTTGTAGGGGAGTCGAGCTCCAGGTTTTATTTAAAGTCCTTTAAATGTCATACTGAGGGATAGAAAAGACTGTTGGTGGACCCAATGTCTGCAAAGAAGGGGAATAAGAATTTTTGAACTAAGTTGGGAAAGAAATCTACTACTAATAAGGTGCGAAACCTAGAGCCAATGCAATCTTGCGGAAATCGTCAAAAATAGATAATGGATAAGAATACAAAACACCGAACGAGGACATCAGTACTACGTCAAAAAATCAGACAACTTGCGTTCACCAGGATTTGAACCGGGGATCCTCCCGTTGGCATACGGGAGTTCTACCACTTCGCCCTACCACCAGGGACATCTTAGAGAAGTATGGGGTGGTCAGCAAGTTTTTATAGTCGAATCTTGGAAAATACCTCGATCAAGTCGAAAATTGTTGAAATCTGGCCAATCTAAAACAGAAAGTGTTAGTCTGAGTTGGAATTACATTTAGCTTGGTGGGGCAGGCAGGGAAACTCAATGCCCCTCTAACCAAAAGGTAATGATGGATACTTTTAAAGACAATACAAAGTAGGTGGCGAATTACATAATGCTATCTTGGTCATGCTTTTGAAGCCTTGCGTATAATAACGCCAGTCCACCGAAACACTTGTAAGATCAGCTTCTTTCCTTTTTAAGGCTTCGAAAATGTGCAGAGACAATTAAATTTACTATGTTCTATTGTACCATTTCCCACACTACTAACCTATTTCCTCCCCTGAAGATCATGAATATCTATGCACCCGTCACTACTCCAGATAGATATATCTTTTATGATCAGTTACTTCAACGCTCCTTCTTCCAAACTCTCGTCACCAACATGAACACGGCGGAAGGTCTACACAACAATCACCTGTCTAATGTCACCGATGCCCCATCTATAGTCGTTGGTGATTTTAATTACAATTTCCGCCAATACCGTCCACCATCTATTGTCAAACCAGCTAGCATTCAATCACAATGGCTATTTCATTCGATGCTCACCCACTACTATCAGGAAAGTACTCATGAATTAATCCACGAACCTCAAGTACCTACCTTTCGTCGCAACACTACGTTCACTACCATCGATTATATGTTCTTGAATCCTCAACTGATGGACTTCCGTACTGACCAGTTTGTCCACTTTGTCCACTCGGACTGGACTGACCATGCGATGCTGTCTACCCAACTAACTTTTGATAATCCAGATCTCGGTAAAGGTCTGTGGCGAGCCAATCCACAATTAGTCCACAACGAATACTTCTGCCAACGCCTGTTCACAAAGCTTGACGATTTCCACACCCTTCTCGCTTCCAATGCTAATGATCTCACTCCACAAGTCATTTGGGATCAAATCAAGGAATTAACTCGACAGGTAGCCAAATCTTGTAGTCGTCGTCAATCGGAATGGCGTCGCCGTCTACTTCGTCGTCTCCAAAGCAAGCGGAACAAGCTGCTACGACTCTACAAAACGACTCAAGTACGCAATGATCGCCTTCCCAAGATCGAATCAATGATAGGTAACCTACAACAAGAATTGGCTGATATTCAAGCTTTACGCTCCGGCATCAAATGGCGTGAACACGGGGAGAAATCCGCTGGTTTCCTCAAGCGTCTTACATCCCAGCGATCCCAACAACGAGCCATCCCCACTCTTCAACACCCCATCTCCTCCTCCGATTGTGCGACTACAAAGGACAAACAGGCAGCTGCGGTAGCTTACTACGAACGGCTCTACACTGCGGATATAGTGGACACCGAAGCGATTCGCTACTTTACTAATCAGATTCCTCATACTGACAAAATTCTAGATTCAGACCACCCGTCATTATGTGCTCCATTTACCCTCGATGAATTAGTCGAAGCCGGTACTCGGGCTCCTAAACAATCTAGTCCTGGCATTGATTCCCTACCATATGCCATAATACAACTGCTTTTCACCCACCCACTCACCGCTGCCATTGCTCTCCGTGTTTATTCTGACGCCTTGTCAAACGGCGTATTCCCGCAATCGTGGCAAGAAACTTGTCTGGTCTTGCTCCCTAAGAAAGGTGATCTTGCCTTGTTGCAGAACTGGCGTCCCATTAGTCTTATCTGTTGTGATGCCAAAATCTTCACTCGGCTGTTGAATGCTCGGCTCATGCTCCACTTTGGCACACGATTGACCACCTCACAATCCGGCTTCATGCCCCATCGCTTTATTGGCGAACCAGCCATGACCCTACATTGCGCTCTGTCCCTCGCCACTGCCACCCATTCTACGTCAATCGCCTTGTTGTTAGATCAAGAAAAAGCATATGACCGTGTCAACTTGGAGTACCTCACCGCTGTACTCACAGCTTTTAACATGCCATCTTCTCTAATCTCATCACTGCTTTCTTTGTTTACTAACACGCAGGTACGGGTCAACATCAACGGATTTCTCTCTGAAGCATTTCCAACCCAACGTGGTATGAGACAGGGTGACCCTATCAGTCCTTTGCTTTTCAATATCATCTTCGACCCCTTCCTCCGTGCCATCAACCAACATCAAAACATACTTGGGTTTGACTTTACACGCATTGCAGCCACTAATCCTCGTTTTTCCTCCCCTCTCGCTGACAATGTTCCTCTCGCAGATCCAGTCAAAGTCCTGGCATATGCCGATGACACACTAGTTTTCCTCAACGATCTTAGTGAATTCCACCAACTTCAACAGTTGATAAATAAGTATGCCGCCGCGTCCAATGCCTCTCTCAACTATCACAAGACGCAAGCATTGTCTCTCTCTGGTGTACCGCACGAATCCTGGATTCTCGGCCTTCGCGCGTCTGGTATCTCGTCTTGGCATGACCAGAATGCTACCGCTCCCATCATCTATCTCGGATACCCTATTTGTTCATCTACCGCTCAAAAGAACTCATATTTCGATGCTCTTCTCACTCGTCTCCGGGACTTTTGTCGCCTTCATTCGGTACGCAACCTTACCTTTCGAGGACGGGTTACTGTTCTCAATTCACTCTTGTTCTCTAAAGTGTGGCATATTGCACGCTTGTTTCCTTTTTCGGCTAACGATATTCACAAGCTACAACAGCTGGGCGCCTCGTTCGTTAACCAAAATGCCAAACTAACTCGATTCTCTTTCGCTACTCTCTGCCTCCCTCGTTCTCATGGCGGCCTTGGTCTTTTGGATCCTGCTGTGCAGATCAACGCCCTTCAGTGGCGCTGGCTTCATCCACTTTTGCACCCATCCGATCCCACTCCTCCTACCAAGACTTCTCTTCCTTATCTCCGTGTCATCCTCAACTTCTTCCTCGCTACTCCCTCATACCCCACCTACCACTGGTCTCTCCTCTTTCCTGCCTGTAGGCCATCAAGCGCCAGAAAGGTCATCGCTCCTCTCTACAACATTCTTCGCGCCGTAGATACCATTGTTCGTAAGTTTGGTGTCTGTCATGTTTCCTTCAGTACTTGTCTACGCCTGCCATTTTCGACCTTGGTTGAACATAACCTTCCACCCAACCATAGCTTATCGCCTACATTTCGCTCACCAAAGGAAGTGGTAAAACACTACCCCAGAGTGCTTCAACTTACAGGTAATGATGTTTTCATCTTTGATACCACCACTCAAGCTCTTCAACTTCGCACTTCGGTCATCGGCCTACCCCACCAACCCACCAGCTTACGCGCTATCAATTTTCTTCAGGCTCAAAACCTACTGCTCACCAACTTCATTCACTTCAACATGTTGCTCCTTGTCCCTCGTCCAAACATCACACATATCGACCTCTCCACCATCACCAACTATTCCGATAGTATCAGCCTCGTATCCACCCTTCTACTCTCTTTATTGGCAACTTCATTTTCTTTTGAGTCTCATTCATTCCTTTTATCCCTCCCTACTAATCAAGGATTCAAATCCCTCCCCCTTCACACTAACCCTTCCTCTTATTCGTCCCCTTTAGGTGTTGCCAAATGGAAGCAGTTTTGGACTCTCCAGATTCCTTTGAATGCTCGCAATACTTGGTTCCGGATCCTTCATGAAAAAGTTACTACTCGTCAATTATTACATCAACGGCTTCGCGATTCATTTACCCCGTACTGTCCTCACTGTCAGTCTTCGTCATCCACAATCCCCACCATCATCGAAGATACTGAGCACTTCCTCTTTTCCTGTCCTCGAAAATTGGACGTCTGGCGACAAACTCTCTCTCTTTACATCTCACCTCGATTCTCTTACTTTGCGTACGGGGAATACATTGCCATCCTCCACCTTCGCCTCGATATTGACCGCTCATCTCATGAACTTTTTCCTGCATTATCCGTGTTCCAGGTCTTTGCTTGCATCCAACAGGCTATCTGGTCTGCTCATTACCGCCAAGTTTTCCAGCACGTCCCTTTCATCCCGTCTACTGTCATCCACTCCATTCATCGTACTCTCCTCAATTTAGACTCCCAACTTTCCTTCGATACAATTATCTGAGCTTCCCCTTATATCCTCCAGTCTTTATATCCCCTCCCTCTATATTAGGTGACGATTTAAGGACTTTAAATAAAAACAGAAGTGCCTACTTCCTTATAAAAAAAATAAATTTACTATGTTGCAATGATACAGATGTTCCTCCAGAGGGATTTGCTCTATCAGCCAAGTTGAACATTTTTCCTTGTATAAATACAATTCTTATCGGTTACATACTGAGTGCTCTTTTCTACAAAGCAACGCACGTATAGACGACAGATGCCTCGGCAGAGATCCATAATCGATCTACTTTACTGGCAAATCAGTGCCTTATTGTGAACACCCAAACAAGTTATTCATGCTTGCTCTCTCGATATATAAATAAGGATGCAAGATCAAGTCGCAATTGATCCGTGTTTCCCGGACATCCATTGGGCCTTTCTGCAGTAGTAACCAAATGTAGGTGAGACTACAGATCAAAATAAGCCAGCACATTGCCTCTGAACTGTGTGATCTTTTTTTTTTTTTTTTTTTTTTGACGCCAATGGCTCTAGTAGTAACAGTATTGGAAGAAAATGTCTATACTCCATTGCAAGCATTGCCTGACATTTGTACAAACCAACAGGCACACGAATCCATATAACTTACCATACTAAATAGGCATCACACAGCCTCAGATGCCTGTTTACCAAACATGCTTTAACTCTTTTATTTTTTGTTACTAGTACTACAACCAATCATTGTTTTGAATAAATTACTAATTCGAGGTTTATACTATTTTGGTGGTCTTCCCAAAATGATTCTATGTTGTTATATTACATGCCAATGAGGAACGTTATAATCAGAACTGTCAGAACATGTATGGATGACTGTAAGGATTGCCATTATTATAGGGCATCATGAGCTGATGTTGGTGCTGCGGAAAGTAGGGAGTCATGGGCGTAGGTCCCATGATGTGTTGATTGGCAAACAATGGATTCTGTTGCTGCATCATCATCATTTGTTGCTGCTGTTGCTGCTGTTGCATGAGAGAGCTATTCATCAACATCATGGTATATGGATCTTGCTGCTGCATCATGTTCAAACCACCTGCACCAAATGGCATCATCATCTGAGGTGGAGGAGGAAGCATCATGTTGGGAGGAGGAGGAGGAGGCATGTACTGTGATGGTGGAAATGGCGGCGGTGGAAATGGTGCCATCATCATTTGTGGCCCTGGAGGTAACATGTATTCTGGTTGTTGCTGTGGATAATAGTAGCTCACTGCTTGTTGAGGCGGTGCAGCTATGGGCGTCTGTTGCGCTTGCACGGGCTGTTGCGCTTGTTGTTGAGCAGCTACCATTTGCTGTGCTTGTTCAGGATCCAATTGCTGTTGGTTTTGATTGTGATGGTCTTTCCAATATTGATAGCCTAAAGCCAAAGCGCCTGCTATGCCAGCATTTCTCCAGAAATGAATATTGTTCTTTTCATGATCCTCATCATATCGATTCAATAGCGCATCTGCTCCAGCAAATGTAGCGGCATTTGTCAACCAATCCATTGGACCTGAGCCAAAAATGCTGCCGCCATTATTACTGTTGTTGTTGTTGTTGTTGTTGTTGTTGTGAGTCGCCATGTAGCCTTGAAGCAGATTATTAACGAGTGAGCCCATCTGTTGCTATTTGTGTTTGTTATTATGGAGACAGAAAAAGTAAAAGGAAAAGAGAAATAGTCATTCTGACCCGAGATTCTTGAAATTCATGATTTATAGCAGTTACTAAAAACAATCAACAACAAACAACAAATGGGTATACTAAATGACATCAGTAGCACAAATGTTTAAACGGGTAAATGTTGATAATATTAATATGGATACAGAAAATTACTACACTACAAACTACAAGCCATCTTCATCTTCATCTACAGACGGTGATCTGCCAAAGACCCTGCCAGAACCAATCACTATTTTGGACGACGAGGAGCCGCCATGAAGCGTGGCGCGAGGGAATTCACCACCAGGAGAGGACGATGAAGATGAAGTGGTTCTGTTTAAACGACTACTGCCTTTGACAGAATTCAGCGTCAAAGCATCACTGTTATCATATTCGTCATCATCTACGCTCATGCCACGGATGCCATCCAGCATGTTTCTATTTGCTCTCTCCATCTTTCGTCTCTTTTCTCTCCAGTATTCAGCCAGTGTTTGGTTTCTTTGTTGGACATGTTTCTTGGTCAAGAAGGGCTTGAGCCACTTCTCGTCAAATGAGACGAACCAGTGCGGTGGTCTGTCTTCGGGAATGGGCTCTCCTAAAGGCCCTGATAGCAATCCGCCTATCGATATATCATTGTAGTCTTGGTGTCTGCCTTTGCGTCTTCGTTGGTGCTGTTGTCCAGTTTCTAGCAAGTCGCCATCTTCAACAGGGTCCAGCAAGCGCTCCTCTGACGGATCATCTGTATTGAGTCTGTTGTACTTTTTGCCCTGTTTATTGCGCTGTGGGGTGAGTTTGTCATCTTCCTCCTCCTCATTCTCACTTGCAGAATCATCCGGTTCAATAACACCTGTCTTTACATCCAAGACTTGAAGCATTCGGCTAGTTGTACCACCAAACAGTAGCACGGTGAGCACGACCACTGCCAGGATTGTTGTACGCATGGCAGGAGCACTGTCGCCTGTGATACCAGATGCTAACGCAAACGCAACAGCACCTCTTAATCCAGCCCAGAACAGCATCATTTGATGATTTCTTGGAAGCTGATCAGGTTTACCGAGTGCTCTGCACACTGCATTGATCATCATGGATAAAGGAGCTACTGAGGCATATCTAGCTACACAGATAAATGCCTATTTCAAACGTCAGTCTTCTTTATCCATTCGACAGGGTATCAATCAATACACACCAACGTAGCCAGGATGAATAATGGTTTGTAGTCGAGATTGTCTTGCGTGAATAAGTTGATGCCAAGGTAGATGAAGATAAAGTTCTCTGACAGTTGCGATAATATTTGAAACATGAATTTGGTGGCTCGTTTACTTCTGATTGACAAATTATCGTAGGCGTAATGCTTCAGGGTGATGCCAGTGAAAAGCAGAGTGACGATACCAGACATTTGAGTGCCATTCGAAAAAAAGTAGCTGCTGTAAGCCATCAACAACACCAAGCAAGATTCAATGCTGGAGAAACGACTCAACTGCGAGTACTTCAACATCAAGGCGACGACTACACCGAATAGAATGCCAATGAATGTAGAAGCCCAAAACACACCCAAAAAGAGGCCAATGCCCTTAAAGATGTTTACCACATGCAACTCTTGGCCACGAAACTTACGTAGGGTACTGTATAATCCAGTGAGTGACATGAAAGTGATCCCATGTTATCTTGAATCCTTACTCTGACAGCACAATAGCAACTGCATCGTTCAGAAGCGACTCACCCGAGATGATAGAAAAGAGCTGTGGATCCACATGAAGTTGGTTGAAAATGGCCAAGATGGTGACAGGATCTGTTGCTGATAAAATGGATCCAAAAATCATGCTGTCCAAAAATGAAATGTTGATGCCCTCTGGTTTTAAGAATGCGTAGAGATAGGTAAAGACACTGCAGGTAGTATAAACTAAGTACAACACACACTCTTTTCTCTGTTGCTTGTATATAATTTACCCTGTAACAACAGCAGCAATAAATGTGCCTGCCATTGCAAATGTCAGAATCGTACCAAAGTTGAGAAAGAAATTTCGCTATGCAAGCATGTCAGATTTCTAAGCTCATCATCCATGTACGCTTCTCATTGGTATATATATTTACTCTTTTCAGCTCGTAGCCCGAGTTGAGAATGATAGGCGGCAGCAGCAAATTGAAGAAGAAGCCTTGCTTGAACTTGACCATATCTTGAATAATAGTGCCCGGCGCTAGTTTGATCACTAAACCTACAATCATACCTATAAAAAATTCCTCGCATGTTTACTATCACCCTCCTACTGTACATGACATATATATATATATATATATATATATATCCATACCAGCCATAATGGATATTACGGTTTCATGAACTGCTCGAATCTTTCGAAGTTGTAGAAAGTAACTGGTCCATAATGCTCCAATAAGCAATGTCATTAGAATCAACAGTGCCCAGGAAGAATACATCTCTTCTTCTAAAGGTTGATCAGTTCCATCGTCTATTGGAAGTGTACTATTTGTATCTGGATCCATCTTTTCAAGGCGGTAATATATTGTTAAAAGTTGATGAAGGAAAACAAGGCGAATTAACAAGAAAGCCAAGACTATCTAAACTTCCACACAAACAGCATGAAGTGGGAGTCACGAAATGTATAATCAAACCAACATTTGTAAGCGGAGATAACAGGTCTGATCATTGTCTCCATGGAAATGAATATCTTCACATGAAAAAACATAGACATGATGGAAATTACAGGAGAATTATCATCATCAGATATTGTTGCAATGTTGGGAGAAAGCTGTTTAATGTATATCGTGAAAGATGCAACCGAGCTTTTGTTACTACAACTTTTGTTTAGATGCTTTTTTTGATGCATGAACTTTCTTTTTTTTTTTACTACCAACGAGTGAGTTGTTTTCATATAAAAGCTCTTTGTCAAGGCGAGCATGGTCATTTGTATATTCAGGAACGAATTCAAGATCCAGGCGTGCTTGAACCTCCGACATGAAATGTGCCATAATATGGTTCATTTCAGCAACATTGATTCAATCTTTAGCTCACAATTGCAAATGACTAGAAACCCATACATGACATTATAAATTTTGAGTGCTTTTTGTGTTATAGGGTATAAGAAACAGCTTACCGAACTCCAGCTTGATGCATAAATGTGCGCGGAAAACTTCAGGCAGCTTATACATTCATGAAATCATTTCAAGCTTATGATTTATGGTATTTAGAATGTCAAGCAGGCCGAGATATCAGATGTAATCGTACAATATACGTCGGTAAAGTTGAATAGCGTGTAGGAAAGCTTTATAAGGTTAATTTGAGCACAATTTAACCTAGAAAGTTATGAAATGATGATCATTGTTACCATGACATCAGAATAACGGTGTTCCATGAATCATACTACTGTCTTCATTTGTATATATGGTATATTGCTAATCCCTCAGCAAGTGAATCATAAATAGGCATATCATAAAGGTGAGCAATGATCATCACCCTCTGCCTCTATCTCAGACGACAGGACCCTACTCCTCTTTTCCTCAAGCGTCATGTTTATATAAAAAAAAAAAAAAAAAAAAAAAAAAAAAAAAAAAAAAAAAAAAAAAAAAAAAAAAAAAAAAAAAACATTGCATCTGACATATGAAAATTCGAAACATTGCACAAGGCACATCTCTAATTGGCTCCACGTAAACAAAGAGCTATGCCATTTGAATCCGAATATAGGCATAAAACGTTTAGCCCCTCCCTACTATTAAACCACTGTTTTTTTTTTGGGGCAAGTTACTCTATTTATTTCTCTCTTCTTTACTTATTATATTCACACTTATCACAACCAAAATGACTCCAAAACCAGAAAGTTCAGACGAGCATGATTTGCAGGATACAACTGTAGCAGCAGCAGCAGCGGAAACAGCAGCGTCCTCTTCAGGCATCAAAAACTTTGGCAACGAAGACATGTTCTCTCTCGATGAATGGGAGACTTCAGATTTCATATCAGAGAACGACTTTGATATGATTGATATGCTCTCAGCAGCTCTAGATCAAGTAACAAATCAATTAGAAGACAAGCAACGCGAGTTTATCACAAAGTCATCAGAATGGACCAACAAGACAAGAGACAGCATCAAAACGCAAACAAAAAAACTAGAGGACCAGAGATCCCGCATCCAAGAACTGTTGATGAGACAGTACCATAAGATCGATAAACGTATGAACCGCGATGCCAAAACAGTGCAACTGAGGGATAAGGTCTCCTTTGTGGTGGGCGTCGGCAACGCCTGTGTTGCACCCGCACTCGCCTTGCGATACCCCAGTTTGATACCGTCGTATTACAGCTCTCAGCTCATCGTCTTGCTAATACTACGTTATGTGATTTATCGATCCAAGCGATGGCACTACTTTATCTTTGACATTTGCTACTTTGTGAATGCAATGACCATGCTGTTCCTGTGGGCCTATCCAACTTCAAAGCTGTTATTTGTGGCCTCTTTCTGTATGACAAACGGGCCTGTGGCATGGGCCATCATCACATGGAGAAACTCGCTGGTATTTCACTCGCTGGATAAGGTCACATCTGTGTTCATTCACATATTCCCTCCTTTGGTCATGTACTGCATTCGATGGATGCCCGAGCTACAACGAGACATTTACTGCGACAATACACCCTTTGTCACATCGTACCGCAATCAACGGTTCCCTGCATTGGACAACATGGAACTACCCAGCTTCAAGGATGTCATGATCTACTCTACGTTGGCGTACGGTATTTGGCAATCACTTTACTATTTGTTCATCATGGTTGGAAGACGAGACAAGGTCGAATCTGGATTGAGATTAACATCGTATTCGTGGCTATTGGATGATACACATGGCAAAAAGGGATTCATTCAAAAGATGGCCTTCATGTTTGGCCCCAAGTGGAAGTCAGAGATGTTTATGTTTTTGCAACTGGTGTACAACATTGCAACATCGATTCCTACTTTCTTTCTGTTCAAGTATTTTTGGCTGCACACAACATTTCTGATTGTCATGTTTGCGGTGAGTGTATGGAACGGTGCCAATTACTACATTGAAGTGTTCTCTAGAAGATACATTTCCGAGATTGAAAGCATCAAGGAAGAGGATGAAAAGCTAAAGGCAAAATAAAGGATTGTAAAAAAAAAAAAAATGATCAAGGCTCTTCCTGATCTTGTTTATTTCTAAACTGCTTCATTCTGTTATCAATGACCCGTTTGACGCCTCGATCATTACCAAACAATTTGGCTTCCGTGCGTGCCTTCTTCAAGTCTTGGCTCGATTTAAAGTGGTGCTGATCAGCTGCGCTCAGCATGGAGGCATGTGAAGATTGAAAGTAGAAAAAGTTGGCAGTGGCAATCACGACGACTACGCCTGCAAGTAACGACATGAATGTAGCATTGTTTGTATACAAAGTCGAGTGAGAGGAAGGAGGAGGAGGAGGCTCTGCCCAATGTGCATTGGTGTAAGATGCTGGCCTGTACCCAGGGGGCGGATATCTGGCTTGTGAGGCATTGGTCCCCCATCCATAACCTGATTTGATATAATATGACCTTCTGTTTGGATCCACCAATAATTCATATGCTTGTACCAATTCCTGGAACTTAGCGAGGTCTCCAGTGGATTTCTTATCTGGATGTAATTGTTTCGCTAGCTCTTTGTATTTCTGCTTTATTTCCGCTGTGGATGCTGTTTCGCTCAATGAGAGTACTTCAAAAGGCGATTTGATCTTTCTTGCACTTGCATAGAATCTCTTGGTGCAGACTGGACGGCAGCCTTTCAATAATGTGTTCATTGTAGGCCTAGTGTTGTGAGAAGAAAAGAGTAAATGTTGCTTTGTGATGATGCTGTGACGCCAATAAATAGAGCGGAGCAAACAGTGCAGGCTCCTCCCCGCATAAATTTGCTACAGATCGAGGATGGGAGATCTCTTATGACTGATGTTCGAGGGCAGGAACATGTCAAAGAACATATGGTGTTTAGCGGTTATAGTAGCCGCTGAAGAGTTACCGTAATAGACTCATACGAAATTATCATCGCTTTGAGGATAGAGCTGGAATCCAGCATGAACATATGATCAAGATTGGAATCAGGCGTAGAATGCAAACACAAATCAAGCATTTAAGAAATAGTATTCAAGCTATAAATACTCTTTTATCAAAGCCTGTGTCCTTGAATTTTTAATTAAAAGGCTGATATTTATGGCCTGAGCATTGCTGATCATAGCTTGTTGTTTTTGGTTGGCAAAAGAGCGAAGCCGAAAATGTGTATCTTGCCATGAATCCTCCGTAATGCTGCTGTTTGGTATGCCCAACTACATACTTCAGGCCATGTAGAATCCGAATCTAACAGGGAGATAACATACACCACAAGCGCGGCAAACATTTACATGTGATAATTGCATGCAATTGGCTTAGATGAATATGCCTCTTGAATCAGGCATCTAGCGACATTTGCTCATTCCCAAATGTTGCCAAGGTGTATTATATGAGTGTTGCTATGGGAACGAATTGTCTGGGATTCCAGCCATTTCTAGAAAATATATGAAATTTAAACTATATGATGAGCAGTAATCATTATTGACAAGGCATACAGCTACAGGCATTACATATGCAACTAAAAATTAGAGTGCTTTCAGATGTTCATGCATCATTTCGAGTAAATGTCTGATGGCCTATCCCATCTAAAATCCCTCGTTTTGAGCTAAACCCAGCATGATACTGAAATGTAACATTCCTTTTGTAATGTTTCTCTTATCGAACACGTAAATCGATGTCTTTTGAGTGGTAGACAAGTGCCCTCTCGTTGTAACATGTGACTTGATCACACCCAGGGTATCCTCTTGATTGGGTCTGTCTCTCCCCTTTTTCTTTAATTCATTTTACTTGACCTAGAGAAAAAAGCTTTTTATATTTATTTTCTTTTTAACTTTTTCTTCTTCTTTATTACTATACCCATCTCCTTTCCGCAAGTGAAGCAACATGCCACCAAACACCTCCAACAGACCATCTCACGATGACAGTAGTCTATCCGCTGAGGAATCCTTGAACCGCTTGATCGAATCCACTCCTTATTTCGACATTGAAGTATCTAACGGCGCCTTATTTGATGGTGCCTACAAGGTTGTATCGTGTGTCTTTCCAAACTGGCAATATGAAGACATTGAATTTGTCCAATGTAAAGATGGCATCACGAATCAACGTAAGTCTCTTGGTCCAATTTTCACATATTACCATCACTAACAGCATCTACTAGTGGTCCGAGTTAACTACAAACCAACTGATTTCTCAGTCCTTGTCCGTGCTTACGGCAAGGGATCCGAACTCATCATCGATCGCAAACAAGAAGTTGTCGTAAGTAACCTACCACTAAAAGATGGTTAAACATACCCCTTTTGTGTAACATGTTATGATAGAATATCATTACCTTATCTGCTCAAAATATGTGCCCACCGCTCTATGCCAGATTCAGAAATGGCTTAGTGTATGGATTTATCAAAGGCAAAGTATCTACAGTCGAGGAATTGGGTCAAGAAAAGACAGCCGAATGGATTGCAAAGAAGCTCGGCAAATGGCATCAAGTTCAGTTGCCTGAACAGAACATTATCAAATCCAACACAAAAGAACAAAGACTGTGGTCGACAATGTTCAAGTGGTTAGATCAAGGTAAGGTTTTTAAAGAAGGGCATCTATTCAATTGAAAGATGAGGTTGGTTAATTTCTTCTTGTTTTTTCCACAAACAATTTTTAGTACCTGAAAAGTATGAGAACCCCAACACGCAATCTATTTTTGAAAGTCGATTCGATATGAAAAAGATTAGAACAGAGGTAAGTATTTTATTTGTCAAGGGCGTTAGAGAAAAATCTGATTTCTCGGTGGTAGTTGGAGCATTTGATTCAAGAATTAGAGAAACTCGAGTCCCCTATTGTCTTTTCTCACAACGATTTATTATATGGAAACATCATTTATGACCATGAAAAAGGTACAAGGAAATCTGCAGCTCTGTAGTTCGTTTGTTGACATTGAGTATTAGGGGAAGCAAGTTTTATTGATTATGAGTATGGATGTTACGCTTTTAGAGGATTCGATATTGGAAACCATTTCAACGAATTCGCCGGATTTGAATGTGAATACTGGAGATATCCCACCAAAGAATTTCAAATGAAATGGTATGATTGGTATCTCACGGAGAACAACAATGGAGGTAAATTGCGGCAAATGATATTGTGTTTGTGAGGCTTTATTAACCTCAACCCTTACTTGTAGTCAAGCCAACAGAAGCAGAAAAGGAGCAGCTTTTCAAGGAAGTCGACGGTTTCTCTCTCGCATCACATTATTATTGGGGTCTATGGGCCATGATTCAAGCCATGGTCTCTGATATTGACTTCAACTATATGGAATACGCTGTGCTTCGTTTCGATGAATATGAGAAGCGTAAAAGGGAGGTGTTGCCATCTTTGTAAAAAAAAAACAGCCCCTACTATACAATCAAATACCATTTTCCCTTCCTTACTATTGCTTTCTTATAAATAATTCATTTAAATAAAGTTACATTAATATTCTCAAATGTCAATAAGTTTATCTATATGCGCAGCTGTAGGTTTGTGATACTTGTGTCAGCCTTGCTACAAAAAAAAAATTAGTTGAATACCATACGTGGAGTGCGCTACCAAAAAGCTTCGTTACTGTGCAGTAGATTTATGAAAAAACCTTGTGCATAATTTCATCCTCTCGATACATCCTTGACCTGCTTTTGGCATCATATCATAACATAATAAATTTATAGTCCCTAGACGCGTTTACAACCCTAATATGAAAATTGAATCGCCAGGCATTTGTCAGGCATAGTTCATATATGAATAGAGATTTTATATTAAATCACTATCAATCAACAATCAAGCTTCGCCGACATTTCAAGTATCATTATTACTTTTGAAATACTAGCCAAAAGCCCGCGGCAGCGCGAACCACCTAAACGTTCATCGTAACGTAATAAATCTATGGTCCCTAGACACTTTTCCAAAGCCTCAAAAAGGAAGGAAGTTGATCTCTCAAATATTTTGATAGACTGGTGTTATTAAATATAGAATGCAAAAAAATTAACATGGCTAATGACAATGCTATATAATTTGCTACCTACTTTCCATACGCTTCAATAACGCCTACTATTGTAGTGTCTTCATGGTTAAAAAGGCATTGAGTTTGCCAGCCAGCCCCACCACACAAAATTAATTCAAACCCAGGCTTACAGTCTGTTTCAGATTGGCCAAATTTTGATGGTTTTCGACTCGATTGATCTATTTTAACAGATTCGACTAAGTAAAATATAATGATCATCCTGTGCTTTCTTAAGCTTTCTTGGAGTACTTTTCATGGCGCTTCCAATGGTGCCAAGTAAGGTAGATGTTTTGAATAAATTTATTGAGCAAGTTATGAAAATATGAAAAGAGGTTTCTGGCAAAATGCCGAAATTTTACATATCAAAGTCCCACAAAGATGATTTCAGAGGTTGCTTTGGATCGATAGAAACGTTTTGATTCAAGATATACCATAGTAAAAGTCTTCATTATCAAGGTCAAAAATGCGATCGTTTGATTTTTGATGAAAACCATGAGGGGTACCTCATGGTTTTTGGTCGAATTTTGGCCATGTTTTTTTAATCCCCAAAAAGTGGAGCAATGGTATCAGCAAGTTAGTGCTAGATGAGAGCAATTGTTTGGTGCTAGCCTGGCAGTCTAAAACGTCTTGTACTACGAGATATTGCTGCTCAAATGCATCTAAGTTTGCTGTGTTTTACATCTAATGGAGCAGTGAGAGGCATTGCAAGTACATAGTCTGCTGGGACATGATCTATTTCCACAGATACAGATAGAGAGAGCCACAGAAAAGTCAGATCCACAATGGAGGGCTCTCTACCATGCCATTTGGGAGATTAAAATGTAAAATCTCGATATTTATGAATGGCTTCGCAATTTACTTCCTAGTAGCCAAGGTAGAATAATGTCATTGGCACGATTGACAGCGCCAACAGTAAGTAATCTCAAACGACTAAGAGTCATTTTAGTCGTAATAAAGCATGATAATCGTCTATATTTAGCAAAACAATGCAATAGGATTTAAATAAATATAAAAGTACAATGAGGATCAACCTTCTTTTTTCCTTTCTTCATTGGGGCTAATACATGGCTTATTTAACCTTTGTGTGTAACTGAAATTGCTGAATAAACAGGCTGGATAAAACACAAAATACAGATATTCCAACACACAAATAGAAGGAGTAGCGAACTGCAACTTCGTAGGTGTCCAAGACAATAGCAAGGTACTGAGGAGGAAGAAGATCACGCACTTGTGTCATTGATTTGCGAGCAATGTCGATAATCTAGGCGAAATTAGTCAAGGAATTGAAATTAAACACATGCAAAATAGTTACCTCTGCAGCGTCAGGGCCGGTAATGCGTTCATTCAAGATTTTCTTGACAACACCTTGGAAGATGGCAGATGTAGCAGAGATACCGATAACACCACCAGCAGAACGAAACAAGTATGATATCGAAGTGATAGTTGCCATGTCTAATTCACAAAAGATGTGAGTAGCCTTCTCTCAGCGTGATGTGTATGAATAACTTACCACTACTACCAACACACGAAAGCATTGCAACAAGAGCTGTTGTAATGATAGCACCTGATGAGAAGCCGTCCAATAAAAGACAAACAATAAGGAAAGCAAAAGAGGTATCTCGAGTCCAGAAACTGGTACAAACCATTGCAGCAAGTGCAGTCAAGGTGGATACTGTGATGAATTTGCGATATTCACCTGTTCTGGCCATCCAAAAACCTGAAGCAAGAGAGCCACAGGACATAGCGAGAACCTTTGGTAGGAAGAAAAGACCAGCTTGAGAGGAAGAGTAACCCAAAACGCCTTGGAAAAAGAGAGGAGTGGTGTAGGTCATGGCAAAAGATCCCATCACGCCAAAGAAATTTACCATTGAGGAGGCAAGTGGAGTGCGAGCTGATATAATATGCCATGGCATAAGTGGATTTGACGCAACCTTGGATTCAATGTAGCAAAAGATAAGACCAAAAATGACAGATGAGATCAAGAGTCCATAAACCAAAGGATCGCTCCAGGGACGAGAATTACCGCCCATGGAGGTGGCCAACAAAAAGCAGACAACGGCAGATACAACGCTCATTGCGCCCAAGTAATCAATCTTCTTGAATCTCTCCATGACAGTTGAATCATCTGCTTGCTCCTCCAAATTGTAGTTAGTGAGTAGGTAGATGGCAACATATAAGGAGATAAGCAAGAGCGGTAAGTTGATGTAGAAACAATAACGCCAGCCAATATTGTCAGTAATTAAACCACCCAAAGGGGCGCCAATGACAGAGCCAAGCTACCCGCACAAATTAGCTTATATCCAGTGCATTTCCAAACAATCACTTACACCATAAGCTATATTAGCGTATCCTTGGTACTTGCCTCTTTCACGCAAAGATACAAGATCACTACAAATGACAGCCGACATTGTATTCATACCGCCTCCGCCAACACCAGCGATAGCTCTTGAGATAACCAAGGCCCACAAATTTGTGGAAGCACCACATAAACCTGAACCAACGAAAAACACAATAGTTGCAAATAACAATGCATTTTTTCTACCAAATGCATCCGAAATACGACCATCTAGAGTCAAATACAGATCATGAGGCTGTGTTCATATATCCTGCCAATAAAACACTTACATAAGGGTTGAAGTGCAGTGTAGCTGAGCAAGTAAGCTGTTGCAATCCAGACAATTTCATTTGATCTACCGTGTTTACATTTCAGCATTGAACCTGTGTTGTTTGTTTACACTGAATTAGATGAGGATCTTACCTTTTGAACTCAGTGCCAATTTGGGGATAGATGGTGGCAACAATGGAGGCATCAAGCGATGATAAACCCACACCAACCCAGAGGCTGTATTGCCATTGCAAATTAGATTTAGCTACCAGACGGTTGATGGTTAGCTTACCCGACTAATACAACCATCAATGGTGATCCGTTCAATCTCTTCTTTAACAAATCGTCATGCTGATCAACCGATTTAGCGGGCGAGGTGCTTACAACAGAGATAGTCCCAGTCTCGTCATCTTCTATCGCAATGTCTCCATTATAATTGACTTGCTTGTGTGCTTGAGCTAAAAGCGATGAATTTTCCGTAGCCAAAGAAGGAGGCATAGTAAAATTTCGATGGTGTGAAAGACGAAAAAATGAAAGTATAAAAGATAGCTCACATCTTATTTATAAATGATTAGGTCTCTATACCATACCTCGGCATATTGACCCCATATGTTCCTTCAAGTCACATTCATGGCATATCTTTATAGACCCTCAAGGTAGCTGAACTCCGAGGCGGCCAATTTCTGATCCTCTCAAATGGTCCAGCGATTGTTCATATGATGGCGTTCCCTCAGTTACGCATTACCAGTGACTAATTAGCCAAACAATAGTGCTCGACTGTGGGTTCACAGTGATGAGAAAAGATTCAGATGAACTAGCAAGACATCACTAGCAAAGATACACTATTAATCATCTCGTACCTTGGTTTTTTCCCACCCAAATTGTCGTTCCTACTTGGTACAACAGCAATGCCAAATAAAGTGTAATACATGCTATTCAGTAGCTTGATATCTGAAGATTGTAAGAGAGCATTGTTGTAATGGGTAAATCGATTATCCTCTTCTGAAGGATATCTTGAACTTGATGTTTGTTTTTTAGTTGATAGCTACTGTCTTGCGATAATCACACACACTTGTAATCGTAGCAGTAAGATCAACAAGCCTTCTTAGAATTGTAATTTCTTCTTTAGCATTTGTTGCAAAACGGTAATTTCATTTGAGACAGGCTTATTGCATCAAGGGTCGCCTTCAATTGTTCCAATTAAATGTGTATGTTCAGGATGGGGCACTCAAAGCAATGTCAGTGATATCTACGTTTGTACAAGATCGGCATATCGTTATTCCTTTCGTTATACCACCTAATGAAATCTAGAATTGAGGTACGGTACCACCATAACTGCAAATCAGAAGTCAAGCCTTTATTCGAGCATGCATGGATACTATCAATTTTAGCAGATCCAGTGGGGAATTACAACAAATATCAGTGAAGCCTTGAAACTTGTCTGATGTATAAGCAAATGCTATCCGCTTTCATCCATTTTTTTTTTTTTTTTTGGAAATGTACGCTCTTAATCTTGTTTTCTCTTCAATGCCGAGCATTCTAGACAGCTCAAATTGTTGAGCTTTACATGCATGGCTGGATGGCATCGTCAGTGATTTCTCTCCCATACTCTTTTCGCTTCTCCTTAATGGGCTAATAGCGGCTACGGTCAAGATGAATAGCGCACTGTACATCTTGCGTGAAGCTAGAAATATGTTTCTATGTAAATTTTTTATGTAAATTAGCCATTACTAACACATCAATTGATGATAAACTGTCAGAACATGATCTCTGTCATCGCAAATGTCGAAGCAATCGATCGTGATACACTGTCATGCAGTATATTTGACTATATATCTCTTGACATAGAGTAGCGTGATCCATAAAGGCTATTCTTTTTTGTATTCTGCACCAAAGGCAGCTAGATGTGATCCAAGTAAGTATATATTCATCCGGATTAATAAACATTGCAGGTGTCATTTGATGTAATATGTACCGTTTTCGTGAAAACGCCATTTACTATAGTAATAACCAGCCCGAATACCAACCTGTACTACGACCTATATGTTGGCACTTAGGCTTTCCCCATCTTATAACATCAATCGCATGGTTATGCAAACATGACCGACTAGTGTTTTGTAATCCCATTTATGCAATGAATACAATGGCTGATTTATATGCACGTAACTTTGCTTTACACCTCAACTAATCGGCCCATTTCGCATTGTTAGCTGACTAATAATCAAGACAGAAATTATCTCGGTTTAAACCTTTTGATGAGGAAATGTGTAATCTCTTTGCTATTGCTGCCGCTAGATCATGTTGCCTTTTTAGAGCATGTGTGTGGGCTGAATACTTTTTTTTTTCAAGCTGTATTCCAGTGAGCAACTAACTAGTGTTTTAACACAGCGCCATCGCTCTTATACAGTGCATGTCCACAGTTCCAGTTGTGCACAAAACTATTTATTTTGTCTAGAAATTTCCAAGAGCGTATTATGCAAACAAACAAAACACATGGAAAATGTTCAGAAAGATCTTTGTTCTAAAAGAACAAACGAACAAGATGCACAGAATGTAAAGCGTCAACACGTTGATTTGCATAATCGCAATCTGTATTGTTCGGTTCATTTATGGTTACAATATCGTGTTCCTCTTTTTGTAACATTTGAGATGCAAACGCTCAATCAAGACATTGCTGAGTTTGCTATAGATTCCCAATGTCCATCAAAGCAACTTTATCGTTCTCCCACCATCGACTACGAAAAGACTCGTTAAACTCGAGAAAACGATTTAAAATTGCACATATGTTGAGTTTCTAGTATTGAATCTAAGGAGCAAGACATTCTAGCGACTCATCAGCATTTTTTGTGTGTATGGAGTTGTGCTCTACAGAATGCATTTCTGTGACTCCACATTTCATTTGGTTTGTACACTCTTTCACCAACACATCTTCTCTTGTAGTAAATTTAGCCTTCTCATCATACCAATATACACCAGCGACCCCACATGTACACCTTATTAAGCGGCTTCTACAACTACCTCACTCGAAAAGAAGAATACTATGTGCTTATTATCGGTCTTGACAATGCAGGAAAAACCGTAAGTTTTGGCGAAACTGCTCTCCTTACAAGTTACAATTCAATAGTTACGTCTAAAACATGGTTAGACTTTATTAGAACGCATAAAGTCCATCTTCATGGGCGTAGCTGGTCTGGACCCCGATAAAATTGCACCCACAGTTGGATTGAATAGTAAAGTAAACACCAACGATACGCAATCTGGCCGGTGTTGAAGAATTCTAATGATTTTTTTGTCACATAGTTGGCAAAGTGGATATCAAATCATCGAGAATCAACTTTTGGGATTTAGGAGGACAGAGAGATTTGCAATCGATATGGGAGAGATACTATTCAGAGTGTCATGCGATAGTTTTTGTGGTGGATTCAACAGATCCAGTTCGATTAGACGAGTGTCGAGATACGTTTGGTATGATACCGTATTGTTGCACAGAGAGACAAGGCGATTAATCATCATGAAATTCATAGAAAAAATGATTACCAATGATGCAGTTGAAGGAGTGCCTGTGCTGATGCTTGCTAATAAGCAAGATGTAAGTGGGGCATTACGGGTAGAGCAAGTCAAAGAGGTGTTCAACAAGATTGCAGTGAAGCTTGGCGCTCGTGATTCCAGAGTATTGCCTGTCAGTGCTTTAGAAGGGTAAACAAAACAAGACGGCATGATGTATACAGAACATAACTGATTGCATGTATATTAGGAATGGAGTAGAAGATGCAATAGACTGGTTGGTATTGCGGTTACAGCGAAACAAGATAAACCGACCACCTGTATTTCGTTGAAAACAACATATGGCTCTTTATAGACAAATAATCATGTATATGCTAAATAAACGAAATTTTTGTTGAAAGACATGGAACAAGATCTGGATAAATAAATAGAGATCGATTTTACAGTACTATTGTGTACGTACATAATTTATATATAGAGAAAGCGAGCAAAGAAGCGTGAAAGTCATCCTACATACTTGAATCAAAGCACACTGCATGTACGCAATGCTGATGTTACTGCACCTCTTCTTGCACGATAATTTTACATTTGGACTGTATAAATACTCAATACAATGAAATGCTTCTGAGAGAATGGCTATTATTTACAACAGATATATCGAATGATACAGGTACACGAAAAAAAAAAAAAAAAAAAAAAAAAGTTACACGATTTTTTATATAATGGAAAAACCGCATGATCATTTGCAAGCGAACGGGGGTAGCTTGCTTGCTTACTTTGCTGCTGTGTGTGGCGAAATAGCGATATATTTAGGAAATGTTTATGGAACAACAAAAGGAGGCAAAAACGTAACGTATTACAACATATCCCTTCAGAAAAAAAAGTATATAAACCTCGACATTCTTTGTCTCGAGTTTGTTTCCTCATAACCAAACAACCCAATTTCTTTTTTTCCTTAGTTATCAACTAACGAAAAAAAAACCCCTCAAGCAAATCTATACAACTTTTTTTAACTTTTTTTTTAAACCTTTAACGACCCCTTTTTTTTCATCTTTACGAAAAAAAAAACTCTTATTACTTTTTACATTTCTACTCTTATTCACGAAATCTAAAAAGCACTTTTAACGAACCCATTTTAACGAAAAAACTCAATTTTACGACCCAAAAAAAAACACATTTAAACTTTACCTCTTTTTTTTAAATCTCTTTAAATCAAATTTTATTCAATATGTCTACTATCAACACTGGTATTAACGGGTAAAGTAGAAGGATATCTTCTGGCTATGATGTAAGAAAGACTGACATGTACACTCCTCTAGTTTCGGTCGCATTGGCCGTATTGTCTTGCGTGCCTCTCTCGAAAATCCCAAGGTCAAGGTCGTCGCTATCAATGACCCCTTCATTAATCTCGAATACATGGTCTACATGTTCAAGTATGATTCCACTCACGGCCGATTCAAGGGCACTGTCGAACACAAGGACGGTAAACTGGTAGTCAATGGCCACGAAATTGCGGTTCATGCCGAACGCGATCCAGCTCAAATCCCTTGGGGTTCTCATGGTGCTGATTACGTTATCGAATCGACTGGTGTATTCACTACCAAGGACTCTGCTTCTGCTCATCTCAAAGGTGGGGCGAAAAAGGTTATCATTTCAGCCCCCTCTGCGGATGCCCCTATGTTTGTTGTAGGCGTAAATCTTGACAAGTATACGTCTGATCTCACTGTCATCTCAAACGCCTCATGTACCACGAATTGTCTTGCTCCTTTGGCTAAAGTCATTCATGATGAATATGGTATCTTGGAAGGTCTAATGACAACTGTTCATGCTACTACTGCTACTCAAAAAACGGTCGATGGTCCATCCAACAAAGACTGGAGAGGTGGCCGTGGTGCTGGTGCGAACATTATTCCTTCTTCTACTGGCGCAGCGAAAGCTGTTGGTAAGGTTATCCCTGAACTCAATGGAAAACTCACTGGCATGGCTTTCAGAGTACCTACCCCTGATGTTTCTGTGGTTGATCTAACTGTGCGACTGGAAAAGGTATTATAGTAATGGGCGGGTTACATTTCATTGTGCAACAGCATGCTAACTCTTACATACAATAGCCCGCATCGTATGATGAAATCAAAGCTACCATCAAGAAGGCTTCTGAAAGTAAGGAACTCAAGGGTATCCTAGGATACACGGAGGACCAAGTGGTATCAACAGATTTTGTGGGTGCTTCTGAGTCGAGTATCTTTGATGCGAAGGCTGGTATTCAGCTATCTCCAACGTTTGTCAAGCTCATCAGTTGGTATGATAATGAATTTGGCTATTCAACAAGAGTGGTTGATCTATTGACCTACGTTGCTGGTAAAGATGGTGCTCTGTAAACTAAAATTCCTTGTAATTTTAATCTTTACATCCCCCTCTTTTCTACCTTTCTTGTAATATTATACTCTTTCTCTTTTACAGGGAGTCTAATTCTTTATTAGCAACCTCTTTTTCATCGTTTACAAAAAGCCCTACCAAAAAAAAAAGCAAAACCCACATAACCATCAAAAAAATCAAACATACCCAGCACACTCCTTTCCCTCTCTCTCTCGCTTCCTCCCTCATCCTCATATCTTTTTTTTTTACTTATGAATCATTCTGTATGTCGTATACTTCATCAACTCATGCCCCCTTTTTTTTCTTTTATAATACTACGTGATCACTTTGTATTTCCTTATGCATTTATTCTAGAATTCTTTTTTTACAAATAAACGTTTTTTTTTTGATAATCACCTTCTTCAAGAGTCCAAGTCTAATCTAGTTTCAAACGTGATTGGAATCTTTTGGTCTAATCCAAGATAGCCATCGCTGATCAGGTACAAGGTGTAGTTGTGTTTGCCGAGATGTTCAGGTGTCTCAAACAAGATACTGGTGTTTACTCTGTTGGAGAGCGTTTCATTGGGGCCGTTACGCATACTAACACGTTTTAGACCCAACAATTCACCATTATCTGTATTGCCGAGCACAATCCACCATGATTCGTATTGGGGCTTGGGGAAACGTGGTGAATGGATGCGACCATCATGAGGTTTCTTCTTATCTCGTACAAATCTGTTCAACTGTATGGAAATTTTGTAATCTGTTTCAGGAATCAGGTACGGCTTCTTTGTATCAATCTCTGCCTTGACACTGATATTGGGTAAACGGCTGATCACACGGCGAATCTAAAATGTGTACTCTTAGTATATACATGCATACAAAAAAAAATAAAACATGCTAGTATAGCTTACCTCATCTACACTTCTTTCATCCAAATCTCTGACATTTGAAAAGATTTGCTTAATTTGGTTATCCGGGAGCTTTGTAAGATCTGCTAAGGATTTCACAAGCTTGCCCTTGTGACGAATGTGATTGAGCATTCTTTGAGTGACATGAGGCAACGTCAAGAGAGGCGATTCATCGTGCCAGCGTGCTTGTTTGATACACTGCAGCATGGTCATGATGGTCAAACTTGTTTCCAGATAACCCGTGTCAGCTGCAACATCAATCATGGCTTGCGAGAAACGAATAGCAGAGTCCAGCACTGTGATTTGATCGGTAATGTAATCAGAGCTAGGCAACTCGAGTCGACTGATGTGCGCTTGCACAAGCACATAGGCCTTCACATGGGGACTGATGAAATTGGGAGTACCCTTCACATCATAGGGAATGAACTTTTCAATTTCCTGGTTCAACAAGTCCTCCTGGCAACGTGCGGGAAGCTCCTCGTACTCTGGTACATTACCCAGCACATCTAGAATATCGTCCAACTTGGAATCCTTGTGTACATGATCACGGAAATGGCGCACAGTCTGGGGATGGAGGTAGTAATAGGAAGCAATACGGGCCGAGATCAATGGCACCAGCTCAAAATCATCCACAATCTCAATACAGCCGGCCTCTTCCAACCGACGTGCCACATCGTTGATGGTATTCGATAAGAATGTGTCTACGCCCTTTTGTGTCATATCATCCAAGCCGTAGTAAGTGGGGTTCTGCTGTAGACGACGGTAAAAGTAGGTCCAGGTCAAGTAATCCAAGGCATCTTGCTTTGATTTGATCGTGCCACCTACGATCTCAGCGTTGATATGGTCGTCCAAAAACTTGTGAAGACTGGACTCGACGGGGAAGGGTTCGTGCAAGAACTTTTTAAAGAAATTCTTTTTGCTGTCTTGTACAAATACACGTGAGATACCGGTATTGTCAAACTGAGGACGACCAGCACGACCCATCATTTGCAGCACATCGGTGATGGGGAAATCCACATAACGACGCTCCTTGTAATTGTAAAACTCGGTGCCCTTGATCACGACCAAATGAGCAGGCAAATTGACGCCCCACGCCAATGTACTAGTAGCAATCAAAATTTGGATCTTCAGGTTGAGGAATAGTTCCTCCACAATCTTACGGTCGTTTTCCTTGAGGCCAGCGTGATGAAGACCAATACCAAATGCAAGAGACATACGCAGCGATTCATCGTGCACATTGGACAAGATCATTTCCATCTCCATGTCATCCATGTGGAGCCATTGACGCGGGTTGTCCTCCATGCCACAGTAAGCAATCAAGTCCTGCGCAGTGAGACGCGTCTGTCGACGAGATGAGACAAACACAATCACGGGCTGTGTAGGCGAGTGCGTCTTGATGGCAGCGTAGGTGGGTTTGTTCATGGTAGCCATACGGGGACAGTAGTGCTTGCCAGGAAACCCATCAATGTAGATTTCAAGGGGTACTGGACGTACAGAGTGTCTAAAATTGAACAATCCGACTTTATCAATGCCCAGCCAGTTAGCAAGATCAATGGCATTAGCCAGGGCAGTAGAGAGACCCACAATGCGCACCTTTTGATCAATTTGAGAGCCAATGTAATTCATACGAGACACAATGACTTCGAGAATGGGGCCACGGTCACCGCCCAACAGATGGATTTCGTCAATGATGACACAGGACACATCACGCACATAGCTACGCTTCTGCCAGCTACGACTGATACCATCCCATTTCTCGGGTGTTGTAATAATGATATCCGCTGCTTCAATCGTCTTGAGATCAGGTGTCACATCACCGGTCAGTTCAACCAACTTCTTGTTCATAGGTCCTGTCAATCGCTTGTTCCAGTCTGCCACTCTTTCCTTGACCAAAGCCTTCATAGGGGCAATATAAACCACCTTGGACCCAGGACGATCTCTGAAGGCAGCCCACATGACTAATTCAGCAGCGACAGTCTTGCCAGAACCCGTGGGTGCACCGACCAGCGAGTTTTTGTCCGTGTTGTAAAGTGTGTGGAAGATTTGAGTCTGCACAGGGTTGAAGTGCGTGAATCGCTTGGCACAGATGGTTTCAAGGACCTCGTTTTTGAGAGCCGTGATGGGAAGAGGCTGCAAATCAAGCAGATCCGTATGAGGTGGATATAGCTGAGGCAAGATCAAGTGCTGGAAGGAGACAGGCAGGATAGTTTCAGCGCCGAGCCATCTGTCAGACACAGCACGAATGTAGATCTGAGAGGGAAGTGGCTCCACCAGAGGTACAGTGAATGCAATCTTGATGGGCTCGCCAAACTGCTTCTTGTACAACAAAAAGTATTCGGAATAGTAGATTTCCACATTGTCGGAGTCTTCTGCCCAAATGTACCATGGCTCTACACTGCCATGCAGTTTGTCATTCCATACGAAATCAGGAGTCACCGTCAGTTCCACATTCAAGACATTGCGGGTGATGGGAGCAATACGAGCATCCAGCAGCAGCATAGGGAACTGATCTACGCATTTAGAGATGGTCATACCCATGCGACGATGATGCACCAGTTCACCCAACTCATTGGGATCCATGTCGCGCATTTCTTCAATCGATACCTCGTGTGTACGGCTCTCAATCTTGTTGATGATGTCGTGAGGGAGACCCATTTGTCTGAGGGGATGTTGGAATGTCCACATGCGCTTCTCAACAGCCTTGTTGATTTGAAGCAAGACAGAGGCTGTAGGTCCCCAGTTTCTGTTGAGAGCAATTTCAAACAAGGCACGCGCAATACGGCCAGAGTTTTGAGCAACGTAAGCACAATCAGACACCAGTGCAAAGTCGTCAATGTAGGCGTTGGAGACGTAGGATTGCAGCAGAATATTGACCTTGCCATGCGTGTCTTCGGTACCGCCCTATGTTGGTATGTCAATTTCTCCTTTCTATATAAATTGATGGATCTGAAACTTACCCTGATATCACAAGCACAAGCGTTTTCCAGCAGCTTTTTTAGCTCTTGATGCTCAGTATCTCTCGACTTGATTTGATCAAATTCAGAACTCATACTCATCATGGACAAGACATCTGCTTCCGTCATGCGCGGCTTCATCATAGTGTTGAAAATCTCAATACTAGTGTGTTTGATGTAAAAGTTGGATGCGATGCGGCCGAGATCCTTGGGCAGTAAATAACCCGTGTTCTCGTCAAAGATAATCATTTGGCATTTCGCCAGTTTGCGAGCAGCCAGAGTGATGATTTCGTGTCGCTTTCTTCCTAGCAAAGGGTCGTTCATGGGCTCTGCATTGTCCATACCGTAAATCATGGGGTTCTTCTTCATGCGCACGTACAAGTAGGTGTAACTGAGCCATGTCACAGCTTCGTCAACGTTGGTCACTGTGCCCAAGGCGATCTCAGCGTTCAAATTGTCGACAATGTTTTCAATGAATTTGGATTCAATGGGATGTTGTTGCGTGATGGCAGAGATGTAGTGGGAGAGTCGATCGTGTGTCGTCAAAATATAACCCACACCATGGCTTTCGTATTGTGGACGACCCGCACGACCAAAGATTTGAAGCACATCCAAGATGGAGAGATCCACGTAGCTACCCTTGGTGGAATCATACACTTGCGTTCCCTTGATGACAACCGCATAAGCAGGTAAATTGACACCCCAGGCCAGTGTAGCGGTACAACAGAGAACCTTGAGCGCACCGTCTTGGAACATCCTTTCAGTCAAGGTACGGTCAGATCGCAGCATACCAGCATGATGTATACCAAAACCATATTGAAACAGTTCTTTCATCTCCTTGTTGCGAGACTTTGTAATATCGCGCTTGTATTGTGTGTACTTTGGTGAATCTGAGCAATCAAAGGCGTCCAGCATGCCCTCGTTGGCTACTTCTTCTCGCAACATCTGAGCCGTTTTGACCGTTTCTTTTCTCGCATGCACAAAGACCATGACTTGATGGCCATCCCTGACCAGATCGGATACTTTGTCGAAACAGGCACGGTTCATGCGTTCGTTGGAAGGCGTTGAATTTGGCTTTCCTTTGATGCCCAAGAAATGTTGCTCCAGAGGAACAGGTCTGAAGCCGTTGTCAAAGTAGAATAGGCCTTGATAGGGGTTGACGCGCAGGAAGGCAGCGACATCAACATAGTTTGGCAACGTGGCAGATAAGCCTACAATACGGATCAAGGACTGGCTGGACTCGACTTGACGCAGAGTCCTTGCAATGATACTCTCAATGACAGCACCACGGTCTTCATGCAGCAGGTGCACTTCATCAATGATCAACAGCTTCACCTTTTGCGTCAACTCCACATCGCCCGTGCCCTTTCTGGTAATAACATCCCATTTCTCGGGCGTAGTGACAATAAACTGGGTAGCACTGATCTCTGCTTTGGTCAATTGCATATCACCTGTCAATTCACGCACACTGACACCCAGAAATTTCAATCGCTTGCTCATTTTTTCCACAATTTCTGCAGCAAGCGCTTTCATGGGAGCTACATAGACAATCTTGAAGTCGTTTTTTGCAATGGTGAAGTCAATCTCGGTGGTGCCCTTTCGAGGTGGAGGCGTGCAATGCTGAGAGAGACATCGAAGCACGGTCAACATGGCGACGTCTGTTTTACCCTGTGATGGTGATCAATAAGGTGAGTTTACATGCAGTTGGATCATGAGGCTCAACTTACAGCACCCGTAGGAGCACACACAAGCATATTTTCATTTGTCTCGTAGGCCACAGGATACACAATCGACTGCACTCTGTTGAGGGTTTCGTAAGCCTAGAAACGTGGTCAATTGAATGAGCTAAATCAAATCAACTCTGGTGCTTTACCTTGAAGGCGCCGCGAGCCAAAGCGTCCATCTCTGAGATGGGAATACGTCTTTCACCAGTACGCACTGGCGCTACTTTGGGCACGGGAATGGTTGTCTCTTCATAGTCGTTGAATTCCTCACGCACAGTACCTGCTGGTAGAGCATAGCGTGTTCCAAACAAGGACAATGTGCCTCCACTTTGAGCTGCTTGATAAACATGAGGATACGTGGGTGCTGCCTTGGACTTGTGGCTCGAGCTGAACAACGGTGCTTGGCTTGCATTGATCAATGCGTTCTCTCTGGCTTGTCGTAAATCCTCTCCATCAAATCCCAAAATACTCATGGACACGGCATTGGCATCATCTATATACGATTGCTGCCTTGAGTAGCTATTAAACACAGAGCGGACTGCACATGACATACCTTCTGTTCGATTCTGGTTCTTCATGGCTCGCTTCTGCTCCTTTCTCAATCGCTTCTCCTCTTTCAATTCTTTTTCAGATTGCACGATAAATTGAGTTCCATACACAGGTCGTTTTGCTTCAGTGGAAGTAGGAGGTGCTGTGATTCTTCCTCGAGGCTGTTGCTCGTCGTAATCCGACATACGAATAATGTTGTGTACAATAGTGGATCGATGCGATATCAAATCTGCAATGAGATCCAAAGCCTCGTATCCTAGTAATTCGACAAGAGACATCTGTATATCATCATCTGAACCACCAGAACGAATAATAGTGAATATATCACCACATAATTGACGTTCATCCATGCCGAGATCAGCTTGATTTGTCACTTGGATGCGAGCTTGTCTATCAGATAGTGGACATGTGAGACATGTCGTCGAATGAAATATTGCATCATGCTAGATATACTCACTGTAAAAGCCAGTTGCGATCATAGATGGCTGCAGTGCCAGTAGATGATGTCGTTTGCTGTTGAAGTACTGATTCTGTTGTTGCTGCTACTGGAAGTGATTCTGGGATAGGTTCTGCATTACGCTGCTCTTCCTGTGATGCAGAAGCGGGTGCTACGAATGGTTTCTCGGGTGCATTAAACTCGACATCATCGCCAAAGTTGACAGCAGGTAACTCTACACACACAATCCATCATTCATTCAACAGTTGCTCTACCCATGCAGACAGCTTCACTCACCTCTTTTCGCGCTGTTGGCTTCGCTGTATTTCTCTACAAGACTGCAGAATGCCTTGACAGACTCATTCCAGTCGTTGTTGCTTTCAATAGGACGAGTCAGGAAATCAGAGGGCTGGTTTCGAGCTTTTCCCTTGCCCTTGGAGGATGTTGGTTTAGCTGTGGATAAGAGCTGATGAAGCACAGCGCTGAAAGGTGCTGATGATGCCACCATACTAGTCGACGAGTTTTTAATAACGAGAAAAGAAAAAACAAAAAAAGTAAATTGGCTCCTGTTTAAATAGGATTGTCAAACTGTCGTCGCAGCAAAAAAAAAAAAAGCACGCTTTAGTAGGCATTGTATTGCTGCTGCGGTGGGATTTTCAACAAGGTATCCATAATGATAAAATAGACAGATAGAACGGTAGTAACCTCCTACAACATCCGCTTTGCTTTGGAGATACCGTCTTACGAGCGCTGTCGATTGTCTTTGCATTGTCTTATCGAAATACTGATAGCTGTTTCCGATACTCTGTTAATTTAGACTTTTTACCTGTCTGCTGTCGGATTAAACCTATCCATAACCATGAATTTAATTCTTGTAGGGTGTTCTCTATTTGTATCAACTGAAACAACACTTTAATGGGTGGACAGCATATGTGCATCACCTCTCACCATCCCAATGTATGCAAAACAAAGCGATATTGAAACACATTTGAGTCGTGATTTCTCGTGTTACAAGCCGGTTTTCATTGCCAAAATAGCACTAAATCGCTGTTCTCGATCAGCATTTGCTTACTGACACCTTTGCTCAACTTTTTTGGAATTGCCAAAAATCGACTCAAAACCATGAGGTACTCCTCATGATTTTCGTCGAAAATCAAACGATCGCGTTTTTCAGCTTGAAAATAAAAACTTTTACGTTGGTATATATTAAATCAAAATGTTTCTCTCGATCCAAAGCAACCTATGAAACCGCTTTTATGAGGCTTTCATAAGCAAAATATGGCTATTTTCGCTAAAAACCTCATTTCACATTTTCAAGAATTGCTTAGTGAGCTTGTTCAAAACATATGCTTTGAATGACACCACTGGATGTGCCTTGAAAAGTACTTCAAAACACCTTAAGGAAGTAGGGTATGATCAGCACAGATAGTATAGTCGATTCTTGCAAGATACATGAATTAAGTCGAGTTTCGAACAAAAATTAACAAACCAGAACGAAATGTTGAGCGGTCTTTAAACACATTTTGGCTGATGGAAGAGCAACAATAATGCTCTATCTATGAAAATCAACCATGTTTTTGCCATTTAAGGTAAGATCTAAGGGCTTGTAAGCTCATATCTGTCTCCAAAAGAGCGCCTGCGATCCTATCAATTGTTTTTCCTTTGGAATAACTACAATTAGAGTTAACTCATGGTTCAAGCTGCACTCTCTTTCAACTCGGCAAATGACTCATCTCTTGCTTTATTGCAATTCTGAAGAGCATTGAGTAGACACTTTCTCGCATAATGCAGGAAATCTTTACCGCTGTTGTGCGTGGAGAGTCTGCAACATTCAACTAGATGGCTGTGCAAAAACTTTCAAAATCATGAAGCAGTCCAGCATTGGAGAAGCCAAAAGTATGCATACTGTCATTTCTCTATAGCGAATGCTATGGGTTGACTTCAATGCCCAAAGATAAAAGGCCATCAAATAGATGCAAACACAATAGGACAAAAACGGTTCAAAATGTTTTTATATATTGTAATAGCTTGCAACGATAGATCAAGTGACATGATCTGCTTTGGACACTGGCATACATCATCAAATTCCACAGCACTATTCTGGATACATTAAACTCGCCAACATCTCCGTGAAAAGATCATTGCTCTCCCTGAGTGTGTGCTTGTTTCGAAGTGGTCGTGATAAATTCTCGTTGGTATCCTCAAATAAATAGTCTTCAATACGGAAAATGTCCATGGAGGAAACAGTAGGTCCTACAGTGCGGATGCGAACGCACTATTTCATAAAGCAGTTTGCGATTAAGTATCATTTGATCAAGCCATTGTTTAACAAATACTACTTACTCTACATGTAGAGTCCTCCAACTTGCGTCGTCTATTATTGCTCATCAACATGTCATTGACTGTACATAGATCAGCCTTTTCGATGGTAGGCGATGGCGATGGCGAGGGAGAGGCCTCAAATTGATTGGGTTGCGATTGAGGATCAAACTCTTCAAGAATGATATTCCAAACATGATTTACAGGTATATTTTGGCGAATCTGGCAGAGAGGAGTAGTAGCAACAGCTTCCTCTGTGGTATGGTGGATCGTTTTTACAGGAGACAGGTAGTGTAGAATTGAGTTTCTGCTTTTGCTGTTGTCCTGTGAAGGCTTCTTTTTGGCAGCACTACTCTTTATTGCTCCATACTTATTGGAAACTGTCAGTTGTTTGGGCAGGGCTTCATAGACAGGTTGTGGTGCTTGTACTGCGAAGGATGGCTTGCTGGCCTCACTCTCTGAAGATGCCAACGTCTTTTCTTTATTGATGCAAGTGCTCCTCGACTTTCTTGTTGTAAAGAAGGAATTCAATGTAGACATTCTTTGAATGTATAAAAAGGAAAAGCAGGTAGGTGATGGTAATTGTGAGTGAAGATTTGGAAAACGCCAAAAATCTTCGCGACTTGCAACAGGCCGGAGAAGCGCATCCATTGTCCAATACATTTCATTGGAGCCCCAATGTCATCAATGCTGTCTGACAAAAATGTCTGATTTGATGCCTAGATACATTGGCCATTGGTAATAAATCAATACGACACTTCAGCAGTTGGATTGTGTTGCCATGGCAACAAACATCAATCTTTCTATTAGTCTTACAGAGAGTGTCGTTAATCATTATATGACTTTCAAATGATTTAAAGGATACATCTATTCAGCTATCAATGCACTGTTAATAAAACATCTTGATTATGGCTCCAAAAACAACGTAATCAAGCTTTTTATCAAGTTGCAATAGCTTACTCTCGAAAGCTATTTGTTATTAAAGAAACAGAGAGAGCAACGGCATTTTGATTGCCTCACGAACTAGTTGTTTTCATCAACTTCCAAGCCAAACATACTTTGCTAAACATAGATCCACTACGTATCTCACTTTTGTAAGGTGTTATTCCTTACCACAGAGTAAAAATATAGTGCACAATGTAAGGAACTGGCCAATGACAAAGTGTATCTACCAATGCTCTTGACAATGACTAACTTATTCGGCTACTGCATTTTAAAGCTTTTGTTCACCAAATCTATTTTCGCTCTTGGATTTTCAAGATAATTTACTAAATAATTTACTATCATTATATATGCTGCAAAACATTCAAAAAACGTAGACAAACAAATCATATCCTTTTAAAGTTTTAAAGAATTGAGCACCGTACAAGGTGAATGAAGCCGGTATTAGGGAGAGGGTTTGGAGGAGGTGCTAAGTTCATCCACCAAAAACATAACACATCTAATTCAACATTTGGTAACGTTGACCTATGAGGCAGTTTTACCGTAGCGAAGTGAAGGTAAAAAACCATGGCAACTAAGCATCTAACCCAACATTTGGTAATATTAATCTTGATGAGGGTTTTACCGCAGCAAAGCAAAGGTGCTAGACCATAGTATTCAAGCAGTAAATTCGGTTTTTTCATTTCCATTATTTTCAAGCTTGCCAACAACATAACTCATCAAAACTTGTATGAATTAGTCTTACCAAAATCAATACACCTTTTATTTGAACTAGACATTGCACAGGCTGCAGAACTGCCTTTCCAGAAGATTTCAGCTACCACAGATGTGATTTATGCCGTGTAAATAAACTTTATAGAACAATACATAACCAAATTTTACAGCTTTCAAGCCTTCATATCTTGATATATAGGCTTTTGTGAGCCATCGGAATGACGCCAAACAATTGTACTTGAGTAGTCGTAACTTCCTGACACCTTTGCTCAACTTTTTGGGCCAAAAAAAAACATGGCCAAAAATCGACCAAAAAGCATGAGGGGTACCTCATGGTTTTCATTGAAAATCAAACGATCGCGTTTTTCAGCTTGAAAATAAAGACTTTTACTATGGTATATATTAAATCAAAATGTTTCTCTCGATCCATAGCAATCTCTGAAACCACTTTTATGATGCTTTCATATGCACAATATGGCTATTTTCGCTAAAAACCGCATTTCAATTTTTATCAAATTGCTCAATAAGTTCAGTCAATACACTTAGTACAATTAGCACCATTGGAAGCGCCTTGAAAAGTACTTCAAGAGTGTATTAGGAAGCGTGAGGTGATTATTACAGTTTATATAGTCGAATATCATAAGATAGATTAAAGAAGTCGAAAAAAGACAATATCTGTCCAATCTTGAACAGAAAAAAAACTGAGCTTAAATCGATTTTGGCGGCGGCACTGCTGCTGGCTGACCTAAATGCCTTTCTGATGATGACAATGATGATTGCGATGCTGATTAAATGGAGATCATGGAAGTAAAAGAGCAATTGCTTGACCCAAATACTTTTTTTTTTAGAATTTTGATTATAAACGTGCCTTTTGCAATGACAATATCTGAAAAAAGCCGCTGTAGATCTTACGTAAGCCCTGTATTTACACATAGCCAGCTTTTATGTCGCCATCTCATGAAGAGCGTCAGCAGCAGCGAATGATATGACAATTCTATTATCAGAAAATGGCAATTGTGATGTACAAATGCTGCATAAAACTTGAATTTTCTTTCACATTGTCCCAATAATAAGCTTTGTTTGATATCAGTGTAAGCAAAAAGGATGCTGAGGGAGATGTCTCGTCTGCTCCTCCTGGCTCTGATATAACCTTTCTTTTACCAACTAATAATTGGTTGTATAAAATCTAATTGATATACCATAATGTTATAATACCTGATTTAGAATGTCTTTGGCGAGAGCCCACAGGGCGACGCCGATATCGAGCGTAGCGAGATAGATCGGCTAATAGTTCATTACTAGTAAATCACCATTTTCCTCCAGTGACTGTAGCAAAAATTATTAGCTTAGCTGAAAATGTCGTCGATGTTCAGCTCGCAGCAGTGTGCCATAATCTCCCTAATAAGTTGCTGGTTTCAAGTTATCGATAGACACTTGGCATGTTGGTGAGGTATTTTTTTAAAGTTACATAACTGTAATGTGCTTTGCTTAGCCCAAATAAACGTTCCAGTTTAGGATATACATATTCTCCCTGCTTAGCAGAAGCCATTTAGTCGATCTGAGAAGATCAAGAGATGTGTGCAGCAGAATAATGAAACCACAATTGAAAAACCACTGCTTTGTTTTCGAATGGCAAAAAGCTCAAAGCTACTGTATTTGGATGACACATGTGCACCATCCTGAGAAAATAAAGCACACCTTTCAACAGTTGGTTTAAAATGCATTGTAGCTAACGTGGTGAAAACGTGTTAAATCTCAGCATGGAGGAGGAGGATTGCTCGACGTTTTCTTTGTCTTTTTATCACTTTACAACAGCATGAGTTCAGCAGAAGGTACACAATAAAGAGGATATGGGCATATAGGATTTGACTAATTCCAACAGTAAAGAATACCTTGATTTGAACTTGATCCAGTCTTTAAGAGCAGAGAGCGAGAGAACTGATGAGTGGACAAAACTTGCAGAGAGAGTAGTCAACGTGTTCAGCAGAGCAGAAAACCTGAGCTCAAGCTTCTTGCAGGTACGGAAGACAGTATATTAAGCTGTCTACTGTTTAACGCCATGTTTCTGTATAGATGGATATGAACGCTGCTTTAGTGTGTCCAGTGGATAAAATGCAAGTACAAGAGGGTATCCATGAGTTACTGGAGGTGAGTGTGTAGTTATAGGAGATTGCTGGCCACATTGATTCATGCCAAGCACAGTCTTCACCCTTGATGAAATCTACTATTGTCGTTCGATCAAAACGTTTGCTGAGTAGCATGACGCGAAGCAAGAAACAGGACATGGAACCCAAATATCTCAATATCTTTATCATCCTATTCCAGGTACGTCTATAGTGTAGCAGGGGACATATCAGTGTATTGATATAAAAGTGTGCTAGTGTGATTTTCTTCTAGATGATCAATTGGATACAAGTGCATTTCCAGAGCTCTGTGAAGCAATTGTGCATCTGAATACAGACTTACAAGATCAATTATGCCGCTACTTGATAGAGCCAATAGCTGCCAACGATGAAAGTATCATGCACATTGATATCACCAAAGAGGATTACGCTCAGCAGTTTAGAAAAACGCTTGGTCTGTTTCAGCGATTTGTGCGTAAAAGACTCCTGTATCGCTCGCCCTCCTCCAATGCCACCAGCAGCGGGTTTAGCCCCAATTCAGATCCTTCCGTGATTGATGCTACAAAGTGCATTGCAGCCTTATGTGAGTGTGTGCGTGTGTGTTTGAGCAGTTGGTGTTCTGGATCAACTCATAACCCTACCTAGATCGACTCAATGAACTGGAAAAGTATGTTTCTTACACAGACTTCTACAATGATGCTGTCAATGAGCAATTAGAGATCAAAGAGGATTTTCCCAATTTCAAGGACAAGAAGGGGTAACCGTTAACTTGATAGTGGCAATTTGTACAATATCGTAACCATGCCATTTAGGTTCTCCTTTTGCGATTATCCATTCATGCTAAATCCTGCTGTAAAAGCAGATGTCCTCAAGGTGGAGAGTGTGTTTCAGATGCGACACGAATTGCAGGATGCATTTTTCAGGGCATTATTCCAAGGTAAGTTACAGTAGAGAGTGCCTTAAAAAAGAGTAGTGCCTAAATGGGTGAATAGGTGTAAATAGCCCTTATTTGGTGCTAGAAATTCGTCGTGATCATATCATATCAGATACACTATTACAGGTAAATGGTGAAATGCTGGGGTTTGGTCTACACACTGCTCAATACAATAGTACATAGCTGGAGGAAAAATCGATACATGACCTGAAAAAGCAACTGCGGGTTCAATTTCTTGGTGAAGAGGGTGTAGATGAAGGTGGTGTACAAAAGGAATTCTTTCAACTCATCGTGCGAGAGATATTTGATCCAAAATACGGCATGTTCACTTTCAATGAAGAATCGAGGTTATGCTGGTTTAGTCCAAACCCGGTGGTAGACGATATCAATATCCGAGAGTACAAGCTTGTTGGTTTGCTACTGGGTCTAGCCGTGTACAATAGCGTGATACTGGACCTGCATTTTCCACTGGCATTGTACAAGAAAGTGATGGATGTGGACGTAGGCTTACAAGATCTGAAACAATTGGATCCAGTAAGTCGGTTTGCTGTGTGTGCAGTTCACATGCTTATTTTTCAACCTTGTAGAGTTTGGGAAAGGGACTGGAACGATTACTCTCGTTTGATGGGGATATAGAGACTGAATATGATCGCCCATTTCAAGTGGATGTGCAGTCGTTTGATCATGTGTTTACCTGTGATTTGAAGCCATCAGGCTCTAGAATACAGCTAACTAACGAGAATCGATCCGAGTTTGTGGGGTTGTACGCTGATTTTGTGTTGAGCAAGTCTGTAGAGAATCAGTTTAATGCGTTCAAAGAGGGGTTCCAGCTGGTGTGTCAAGACAGCGCAATCAAGGTAAAAAGAGACATTTGTATTGTATAGTCTATCATTGACAGGCTGAATCAGATCTTCAGACCTGAAGAAGTGGAGCAGCTTATTTGTGGAAGCTCGGATCTTGACTTTGAGGCTTTGGAGACATCGACCGTGTATGATGGAGGATGGACAAAAGATTCTGATATCATCAAGTGGGTCATACCTAAGCGAATCATTGATGCGTAATACTCAATGTGATCATGTAGGTACTTTTGGGAAATTGTGCACTCGTTTTCCTATGAAGAAAAGAAGAAGCTGCTATTTTTTGCTACAGGGTCTGATAGGGTAGGCATTCAATTGACTCATGTGAATCAGTCTTTGCTCATTATTATGATAGGCGCCTATAGGAGGATTGAGTAAACTACAGTTTGTTATTGCAAAGAATGGTGGTGACTCTGACAGGTAAACCTTGATTTGCTTGAGGCTTTATACTGATACTGACGCATTTCAGATTACCCACATCTCACACATGTTATAATGTACTGCTTCTGTGTGAATATAGTAGCAGAGAAAAACTGAGGGAAAGACTGCTAACAAGCATCAGCAATGCAGAAGGATTTGGCATGATTTGATACTATTTAATAAACATCCCTGTTCCGCAGACATTTGAAATCCCTCTTGAAGGAGATGATTTTCGTTTTCATATTCTTTCTTTCTTTCGTAAAGTTTTGCTTGAATGGGGTACACAGTTTTAGAGCAGCCACCTTCAGCCAAGGTACATTGCGATATCAGAAAAAGAGCTGGACTCACACCCAAGAGCGTTGAAGTCGCCGAAAAGGCATTACCCCTGTCAGTTTATGGTGTCAGCATCATCCACGACGAGGATCAATCCGTGGTTGGTATGGGAAGATTGATTGGCGATGGCCATTTGTTTCTCCAGGTTGTCGACATTGGCGTGTTACCAGAGCACCAAAAGAAGGGTCTTGGTAAGCTCATCATGAAGGCTTTGATGGATTGGATCGACAAAAACACAACTCGCGATTGCTACGTTAGTCTTTTGGCGGATGGTGATGCTCATATGCTCTACCAGAAATTCGGATTTATGTCTAGTATGCCAAAGTCTCAAGGCATGTACTATGCTCGCTCATAGTTTGCATGTAACAACATTGGACACTGCAAGTACTCGACTGCGCATTTTTCGGTGTTATATTCATGGTGAATTTTAGGTATACGTTGATGTTTAGAAGATAATGCAGCTTGCACTATTAAGGACCGTTGTAAATCCTTGCTATAGCATTGAAACCACACACAAATTCAAAACGTAGAATGACTTGGAGTGACTCATGTAGTGTAGCATTGTAATAAGCTTTCTGTTGATAATCCTCTTGATTCGTTAAGACAAACGGTGTAACAACATGGCATCTCTCTCAATGGTATATAAACGAAAAAGGCATCCAATAGTTTTTATCTCATTCTATTACGACACTGATAAGATACACATTATTGGAACAAACCGCCTCTGCCATAATGCACTGCGATGTAAGAAGAAGAGTTGGTCTACTCCCAAATCCGTTGAAGTCGCTGAGAAGGCATTGCCTCATACAATGTACGGTGTCAGAGTCATCAATGATGAAGTTCAATCAGTCATAGGCATTGGAAAGCCCATTGGTGATGGCCATTTGTTTTTTCAAGTTGTGGATATTGGCGTCTTACCAGAGCATCAGAAGAAGGGTCTCGGTAAACTCATCATGAAAGCCCTGATGGATTGGATCAACAAGAATATGCCTCGCGATTGCTATTTCAGTCTTTTTACTTAAAAAAATGGCTCTCCTGCTGTAAAAAAAAAGACTTTTGTGCTGTACGAAAACTTTGGATTTGTTCATAGTATGCCAAAATCCAAAGGAGTAATCTATGCTCGACCTCTAGTAGTGTAATGCCGTCTTAAAATTAAATGTCGCTCTGTGTTACTCAGCTTGAAAGCTTCACATCTTGGCCTTGTTTCAAGCCTTTCCCTCCCCCTTTTTCTTATCCATCATTATATATACTGTAAGACATTCAAAGAAGTAGACAAACTAAAGAATTGGGTACCATACGAGGTGAATAAACCATCGGCGAAGTCTACATTGATGAGGGGGGCTTTGGAGGATGTGCTAAGCCCGTCCAGAAAGAGCATAACGCATCTAATTCAACATTTGGTAACGTTGACCTATGAGGCAGTTTTACCGTAGCGAAGTGAAGGTAAAAAACCATGGCAACTAAGCATCTAACCCAACATTTGGTAATATTAATCTTGATGAGGGTTTTACCGCAGCAAAGCAAAGGTGCTAGACCATAGTATTCAAGCAGTAAATTCGGTTTTTTCATTTCCATTATTTTCAAGCTTGCCAACAACATAACTCATCAAAACTTGTATGAATTAGTCTTACCAAAATCAATACACCTTTTATTTGAACTAGACATTGCACAGGCTGCAGAACTGCCTTTCCAGAAGATTTCAGCTACCACAGATGTGATTTATGCCGTGTAAATAAACTTTATAGAACAATACATAACCAAATTTTACAGCTTTCAAGCCTTCATATCTTGATATATAGGCTTTTGTGAGCCATCGGAATGACGCCAAACAATTGTACTTGAGTAGTCGTAACTTCCTGACACCTTTGCTCAACTTTTTGGGCCAAAAAAAAACATGGCCAAAAATCGACCAAAAAGCATGAGGGGTACCTCATGGTTTTCATCGAAAATCAAACGATCGCGTTTTTCAGCTTGAAAATAAAGACTTTTAATATGGTATATATTAAATCGAAATGTTTCTCTCGATCCATAGCAATCTCTGAAACCACTTTTATGAGGCTTTCATATGCACAATATGGCTATTTTCGCTAAAAACCGCATTTCAATTTTTATCAAATTGCTCAATAAGTTCAGTCAATACACTTAGTACAATTAGCACCATTGGAAGCGCCTTGAAAAGTACTTCAAGAGTGTATTAGGAAGCGTGAGGTGATTATTACAGTTTATATAGTCGAATATCATAAGATAGATTAAAGAAGTCGAAAAAAGACAATATCTGTCCAATCTTGAACAGAAAAAAAACTGAGCTTAAATCGATTTTGGCGGCGGCACTGCTGCTGGCTGACCTAAATGCCTTTCTGATGATGGCAATGATGGTTGCGATGCTGATTAAATGGGGACAATGAAGTTGAAAGGGCAATTGGTTAGCCCGAAGACTATCCTTGGGGAGTCTTGCTCATAAAGGTGTCTTTCGCAATGACAGTAAATACTACAGTATACTCAAAAATGAGCTCTTGCACAGATCCAGTTTTTGATTGAGCACTTTATAACGTACGCATTGTCAAGCTTGGCTGCCTCAATTGTGGTCGACGTTGGCAGAGCGCAAATAAAAGCTTCAAGACTCTCACAGATGCAAAAGGCTGCCTAAAGAAAACGTTTCCTTCTAGTTACAAAATCCTGCCCCTAACAAACAAAGGAATGAGAATAAAGCCACTTTTCAACCTCACCATAGCGACCCCGCAGTAAATGTGGTCGTCTCGGATACTCTTGTATGAAAATCGAAGGAGATGATAGCCACGACGATACGATTTTGGTTGCAGCATATGGATAGGATGTCGTGTTGACCAACGCAAATGATTTATTCAATTTTATTGTTGTCAAGGAAAGAAGACCAAAAAAAAGTATGCCCAAGAAAGAGGACAAGACTGATACTAGCGAAGACAGCAAGAAATCAAGTCCTAAACAGCTGTTTGAAGATGTCAAAAAAGCCTGTTATTCTGTACACGAAGCAAGATGGAGAAGACATGTCAAAAGAAACAGCCCAAAAGACGCTTGAAGGTGAAGCTAACTTGCTAAAAAATTACTAAAAAGCTGTCAAAAGATGATCTTTTAGGTACAAGCAAGTAAAGCACTGATTTGGATGAATAGAAGATGTCTGAACAGAATTTCCTGCAACAGATTGCTGCCGACAGCAATATATCTTGGCTTGTGCGAAAAAAAAAAACTTAATAAACCACTATTTCTTCAAACGCTCGATCAATTGCAAACACTTGATATATATGCTTTTGATGTAAAACTGTTCCAAATGGCGAACCAATCGAGCTCATTATTCGCATCAAATAAGTCAAACTGCAACTCACTGATAGAATGTTGCAAAGAGCGTATATATAGAGAGAGAATAGGATGTTGTATCATTCCCATTTTCTTTCATGCAAATTCTATTACAAGAATGAGTTATTATACTGATTTTGAGCATACTAAAGCGCCATATAGCGTCAGAATTGTGAAATTTGGGTGTGAAAATTGCGGTCGTCGTTGGCAGAGCGCCAATGGTAGCCTCAGTGATTACCAGAAATGTAGAAACTGCTATGAAAGATGTTACCCATCCAGCTACAAGATTCAAGCACCCAACAAACGTGGAAATGAGAATCGAGGCACTTTTCAAGCCCACGACACAGAATTATGCGGCCGATGTGAAAGACTAGGCTACTCTTGCATGGAATTGGGCAATGCAATCGACCAAGACAATCTCCTCGTCACTGGAGCTGATGATGAGGATGTGGTATTAACAAAATCAAACGACCTCTTCTCATATGTTGTTGAGCCAAAAATCAAAAGGGGCAAGAACAAGGCCAAAAATGAGAAGAGTCGAGCTATATTCATGGATAGCCGCTCAGATATCGACGTCTACAATACTGCCCATCGTCTGACGATTGTTGATACTGTTTATTACAACAAAAATGACGATGCTTTGGACTTTAGCAAATACAATTACTTGAGCGATGAACAGAAAATGTACGAAGATAGCTTTTACAACATGCTTGATGTGGAGGAGTATTGACAATTTTATCACGAGCAGATATTTCGGCATCAATATGATTTACTGTGTTATAAATCTCTCCAAATACTGATTGCATAATGGGTACAACTCGATAAATTGCTATACACTACTTACCATCATTATGATGGCATTACAATGAAATGATAATAAACAATAATTAAATGATAATAATGTGCTAGGCTTTAGGAAGCTTTACAGCCTTCATTCTGTGTGATGTTATATCTATGAGGTGTTTTGTAAATGTATCTACAAGAACGTAGAATCTAGCCATAATATGCACATAGAGTGAAACACATTATAGCGTCCAATGCCTCTGTACACACTGATCACCAAGTTGAATGGATTTTGCAGCCCGCTCGGGTTTGATTTATTGAATTTTTTTCTGTCGGACAGACTGCATGGCAGGTGGGATTATTTGAACAATGGAAGGCTGCAATATGATGAACTCTCCTTTTTCATTGAGTATTAGAAATGGTATGTATTATAAAAGAATCGCATGGATTTTAGATGGATGTACGATGGATGAATCGGATGGATGATTAGATGGATGGATGAAGATTTGTTTTTCAGTCGGTCGATTTCCAACCAGTACATCCATCAGTGTCCAATCTCCCTCTCACCAACCAAATACTCACCTCCTACATTCTTTACAGCCTTTCGTCAAGCAACAAAAGAACAAGGCCTACTTCAAGCGTTACCAAGTCAAGTATCGCAGAAGAAGAGGTAAATTTTCTATAGTGGAAGATTTGAGATTTGTGTGTTAATCATGTCATGCTGAATGATAGAGGGTAAGACCGATTACTATGCTCGTAAGAGACTTGTTGTTCAAGCCAAGAACAAGTACAACTCTCCCAAGTATAGATTGGTTGTCCGTTTCACCAACAAGGACATCATCTGTCAAATCATCTACGCCAAGCTCCAAGGTGATTTCGTTCTCTCTGCTGCCTATGCTCACGAACTTCCCCGTTATGGTGTTAAGGGTGGTTTGACCAACTGGGCCTCTGCTTATGCTACTGGTCTCCTCCTTGCTCGTCGTACTCTTGCCAAGCTCGGTCTTGCTGACAAGTACGAAGGTTTCGCTGAGCCCGATGGTACCGTTCAATTGATCGAAGCTGCTGAGGATGCTCCCCGTCCTTTCAAGGCTTTCCTCGATGTCGGTCTCGCTCGTACCTCCACTGGTGCCCGTGTTTTTGGCGCCATGAAGGGTGCTTCCGATGGTGGTATCTTTGTTCCCCACAACGGTAACCGTTTCCCCGGTTTCGATATTGAGACCAAGACCAACGATGATGAACTCCTCCGTAACTACATCTATGGTGTTCACGTCGCTGAGTACATGGAATACCTCGAAGAAGAAGATGAGGAGCGTTACAAGAAGCAATTCTCTACCTTCATCAAGGCTGGTATCACCTCTGATAAGGTCGAGGATATGTACACTGAAGCTCATGAAGCTATCCGTGAGAACCCTGCTGCTCAACCTACTGAGAAGAAGGGTAAGCCTGCTAAGCCTTACCGTAGACTCGTTGCCCTCAACAAGAAGCAACGTCTCAACAAGATCAAGGATGCCAAGGCTGCTTTCGAGGCTTCTCAATAAATATTTTAATGTTGCTTTTCAATGTAAAAAAATAAAATTAATATATCATTTTTGACATTTTTCCATAACATGATTTTTGGTACCTGAATTCCTGAGTTTGAACACCGAGCCCAGATCAAGAAATAGATTTTCATAGTATACGTTGTTGCTGTTGGGAGCAGTGCAATGGACATCAACTACTGCTTTTGCGTTTTTTTTTTTTTTTTTTCATAAAAATTCAACGCAGATATCAGGTATATCTTACCAAATAATGCCATGCTTTTCTGCAATTAGAGTTTAAAAAGCGACATTCAAAAGTTACAAAATCTGATGATTTGTACAACTGCTATTGCCTATGTGACCTGTATGGCTTTATTAAATGTGATATAAAACGTATTTTTAAGGAAGCCCTGTGACCTTAAAAAAGGTCTATATAGTGTGTATCCTGGTATTCTTTCACTCTTTCTTTTTATCTTTTTCCTCAATTCTACATTTACCAAACAAACCAACATGTTATCGCACCTAGCCCCTCCCGGTCATTTAGATTTGAATCGAAACACACTTCAAATTCCTTCAGGACCTCCATCGCCCACACTCTCGACAACATCATTCATGTCCTCCGTGTCCTGGATGGCCGAAAAAACATCATCTGAGCTAATCCCAATGTTAAAAAATGCATACAGTGCCCTAAAAGATAAAGAAAAGGGTATGTATCAATATATAAAAGGAAATAGAGGAGCAGCAAAAAGGAGATTATTACTCTACTACTGCTGCTGCTATTGCATGTGTGAAAATCTCATGTGAAAATCAACTTATATCATTATTATTACATTACAGATTTAGTGCTTGCAGCCGAATTAGGTAAATCACTCTTGGAACACAACTTGAGATTAAAGTCGAGTTACGATTCACTGTTGCAATCAAGTACGCCACCCATCACCCCATCCTCATCCACGGCCATTCAAGACGAGCTTGACTCTGGTATCGATTCGCCCACATCATCGGATGAAGACGAAGATGAAGAGGATACCATGCGATTTGTTCCACCCAGAGGAACCCGCGAAGCAATGATTGAGGTACTGGAACGCAAGAACACAGAATTGCAAACCAAACTTGATGTTGCAATGCAAGAGCAAGACAATTTAAGCCGCTCAAATTCAAAAAAGACTCGTCAGCTCGAAAATGAGATCAGCATTTTAAAGAGCAATCTTGACATTGCTTCTACCAAAATACAGGAACTTCAAGCAATGAACGAACGCCAAAGAAAGATGGAACTCTCCAATTCAATGACAACAAGCAGAAACCAAGAGGCGGACACTCTTGTGGATGAACTGTATACTGAAATTGACAAGATTCAGCTTGAAAAAGACCTTGTTGCACAATCAAAAGCAGAATTAGAGGCGAAATTGGCTGCCACTTTGAAAGATCTTGGTGATTTGAAAAAGCAATTTGAGAAATTCGAGTTTACGCAACACGACTTTGAAAAGTTGCAAGAAGCATATGAACGCCAATTCACTCACATTGATCAACTCAACAGCAGCCTTGAGGAACATCGCACCATCCTGCAGAAGCTCAAAGAGAAAGGCATCAACATCCATTCAGCACGTTCAACACCAGCCCCAAGCTGCTATGGAGACGATGCCAACCAAACTGGATTCAGACACACTCTTCTCGGTGAACTCGAATCAGAATGGATGAAGAACAAGGCCAGCTCCACATCTACCAGAACAGCGGCAACAAGACCAGACCAAGAGGAAAATGATTCTCACACGTTCCAATTACGAGATTTTGCTGAATTCACAGAAAAGAAAATGTCAGCCTTCTACAACGTGCCCTCCATTGGCTTTGAAAGCGTGCTGTCTAAAGCTACTGGCATTGATCAAGACCTTTTGGACGATGCACTCGAGTTTATCAGCAAGATTGAACGAGAACACAACCAAGAAAAATGTATGGACTTGTACAACACATTCGACGAAATAGATGATTGTGATTTCGGTATTTTTGACGAAGCCTTTCCATCATCTGATCTGTATCCCAGTCCATTGAAGCCGGAGCAAATGCAAATTCAACGCTTTGTGAATGAGCCTAAAACCTTTGTGGGACGTCTTCGGAACCATGTTGTTAAATTGTTCAATCTCATATGGAGATGGTGTCGATTCTCCATGGTGCTCACTACTGCACTTTTGATCAGCGCATGGCAGGGACCAGATGCTCTCTTAATTACATATTAAAGAAAACAAGTACAACACCTATACACAACACTCCTTATCAATATCACATTCCTGTATACACTCCCTTCATTATTCTTTATTATTATGAATATTCTTAATACTTAGTTTACATAATCCACTCATACATATACACATATTTATGCTTTTAATAGTAGTACATCACCTTCATTCCCCTTGTTTAGAGCCATCACTTTCCTTTTATCGTTATTTATTATTAAAAATGATTATCAATCGACCAAAATGGCTTTTCAGCTGCTATCCGCATCTTTGTGATCAGTTTTCCTATGATTTTAAGTTTCTTTTTGGGTATTTGTTGTTGCTGTTGCTGATTGACTAATTTGATTTGTTGAGGGGGTGGAGGAGAGGATGAGGGAGTGATTTGGATAGAAGATTGACTGTGATCCGAGGCAAACCCACTACCATAGTTACTACTGTGAGGGGTCATCACTTTGTATATTGCTGGATCTTCGTCGTCCAGCTCATCAATAGGTCTTGCCAGACTTTTTTGCTCTCTATAGAATCGATATATATTGTTTTTTCGATTACAATCTGTTGACGATGTAGTGATTGTATTGAATTCATCGTCGTCATCATCATCATCATCATCCTCTCCGTCGGTAAATGAGAGATCTTCCTCCTCTTCTTGTACTTGCTTGAGCCTACTCTTTTGATGATCTGCCGAACACGGTGGTGGAGATGTGCTTTTTGAATCAAACAGCCTCTGCAATGAAAGCGGTGGTGTGATTGAATGCGCAGCCCTTTTATATTGTTGATCAGTACTGCTGCTGCTATTTAAATAGTGTGTTTCATCTGGCTGTTGTTTTCTTGCTAATTCAGGCACACTTGCTTCCAAAATGCCAGACCCATTCTCGTTGGACTCGTAGTAATGGCTTGTCGTGTAGGATACATCTTGTATCATCTCCATGTAGGATTGGTGCACCCAATCTATTGGACTTGGTGGTTTCTTGAGCAATTTGCTGCTTAGTTTTGATGACACTGTGTTAGGGGGGAATTGAATAGGATTGTTCATTTTTTAGATGGAAAGCAAAAGAAAGATGTATTGTTATTGTTTACAGTTTGTGTTGTTTTGCCCAGATATGGAATCAGTAGACAAAGGCATCATGTGTTACCACGCATTGTGCCTTGCTTTTTCAGTGAAAGGGTTCAATGTGGAATGGCTGATCTTATATTTAAAGATGCTTCTCTTGACCTATTAAATGCAATGTGATTTTGGCCTACCATGTTAGAGTAGTTAATAAAGTATACGAGAGTGATGTAGCTTTCATCTAGGAATACGGTTGGAATATCTGCAGTGTAGCTATTATCCCTTATCTACTTTAATATATATCAGTATTGTATGGTCATGTCTAGCTAGTGCCTTGAGATAATATATAATAAGACGACTATGTCTCTTTTTCTTCTTCTTTATATACAGCAAGGATGCGATGCATACGCATGTTCACTTGTGGCAGGTGCGCGTAGAAGTTTTGTTGGAATAGAATAATCTAATCGCTGGAGTCAGATTCTCTAAGACCGTGTACATTGTAGTATGTATTTACAAGCAAATGTATAAAACAAAGCCAAATTTGACAGCTTTCAATCCTTAATATCTCGACATGTAGATCTTTCTGAGCCACCGGAATGCCACCAAACAACTGTGCTCGAGTGGCAGTAGCTCCCTGACACCTTTGCTCAACTTTTTGAGGACCTAAAAAACATGGCCAAAAATCGATCAAAAACCATGAGGGGTACTTCATGGTTTTCGTTAAAAATCAAACGATCGCGTTTTTCACCTTGAAAATGGAGACGTTTACTATGGTATATATTATATCAAAATGTTTCTCTCAATCCAAAGCAACCCCTAAAACCACTTTTGTGAAACCCTCATATGCAAAAGCTCGATATTTTGGCCAAAAACCTCATTTTATATTTTCTAAAATTGCTCAATAGGTTTATTCAAATTATCCATTTTACTTGGCACCATTGGAAGCGTCTTGAAAAGTACTCCACGAATGTATTAGGAAGTACGGACTGACCATCACAGTTTATATAGTCGAATCTCAAAAAATAGATTAAAGAAGTCGAGAAAAGATAAAATTTGTCCAATCTTGAACAAAGCTCGAAACTGAGTTTGAATTTGTTTTGGTGGTGTTGGTGGGTGGTGCTGCTGGCTGACCTGAATGCCTCTCTGATGGTGACAATGATGATTGTGATACTGGTTAAATGGGAAACATGAACTTGAAAGAACCGTCGGTTAGTTTGAATGCTTATTCTTTGCTTTTTTTTTGGCATTTTCATATCTGACAACGCCAATCAGCTTGGCTCACCACCAAAATATATGTAATTGCAACATTTCAACATGGCATGTAGATAATGTGCGTTTCATTGATTCGTATATCGACATATTGAGATATATCAAATCATGCATAATAAGAAGGGCTTGCTTTCTACAGATATGCTAATTTACGAAAGGAGACAGAATATTTCATTGTATATGGCATGACTTCTTGCTCTCTGCGGTCAGTTGCTCCGGCCAACAAAACCAATGAACAATGAAAAGGGATCATTATTGACTTGATCATGACTTGCCTGTCCATGCTGTGCTCATATTTGCCACAAAGACGCTCAAGCTGAGCAAAGCGATTTAACCCAGCGATATCGCTTTGCAAGTTGGCATCCTTGATTGATATCTCGATTGAAAGCAATCAGAAACATACATGTCCAATTTATCCTTTTGGTAGCACTACAATTCGGGCGCCGTTTCCGATCCTTCTCCCTATAAATTACAAATTTCTTTATTGTTGGTCTCTCTTTCTTTCTCTCTCTCTCTCTCTTTCTCTCTTTTCACAACCAAGATACATAAAGACAACATGGATCCAGAGCCTGCAACTGCATTATTCGATACAACTGATCTGGTTCTATTGACCGCTATTGGCTTAGGCACAGCTGCTTGGTTTAGCAGACATCAACTGGCTGAATTATTCGGTAAAAAGAAGCAAAAGGTAGTAACTGCTGGTGCCAATACAGCTCAACCCAAGCGAGAGACCAACTTTGTCAAAGTTATGGAACAACAGGTAAGAGATCCATACAACAGCGGTACGCACAATGGACAGCGATGACTGACCATACATGGGGGGGATGATTAGGGTCGTCGAGTGATTGTGTTTTATGGCTCACAGACAGGCACTGCAGAAGGTTTTGCTGCTCGCATCGCAAAGGAATGCTCTCAACGATTTGGTGTTAGTTGTATGACCGCAGATTTGGAATTGTACGATCTCACCTATTTGGATCAAGTACCCAAGGATAAGCTTGTCGTGTTTGTATTGGCTACATATGGTGAAGGAGATCCAACAGATAATGCCATGGAATTTTGGGATCTTGTTACAGAGGATGAACCTACCTTTTCTGAGAGTAGCGAGGATAGACCCTTGACCAATCTGAATTATGTCATGTTTGGCTTGGGCAACAAGACGTATGATCAGTATAATGAAGTGTCTCGTCGTATCAACAAATGCCTTTTGAAGCTCGGCGCTCATCTGGTTGGCGAGGCTGGTGAGGGTGATGATGATGCTTCTATGGAGGAGGACTACTTGACATGGAAGGAGAAAATGTGGCCTGCATTCTGTGAAACGCTGGGTGTGGATGAAAGCTCAGCTAGATCTGGCCCTAGACAGCCTGTGTATTTGGTCGAAGAATTGCCTGAATATGAAAAGAATGATGTCTACTTTGGCGAGTTGGCTGAGAAGGCCAAAAACAACGCGTAAGTTGAAAATCAAAAAAGCATGTTGAGTTGGGTACTGACTCAAAACTCTTCACAACAGCAAGATCATTTACGATGCTAAGCGTCCTTATATTGCAGCCATGACATCCCGAGAGCTTTTCCACGGTGCAGACCGTCACTGCATGCACATTGATGTTGACATTAGTGGTACCAATTTGAGTTACAATACCGGTGATCATCTTGCCATCTGGCCCACCAACAATGAAATTGAAGTCAACCGTCTCGCCTCTGTTTTAGGATTAACCGACAAATTGGATACGGTGGTTATGGTCAAGGCGATTGATCCCACGGCACCCAAGAAGCACCCCTTCCCTGTCCCTACTACCTATCGCTCCATCTTTAGATACTACATGGAAATCTGTGCTCCCATCTCTCGTCAAGTGTTGAACTCTTTTGTGGAATACGCACCTTCTGAAGAAGCCAAAGCCAATTTGACCCGCTTAGCTACCGACAAGGACGAATACCGTATGCAAGTTGGCGATGCTTGTCGCAATCTGGGTGAGGTCCTTCAATTAGTCACTGGTGCTGATACGCGTCCTGGTCTCTTTGCCAGCGTTCCTTTTGATCTCATTGTCGAAACCATTGCTCGCATGCAGCCTCGTTTCTACTCTATTTCAAGCTCTGCCAAGGAGAGCCCCAAGACCATTTCAGCTACTGTAGTGACATTGGCCTATCAGCCTCTCCCTACACCTCAGCGTACTGTGTATGGTGTCAATACCAACTTTTTGTATAGCATTCAAATGCAAAATGAGCCCACCGTAACTGATGGTCAAGAACATCCTCCTTACGACCTGGCTGGTCCTCGCCAAGCTTACCTTGGTTCGGATGGCCATTGCCACAAGATCCCTGTTCATGTGCGTCATTCTCAATTCAAGTTACCTCGCAATCCCTCTGTGCCTGTCATTATGGTAGGTCCTGGTACTGGTGTTGCTCCCTTCCGTGGTTTTGTTCGTGAGCGTGTTGTAGAGAAGCGCAACGGGAAGCCTGTGGGTACCACTCTCTTGTTCTATGGTAGTCGTAATCAAGCTCAGGATTTTTTGTATGCTGATGAATGGCCTGAGCTTTTCGAGACCTTGGGCGGTGAGTCTCGCATTGTCACTGCGTTCTCTCGTGATCAAGCCCAAAAGATCTATGTTCAACATCGCCTTCATGAACACGGTGCTCAAGTCTGGGAGTTGCTGCAAAAGGGCGGCTATGTGTATGTCTGTGGTGATGCCAAGAGCATGGCGCGTGATGTCAATCAAACCTTCATCAATTGTGCTATTGAATATGGCGGTATGACTGATGAAAAGGCGCATGAGTACGTCAAGGGCTTAAGAACCACTGGTCGTTACCAAGAAGATGTTTGGAGTTAAATGAGTCTCATTGCATTAATCTTATTTCTTAATTCACTGCATTATTATACAACGCATTTTAATATAGACATTCCGCTTTTCCTTTTTTTTTTTTTTTATTAAACTATATCCCATTCTTTCGTTCTTCATCAATAAACACCTTGCTAAATAATCACTGACCAAATAAGCGCCTTTCCAATGTACAGAATTTGCATATTTCATTATGGTGTAACAATCACGGTGAATTCTTGCTGTGCGATCATGTCAAACAAATAAGAACATCCAATTGGTGTGGAGAATCTCTCCTTTTAGATGTCTATACACATGAGATTTTCATTGCATTACATGACGAATTTTATTGAAATTGCTAAATTTGCGATATCTGGTATGATTAAAAACTAAATCTTAATAGGAAGGGACACAGCAAGTAGATGATTCAACAAATTCCCTATGATTTTTTCCATCAGCACATCATTGCTTGATCCCACCGTTGGGTTCTCATTTACCATTCGCCTTCGATCATGTCGTTTGTCATTTCATATTTGCTCAAAGCTTGTGTAAGTTCATCAAGAGCTGCCTGTACTTTGGAGATGCCGTCTGTCTCCACCTCAGACCACAGTTGTTCTGAGAGATATTCTTTCAGCTGCAGGCACTCTTCGTAGGCATCCTTATAATCCGCTCGCATGTCAATATACATGCTGTCATGGATAGCATTTCCCCCCACATACCTTTGCAATCTCGTTCGCTTTGATTTGCTGTGGGTCCATCATAACAATCATGTGTGTTAAGAAGGAGCTTGACTTTTTTGAGTTGATGATGGCCTCATCCACACTAAGATTTAAAGGAGTGGTCTGGAATGACATGAGAGGATGAATGGGCCATTGACGAATGCAGAGATTACCTTTGAGACGGTGTATCCGGCGACCTGAGCAGACATAGTATAGTTATATATAGTTGTTTTTTGAAAGGATGAAGATGAAGAAAGAGAGGAAAAAGAAAAGGGAAAATGTGGAGTAAAAGGGAGATTCCATTATATATACCATACACATACACACACACACACAATAAGCAAGCAGAGGCGTGTGTACACTTTCACATGTCAACAGAAAGAAGCGTACAGCGCGCACTTTAAATGTACATGCCAGCACAAGAAACACGTTTATTGACCTTGTGCAACTCTGCAACATTAGCAACTGCTGTGGAGAACGCCTGCAAATACGTTCTCAAGCTTGATGGTTTAGGAAAGCATCATAAGAGCGTGAGTAAATAAATAATGCATAGTCTCATTTTTCATCGTTTTCAACGAAACAAGAAAGAATTCCATCTGATGTGTTTGAATCCATGTGGATTTGTAAGGTGATTTCTATTGTTTCCATCAGAAACTAGGCGGGGATGAGTGTATACATTATAATGAGCCAAGTGCAATGTCATCATACAGAATCATCATCATTATAATGACGCTCGAAATAAACACTTTGCCAGTAGAGCCCTCAAAGGTCAACGCTGCCTTTTGGGATGGGAGATTCTGGGATTTGCCATTGTGCTTTAACAAGGCTGCAATAAACCCCGAGTGTTGAGCAACATTTCATTCCATGACAACTTATAGCTAAATACTCCTAAAAGAGATATATTCACAAAAGAGAAATTACATCATAAACAAGCAACGTGTTTAATTACATGGTAAAGGAGGTTGATGCTTAATAAAACGCAGATTAACTGAATGATGGTGAATACTTTTGAAACCACCATGTACATTTGATGCCTGAACGATGCATCAAGATGGCTTTGGTAACTAAAAGTTACACCAGTGTGTTAGGTACAGGAGTTAGAGCGGTACAAGGAGATTTTCTATTCATATGAATATTGCATGTGGTACCCAACATTTGTTGTATGAAGCCCTTCGATATATATATATAAACAAGGAGGTTTGGCAAGTTTCTGCTGAGGTCAATGAACAGGCCATCTATGTTTATTTGCTCTTTTCATCTCATGCATGTGGATGATTCGCATTGCACATGTCTTCCTTCACCAAGAGAGAAGAGCAGCTTAGCAGGATGCTTTCCAACTTGCAGCTACAGCAGATTTATTTGCATAGTCTAAAATCACTGTTACATTTCCAAGAAATGCAGTATAGACTCATTTCCTGTATATAGGCTCCCCTTACAGTTGCTTTTGAGAGAGAAAGACAAGAAAGTGGTACTCCTCTGGCCTGGATATCACACCAGACTAATGAATGTTCATAATATCAAACAAAAAAACTCATGTCGTTCCTATTGCTAAACAAATTGCCAGTACGCTTTATAATGTTGTGTTTACAAACAAAAAGCTTAATTTAGTCCAAGCAGCTCTACTGTTAATACACCATCTGTTAGGCGTTTGCTAGCTGTGTGAATCAAGTAGCTTCTTGTGCGTGAGGTGTATCCGATGCTTGAACAGAAGGACAAAGCTTCCATCATGTGCTACAATGCCACTCAAAAGCTATTCTTTCTGCTCATAGTGAAAGCATGTCAAGTCTATGATCAGTTCTGACACTCTAAAAGACGCTTCGAGTATCCTTTATAGTTGCTTCATGTAGATGTTACTGATGCAGGCCATGCAATAGTCCACATGCTTATTAGTGTAGTTCCTTGTAACTTCCCACATGTAAAATTGGCAATACATCTCGTGAAGTCAACTACATCTAAGCAAGATCAAGACAACAAGTAGCCGCTCCGTCTAATGATGGCTACATTGCATTGCCACTCAATGCCATCCCCTCTCCAGCCATGTGTGTTTTCAGGATAGCAACGGCGACAAGCTAATTTGAAAGTCTCTCATTCTAAAACCAAGTCAAGACTATAAAAAAAAAGATTTTTTTTTGGATACGATCAAACACTCTCTTCTTTTCGTTTCCACAACTTTCTGCTGATCCTATCTCTTAAGGCTTGTCTCTCATGTCATATAATAGCTCGGCTTCCGAAGAGCAACAGCAACTACCAGAAGTCTTTCGACGTCTAGGCAAGACGGTGCCCCCAAGAGAAAGGAGAAGCTATTCTGGTAGCCAACCGCCTCAAGGCTCAGGCTTCAGATTTGTGCGCCCCTTCCAGGCTAAACCACACTATCCTCCACCTAATGATTTCCATCATGCCAATTACAATAATATAGTCATCCAAGCGTCTATACCTTCTCCTCCCCTCTATCACCGACCTCAAATGAACAATGAAAACAACACAATGGGATTTCATACCACGTTTCGTTCTAACGGCAACAACAACAACAACAATAACAACTCATTGAAAATGGACAATACCCAGTCGATACCTGTTCCTTATCATTCACCTGCTTCTTCTTCGATTTCCTCTTCTACTCCTCTTTCTTCGTCTCCTTTACCACCACAAAACGGTTTCAGTTTTATACCAAAGGATACTAATTCCAATCCAAACCCCATCATTTCTTTTATTCGCAACCCAAACACTGGTGCCATGCCGTCTACTGCCTACAGCACCCCTTATCAATTCTTTGGCAATGGTAACGTAAATCAAGTAAGTATGAACAGCGGTCAGCAAGTCTTACACCCATCCCCGCCTGTCGCCGCCTCTGCCCCCGTGTCCAATGTCGCCACTACTTCTGCTGATGTCTCCTCGGCCCCTCCTCCTTCCCCTCAAGCCACGATTTCTGGCGCCTCTGTGGTGTCATCCTCATCCTCCAATGCCAAAAAAGAAAGCACAGCCTCTTCCTCTGACAAGAAGACATCTTCACCGAGTACGTCTTCCTCTCGCAAATCAGAACAAACGAAGCTTCAGAAACGGGTCCCCAATGACCATGGCTCCAGTGATGAAAATCAAGAGGAAGCTCCATTTCATCAAAGAGACATTCTTGCCAAATCCATCAAAATTATCGCTTCTCGCCCATTAGGGTCTGCAGATAAAACCTCCTGTCGAAAGCATACTCGTCATAGTGATAGTGAAATAAGTAATGGATCAGATGAAGAGATTATCGTCAATCGAAAGATTGTTGTCGCCTCTGATGATATGGACCTGGATTGCCAGAGCAATGGACGTAATAGTTCGCCTATTCGAAAGAAGCAAAGACGACTCATTTCGCCCACCATTCCCGAGAGAAGAACATCGCTATCTGATGGCTCTGATGACGATGATTCTCCCAATACAAAAAGCAGATACATCATGCGGTCTCCCTCTCCCATGTCTGAAGATCGCCATCGTCGCTCTCTATCTCGCACCAGATCCCGTTCTCGCGCTCGTTCAAGATCTCGCTCTCTATCTCCTTTAAGACAAACAAGACAACGCCGCAGATCTGTATCATTCGCAAGACAAGACAGAGATCATTCTCCAGGTTCCAGTAGTGACGAGGAACTTGCACCTTTCTTGAGACGAGAAGCTGATCGCTATGTTCCTGATTACCACAGAAGACCATTGCCACCTCAATGGCGTAAGAAATCACCACCTGCGAGAAAGCCTCCATCTCTCTCACCTGCAGAGACCAATGCCGTCAAAAAATCATCGTCATCATCGTCTCCTTTGGCAAAGAAGTCTGCTTCCACTAACTCCAACATGTCTATTAATGACCGACTCAATCAAGATCGACCCAAGGATCTGAGATCATACCCTCCTCTTGGTACGTCGCCCATGTCATTCAATAATCCTAGATCAAGAGCTGAAGCAGAGACATCACCATCTTCAAAACAATCATCTGCCAAGAAATCTAGTCCTCTCATCAGCCATAACATCATTACAAAATGCTCACCTAGTGTTGCAAAAGCCAAGAGCACCTCTGCCGCTGCTTCATCTGCTCTGAATACCAAGAAAAATGCGTCTCCTGCTTCCGAAGCTGCCCAATCAACACTTCAACCAAATGGCACCAAGCCGGATAGTACGAATAGCATTGACAACGACACCAACCTTATACCTATTAAACAAGAGACAACCACACAGTCGATTATTGAACAGCCTAAGCCTGTAGCCACGTTGAATAAAGTGAGGAACATTGATGCCATGGCAGGCATTGAGACTCCAAGTCGGCAAACTACGCCTGCAATGTCTATGGACGGCTCTGCATCTGTTACTCGTGTAAATCATGGCCATGCTTCTCCCGATACCTCGTCGAATAAGCCCACTGCTGTTTATGCACCCAAGGCCACTGTTGCCGCTGAAACCACAGCCCCTCATCAACAACGCAAGCGCAAAGCTTTCAGTGATACATTGATAGGGAATGATGCTGAAGCAAATGCGAATGTATCAACATCATCGCCTGCTACTTCCTTTGTGAAACCTCTGGTAAATGGTACACCAACAAACACTTTAACAGCAACCACCACCATCAACGCCACCAGCACCACGCCCTCACCAGCAGTGAGTGGGTCATCACAGCCTGCCAAACGTGCTACCATCACGCCAGAAGCAAGAGCAGCCATCAGAAAGAGAGCAGCAAAGGAACAAGAACGACTTGATCAAGAACGCCTACGACAATTGGATATTGAGGACCGCGATGACATTGTCATGGACATAGCATGCCCTGCCAGTCAATATCGATCTTCAGCAGTAACGATGGCAAACAAAGATCCCGTGATGAATGTGTCTGAAAACCAGATAAATAAGAGTACCGAATTAATGCAAACAATGACGACAATGGCTGATCCAACCAACATGACACCTTATTCCCCAAAGCGTAACAACGACGATGCTACCACGAATGACGAGCAAGTAGCAGTTCCAATTGTAAATCACCCTACATTAGTATTAAATATGACAAATCCCGAGAATGCCCCTTCACCTGATACGACGACAGCAGTAGGCACAAATAGCGCATTTACAAATTTGGCAACAAGCAGTGATAACATGTCTGTCCCTGATGGTAACATCACGGAGCAGACTAAGTCAATGCCATTACAAACTCTACCTCCTGCATCCTCCTCCTCCTCCTCCTCCTCCTCCATATTAGAAGCTCCCATTGCGCACGTCTCTATTGCTGTAGCGGCGGCAGCTGTTACGAAACCAGCGGCCAAAAAGAACTCCAGAAGACGATTACCAACACCATGGAAGGTCAAGATGAATGACTCTGGTGACATTTACTATCATAATCCTGTTACGGGAGAAGAAACATTTGCTCGACCTGAATAAATATTTGTATTTACAGTGGCGTATGGTACATTTCTCTTCATTTTACACAGCAGCAGCAAGAAGAAATTCTGTATTTGATGTGCATCTTATTGTTTCCGGATCCATGGCATCGTGTTGTGTGCTCTATTAGACCCTTTTTTCCTGGTTCCATGAGGGCAAAAAAAATGCTTCTTAGTACAACTATGAGCCTCGGACACAAAAAGATAAAGAAAATTGCAATAATGATTAAGGGGAGATGTTGTAGTCATTTGATTGATTATCCATTCATATATAAATAAGCTTTATTTGTGATCTCTCATTGATAAATCCCTCTTTTTTTTTTTTTTTTTTTTTTTTTTGTTCCATCATTACCTTCATCACTAAGTTATTTTATTACACTTTTTTTTTCTGCCGCTTAAATATTGATACATGGACATTGAGACCACAACTTCTATCGTAGCCGCTGTATTTGGTGCATTCATCTTGATTTATGGTGTTTGCTCGCTAATTATTAAACAAAAATTGTACATTTCGGAAGCCTGTAAGTGTTGCTGGCAAGTGACAAGAAAATAGCTCATTTGTGCTACATTGTAAACTAACGCATGCAATACAATAGCCATTGCCATTTTTTGTGGGGTTTTATGTGGGCCTGTCGGTTTCAATCTGATCAACATGGATGGTTGGATCTACAAGGAAGATATTACAAGGCAGTTTTCTCGCATCGTCATAGCAATTCAGGTATACAGTATATATGTATATGTCCCTTGATTTGGTAATGCACTATTTAACCTCTGTGCTCGTTCAAGGTGATGGCCGCCGGTGTATCGTTACCAAAGGCATATCTTAAAACGGAATTTCGGTCACTGCTGGTATTGCTGGGCCCTGTTATGATGTTTATGTGGATGACCACAGGTCTATGCGTGTGGTATTTCATACCCAACTTGTCTTTTGTAATCATATATTTGCTAATAGAGCATGGACAATGTGATTAATGGCTGCTTGTATCTTATTTTATAGCTTGAAGCCTTGATGATTGCAGCTTGCTTTACACCCACAGATCCAGTAAGTTGATTTGCGTATACACGACATTAGTATAATAGATCATCCATTTGACATGTGGCAGGTATTGGCCAATTCCATTGTACAGGGCCATTTTGCTGAGAAATACGTACCTGCCAATATTCGAAACATCATTATAGCAGAAAGGTAGGGTTCTTGGTAAAAGCGCAATGAGAGAAACAACTAATGAAGACTATGTGTATGCAGTGCTGCCAACGATGGTTTAGGATACCCCTTTTTATTTTTGGCCATCTATTTAATTCAAATGTCATCTGCTACGGAAGCCGTATTCAAATGGTCCTGGTATATCATGGGGTATGAAATTGGTTTCTCTATTCTTGTAGGGTTCTTTGTGGGATATGTAGCCAGAAAAACTCTTAAATTTGCCGAGAAAAGGTATACATGATGCAGCGCATAAATTTGAACCATTATGCTCAGTTTTTTTTCTCTCCCCAGGGATTGGATTGATAAAGAGTCTTTTCTGGTGTTTGCTATTGCTCTCGCCGTAAGTTTTCGCTGCTTTGATTGGTATGTGCACTGACCAGTTGCTTCCATTCAAAGCTTTTCTTGATGGGCTCTGTGGGGCTCATGGGTAGCGACGATCTTTTGGCTTGCTTCATTGCTGGAAACTCATTTACATGGGATGACTGGTTTAGAGAAGAAACTGAAGATTCACATCTATCTGAAGTCATTGACATGCTACTCAATCTTAGCATGTTTGTATATATTGGGATCACAATGGTATGTCTCTAGCCTGCAGATGAATTTCTGTTCTTACATTCTGCCATGCTTATTATAGCCATGGTCCTCCTTCAATAATCCAGATACACAACTGACCATATGGACATTGGTGGGCCTAGCTACATGCGTTCTTCTCTTTAGACGACTGCCCAGTATCGTGGCATTATATAGATACATCCCAGCGATAAGAGACTGGAAACAAGCCATGTTTGCTGGTTGGTTTGGCCCAATCGGCGTCGGTGCATTGTTTTATTATACCATTGCCATCGAATCTTTTCCTTCCGATGGCGCAACCGATTACGCTAGACAAGTTATAGAGCCTATCATTTATTTCATGATTTTGGCTTCTGTCGTTGTTCATGGATGCACTATTCCATTTTATCTCTGGGGATCTCGAGCATCTCGTACATTGACAAAGCCAGGTACCTCCTGTCATAATATCAGTAGTGATGTAAAGATATCTCCTGTAAACAGTGCCAGTTCTTATGGATCCACAGAGCATAGATCTGTCTCTGTAGTTGAGAATACTGTATAATGTTGGCCGGCACTGCTTTAGGCATCCGTTGCTAATATTCAGCTGCCTATCTTAACTTGCCAATTTTCTTTATATATACGTGTCTGTAAATACAATTTCTTTACAATAAAGATTTCTTCATGTGCTATGCCAGTTCATCTTCCATGAACACTTGCTTTGTATTATCAGCAAATGCGCATAATGCCTAGCATTCCATCCTAAATCTTTACCACAAGTTGCCTCTAATACACAGTAAGAGATTACAATTGCTTAATGTGCGGCTGAGCAGTTTTTTTTTTCGAATTGTTTATATATACCATGGCGAAGTTGTTTTTACATGTCCAACGAATGAGATGCAATAAGCGTTGGCCAGATTTGGGTTTTAACAGTAGGATTCGCAGTTGAAGTATTCAATGTAATCTCGAGAATAGCATTTTGTTGCATTATATCTGCAGTTAAACGGGCAGTTCCCGATCATTGAAGCTATCCAATATAAAATAAGCAAAAAAAAAAAGCAAAAAAGGTAGCCATGTAATACAATATTACTTTTCAATTGACAATCATCTGCTGATTAGTTTTCAACAGTTTCCATTGTCATCACAATTTGCATGGTATTACGTTTGCCTGCTAAAACTAATTTAAACTCAGAAAAAAATACGCTGTTTAAGATTGGCCAAATATTGTAGTTTATCGACTTGATTAAACTATTTTGACACATTTGATTATAAAAACTATGATGATCACCTCGTGTTCCCTTAAGCTTTTATAAAGTACTTTCCAAGGCGCATACAATGGTGTTGATTTTAATTGGTGTTTTGAATAAGCTTACTGAGCAATTTTTAAAAATATGAAATGAGGTTTTTAGCGAAAATAGCCATATTTTGCATATGAAAGTCTCATAAAAGGGGTTTCAGGAATTGCCTTGGATCGAGAGAAACATTTTGATTCGATATATACCATAGCAAAAGTCTTCATTTTTGAGGTCAAAAAAGCGATCGTTTGCTTTTCAATGAAAACCATGAGGTACCCCTCATGCTTTTTGGTCGATTTTTGGCCATGTTTTTTAGGTCCTCAAAAAGTTGAGCAAAGGCCTCAGTAAGTAACTGCTAGATGAGAGCAACTGTTTGGTGCTATTTTGGAGGTCTAAGTCGGCCTCTAACACGAAAAAAAACACGGCCGAGGTGTACGTTGATTTGCCTATTTTTGAGTGATAAGAGGCAACGCTGGCATGCTGTTTGCTCGTATATGACTAGTAATCGTTAATACCAAGTTGTATCTTCCTGAAAGAGTCAAATCCATAGATCAATGCAGTAGAAGTGAACAATGATCGTATCCAATGCATTGATAACCTGTTTACTACGCTCCATCTTTAATGCAAGGCACAATCATGTCATGCCGCAACTCGTCGATCAGGAAGTTCAAGACATTCTTGACCAAATCAGGTTTACATGAAAGCAAGAAATCCAGCTCAAAGAAACGCTTTAGTCATTTGAGTATCGCATAATACTCAATGAGTACACATGTCGAGGCATTTTGTTGCAACAACATACACAGAGTAAGTTTATACTGACATGAAAAATCTACGCTGATCAACGCCTTGTTCTATCCAATCACTGTCCATCCGATGGCATCACCATGATTTTAGCTTGTTCCGGAAGAATATTCCAAATGTGAATGCCATGATACGCACACGCACACGGGGAGAGAGAGAGAGAGAGAAAGCTGTCGTATTACATCATGATGAAACATTTTTTGTTGAGTATAAATAACAATCTATACGCACATATCTCGCACACCTTGTTCTTTTTTTTTTCTTGATACACAAACAATACAAAATGGTTGATAATATGCTCCAATACAGTGGTGGTCTCATTGGCCTCATCATCTTAATTCTCGATTTGATCGTCATCTTTGAGGTCATGAACTCTAATCGTACCATCACTGGTAAACTTGGTTGGTCTCTTTTGGTCTTTTTCTTCCCTGTTGTTGGTTTGATTCTTTACTTGTAAGTTGATAGTGTTGTTTTTCGTTAAAAATGGGAAGGGTATTAACATGCGTGCACTTTGTAGCTTGTTGAGTGGTCGTAGTGAACATAACGCACGATACGAGGCGATTGTCTAGTCGAAACATTTACTAAATATTCCTAATCATCATCCCTAATATCGTTTTATTCAAATAAAAAACTTGTAATAATCTACTCGAAACGGCAATGTTCGATACGCACAGTGTCCTTGGGACTAGCAGTAAACATGTTAGTATCTCCATGCAAGACTGTATAATACACATCATACCGATCATTGCCATCTGTTCTGACCAAGCCCATTCTCTTGACTACGTTCATTCCATCACTCACTCGTCCAAAAATTGTGTGCTTGCCTAACGGTTGAATGCTGTGTTAGATCATGTGAATTGTTCGCGTAGTAATATACATCCAGTACCATCTAACCAAGGAGTAGGGGCTAATGTGATGAAGAACTACACAGTGTAATCGAATGTTGGTACAGCTATAGACTATGCATGATGGCTTGATCTATTTTACCTGAGATCCGTTGGTATTGGGACCAGAGTTGGCCATACTGAGGATACCAGCACCCGTATGCTTGAGTTCAGGGTTGATTTCGTCTGCAAACTTCTCGCTAATACACAGCATCAATATCCCAAGTCAATGGTTTAATGATCCCTTCTAGTTACCCATAGATCGATGCGCCACCACGACCCGTTCCCGTGGGATCACCACCTATGCTTATGCATCAGTACTTGTAAACATCACTGTTCATCAGTATAGACTCTACCTTGAATCATGAAATCCTAGGATTCAAGCAAAACATGTTAATAATCACCATGCTGATAAAAAAAAAAAATCCAATGTCAACCTACAGCAATGATGCGATGAAACTACAAGACTCGATCAGTAAAGAATTGGAGATTCAATAGACCACAACTTACGCTCACACCATCATAATATCCACGCTTTGCCTAGAAACATGTGTCAACCGTGCATTCTAAAAAGAACAATCTAAATGCTTACAAGCTCATAAAAGTTTTTACATGTTCTAACGAGGAAAAAGGAGTCAGTTTGATCACATTTGTACACACTCAATTCCACCTACTTTGGTGCATGGTCCCAGTACAATTCAATGTGAATTGAACCCATGGACGTATCGAGAATGACAGACTTGTTATCAGACATATTATAAACACGAGATGAAAGAAAAACAAGCAAATGGTTATTTGACATTTTTTTTTTTTCTATTTATTCATATACTACAATTAAACGACAGCTCGCTAGTCAAATGTAACCTTGGTGCCCTTAAATTCTTGCACAGAGGGCTTTTGTCTCTGTGCAGCGTACAATGCTTGACCTGGCTTCACCTTTTCATGACTGACGGCCTTCTTGGGGCGTCTCTCTCTGAACTCTCTCTTTTCTTCACCGTTTTCACCACCTTCATTATACTCTCTTCTTTGTCTCTTGTAAGGAGTCTCTTCAGATGTTGCTGGTGCTGTTGTGGAATCGGCGGCTGCATTTGTGGATGTGTTGTGAGGGCGCTCTGTCCTTTGCTTTTCACGCATTAACCAAGGTTTTGATCTCATGTGAGCTTCAGCACTACCAAATTCGACACGCACTTTACGCCCATCCAACATGTGCTTATCAGGAGCACGAATGGCCTTTGTAGCAGATTCCACTTCATGATAATCGACGTAACCAAAGCCTTTACATTTGCCTGAATCTTCAAATGTAGCCACACGCACTTTACGGATCTCGCCTGCCCATTCAAAATTTTCACGGATCGACTTTTCAGTGGTATCGAAACTGAGGTTACCGAGGAAAAGGGTAGGGCAAGGTGGGTTCTTTTGCTTTTTGATTTCTTTCTTTTCAGCTTCTGTGGGTGCTTTGGATCCATCAGCACGCTCAAAATTCTCGGAATCCTTGATCAAGAGTGAACGACCTTCCAATTTCTTTTCTGACATGGCGACACCCTTGGCAGCTTCTTCAGGTGTGGAGAAGAAGATGTATGCAAAACTGTAAGCTTTGTTAGCTCGAGTGCTGTAGAATCATAGGACATGCAAATTTACCCCTTGTTGTAGTTTTTGGCTCCATTTCCCTTGGGACATTTGATACGAGTAATTTCGCCACACTCCTGGAAGAATTCCTTGATTGTAGCCAAAGTGGTTCCATAAGAGAGATTACCCACCCAGATACCGTACTCCATCTCCTTTTTTTTCTTTTCGGCTTTGGGCTTCTTGACAGGCTCAACGACATTGCCATCTGCATCCAACACTGGTTCTTTGGGCTCCTCATCGTCCTTTTCTTCTTCATCGTCTGTCAATTCTCCTCTCTACAACATGAGCATCATTAGGATCTGGTTATCAAAGCATTGCATTTCGGCCACTCACCTTTCTCTTCTTGTTCAAATCCTTCTTGGACTTTTTCTTTTCTCTGTTTTTTCTGTTGATCTCACGTTGAGCTTGTCTCTCCTCTTTGGTCATCTCCTTCTTGAGTCTCTTCTTTTCGGCCTTTTCAGCAAGACGGGCTTTCTCTTCTTCGTCTACTTGCATTTCAGTGATTTCTTCGAGGACATTGAAGGTATCATCCTGCTCTTTCTTGGTCTTGGATCCCATTGTGATGTGCTGTAGTACTGATATAAAGGCAATGTAAAACAAAAAATTTGACCTTGTGTTTCCCAGCTTTCCTTTTTATTTGAATTCAAGGCATTGATGAACAAGTCAAAATGGTCACATTGCATTGCGAAATGGGTATTACACACTGCGTCTATATCAAGCCACTTTGAACTGCATTCTTTCCTTCTATTATGCCACCTAAAGCTGATGTACGCCGCTTACTGAAAAAGCAACAGCAAGAAAGAAACAAAGTAGCGAAAATCACACACCCGTTTGCCAAATATGATCAGGCAAACCGTCTCGTATGCGTCGTATGCAACTCGCATGTGAAATCAGAGTCTGTTTGGCAAGCGCATTTAGGGTCGCAATTACACCGTGATAACATACACAAGCTCAAAGAACTCAAGCAACAACAGCAGCAGCAACTAAAGCGTCGTGCAACATCCCCATCACCGCCCAAGTCTTCCACGCAACCATCTGAGAGCAAACGTATGCGACTCGATGAAGAGCAGACTCGACAAGACATCGAGTTGAGCCAGGATGAGTCTGATCAAGAACAAGAGGATGAGGAGATGGGACTCCCTGCTGATTTTTTTGACAAGCAAGAAGAAGACAAAGACGAAGATGAAGACATACCCAAAGAGGTGGAGGAAACGCTAGCTGCCAGTGACAAAAAGAATTCCAAATCACTACCGTCTGGGTTCTTTGATGACCCAGACGAAGAAGCACGCGTTCAAGGCACACTTGCACCTGAAGACCAGGCAAAAGCAGACTTGGAGAGAGACGTTGAGATGTTCAACGAAGCCATGATGGATGTCACTGAGAAGTCCAAGCAAGTGCAAGCGGAGGATGACGAGACGTTTTGGGAGGAACGACATCTGGATATCACTCGAGAGCAGGCCAAATTTGACTCCAGAGTACAGAAATTAAAGGAATTACGACAGACTGGCCAAACCAGGATGGTCATTGATGAGCATTACGTGGAAGAAGAATTCGAGAATGACAGTGGCATCAAGACAGGTCTAAAGACCAGCGTGAGACAAGTGCTTAAAAGCAAGCCCACAAAGCAAGTGGCATCCATGTTTGATGACGAGGAAGATGAGGATTCAGATGATGATGATCAAGATGATCACGATTGGCGTGCTCAACAACTTTAATATATAAAATACCAACAAGGATGACTTTGTACAATAAAAAGGACATGCTAAAGACAGCAATTTATTCAAGATGACATGCTTTGAGATGCTGCACCAGGTGCTTGATTGAGGACTTCATCAAGACTGACATGACGAGATAGCTCATTAAAGACCTATATGTAATTTGCAATTGATTAGTCCTGGTGTTCTGCATATATTCAAGAGAAGCACACTTACCGTCTCATCTACTGGTATAATGGATTTGCGTCTGAAAGATTGATATTGCGCAGGTGGGACGTCAAATTGCTGCATGTCTGGATGAATATCATCCTTGTGTTCTCCTGTCTGCTGATAATCAGCCGCACTTCCGTCTAGGCCATCCGAGATGTCTAGTTCTTCTAGTTCAGCAAAGCAATCATCTAGAAAACCTACAATCAGTATAGAGTCTTTAGGTGCATATCTGTGGTTTACATACCACTTGGACTATCAGCTCTGTGATAGTCTGAATTTGTGTTGTACTCTTCCTTTTCCTCCTCCCCAGCTTCCATTCTACATGGGACCTCAGATGTATTGTGCTGTGATGCACTACTCATTCTCTCTACCTTTTGCTGTAAATGTCTCCAGTTGTCCTCTCGTTCCTTTTGATGTTTACGCTCTAGTTGTCTCTGATTCTTGTATTCATTGGCACATTCGTCAAACAAAGCTGGATCAATGTCAATGCATAGCTTCAGCGCAGTGTATACCAAGCTGAGAATAGTTCTGATTCATGCCAGTGTGTCAATTTCATTCACATTTGCGCAGAAAATGGTGAAACTTACTTGTTCCAGTGCGTTTTTGATGTCTTGTACAATGTGGGGAATATCAAGGGCATGATCACCTTTATATTTTCAGCCATCAGACTGACTACATAGTCATTGTTCCAATAGTACAAGGCTCTCTCGGATACTTGAAAGTGAGAACTAGCAACGCATTGACTTAGTTTGGTGAATAAGGGACACATGATCTGCTGAAATTCAGGTACATCCACAATATCAAGAATCTCTTCTATTTCATTCAGAAACATGACCTCTTTTGAGCTGTTGACTTTGGGCCAATAGCGCAAAAGACCTGTAACCACCTACAGAGAGAGAGCAGCGTTGAGTATTCACGCTCTTTTAATAGCATGCTATCTCACAGCTTACCTCATAAGTCAGAGTTCGGTCCTTTTCCAAGAATTGCACTACGCAATAAGCCAATTGAGGATGATAGAGCGCCAATGATTTTGCCTTGTGCAATGGCACCAACACTCTTGACAAGAATAGTTTGTGCTCTTCCTTCAAAGGCAGAGCAAAGCCATTAATGATGCTTCCCAAAATTTCCAGAAATTCAGCAACACCATTGTGTCTCTCGGTCTCGTAAATGAATTGAAAGAATATATTGTTGATGGATCGACGGATAAAGGCACGCAGGTTCAAAAACTTGCCGTATATTCGATGCAACGTTGTCTTTAGATAATCACGTTCTCTGGGATCTTCGGAATCAAAGAGATCCAGCAACTGAGTAAAACAAGGTATCAACATCACCATGTCTGCCATGCTTTGTAACGCTTACCTGATGAATAAACTTGTGGTCAATGTACTTTTTGGCAAAATTGATGTTGAATTCAGGCGACTCGAGAAATCGCAAGAAGAATTCGTACACAGTTTGTAGATGAGGCCAGGCTAGTTCCAAAACAGGCTCATCTTCCTCGGGATCAAATGCGTCACCCACAGGATTAACTTGAGGGGGAATAGGACGAAAGAGATTGACACCAAACTTGGGGGTGGGAGCAGAAGTCAGTACTGCGAGTTTCCATGTGTGAGAATATACAATACCATGTTGATGATCTCTGGGTACACATTCTCGGTTAAAACGCCTCTATTCATGGAAATGTGATCCAAGATCTCTTGCAATGTTTGACGTTTAATCTCCTTTTCTCGCAGTTCAGCAGACGCATCACTAAAATCAAACACCACAGTACATTGCTTGATCTTTTGGATGAATAAATCAGGGCGCATATGACTAGGTACTTCATGAAAGGCGGGTGTTGGCTCCAATTGCACTTTTTCAGTAACGTAGAATCTAGATGATTTCTGTCTACGAGGTGCTTTGCTGATGGGGATCTGATCTATGGGAGCATTCTTCAAACGATGGTGCAAAGGGCCTGTCTTTGGCACGTCTCTATCTCCAGGTTTGACATGAGGATTGTTATGCATGAAAGAAACGTTGTTATTCAATCTATTCTTTTGCTGTTGTTGTTGTTGTTGTTGTGACTTTAAACAATGTGAGATTCACCTCCTTAACGTCGTAAATGAGTGTCAACAAGCTTACCGGATCTATCAAATTGGAGGAATCAACAATGATGCTTGGCTTGGGCGAATCTGGCGGTATAATGGGTGGGTTGTGGGGAGCGGTATCAGTGGCCTCTGCAGGCATCGTCTTTTCAGTCTTTGTAGTAGTTCTAGTGAGCTAAATGTGGGGTACAGAGAGTTAAGAGGATGAATATCAATCAACATGTTAAAAATGAGAAATAGCAAATGATTTGGCAGAAAAAGGATACAACTTCTTTCCATCCCTTAATCATGGTCTATTCGTTGCTATAGAGATAGACAGAGATTTGAATATTTCAATGTTTATGGGTGTCAATTTCAGTCTTGATCGCGCGTTGTGTGTGTGTGTGTGTGTGTGTGTGTGTGTGTGTGTGTGTGTGTGTGTGTGTGTTGTGGAGTATCAAAATGGAAATCACACTTACTTGAGTCGTTTACTGTCTCGCTGATTATCTTGAATAAATCACACAAAAAATACACAAAAAAATGGCAGATCTCTATGAAATCAAATGAATGTTTAGCTTTTTTTAAAAAAAGAAAAAAGAAAGAGAGAAAACGACAAGGAGAAAACAGGGAGAGCACAAATGTTGTACCTCATTTTTGTTTATTGGCCTATTTTAATTGATCCAATCACAGCTACAAAGTTTAAATTGACTGCTTGCCCTTTTGCGTCTTCCATTTGGATGTACTCGGGTGCTCAAGTCCTATCTCTTCTTGTTCTTGTTTGCGCGCGCTTGGATAAGCATCATGTCTGGAAAGCCTGTAAGTGTATAAGCCGAGCTGTAGAGAGACACTGCGCTCTAAAATGGGATGCAATAGCTACTGGTCATAGGAGGCATTGCCTTGGATATAACAGCTACCGTTGGAAAGTCATTTGGAGCATCCATTTTACATACATCTACACCAGGACATGTCAAGCAGAGTCTAGGCGGTGTGGGCCGTAATGTAGCGGAAGCAGCATGGAGAACAGGCGCCAATGTCAAGCTAGTGTCTGTTGTAGGCGACGATTTAGCAGGCGAATCAGTCAAACAAGGATTGAAATCCATTTCGATGGTACAGCCGAGGATTCAATGTTGCACGCATGATTTTAATCGAATTCACACCCTAGAACACAGAGTACATTCAGACGCTTGCCAATCAACCTACAGCTGTATGTAAGTCAAGCAGCTTATATGAGCCCATCACTCATGCATCGTAATAGGTTTACAACGCATTGCATTCAGAGGATGGCCAATTGGTAGCAGCAGTCGCAGATATGAACATTTTCGATGCTATGGATGCCATAAAAGCAAGTAGCTTACTTTGTATGATGGATTTATCTACTAATCTGGATCTCGCTGGTAGGTAATCTCGATTTTGCAGCATGAAAAACCTAGTTTTGTATGCTTTGATGGCAACATAACAGCTCAAATGATGAAATCAATTGCCATGGCATGTCAAGCATTGTCGATTCCTGGTAAGTAGGTGTGCCTACATTAGGAGCATCTGACTGAAAGCGACCCAATAGCATTATTCGAGCCAACATCTGTCTCAAAATCCTTGAAACTATTCCAACATGCAGAAACAACGATGGCACAGGCTGTCAAATACGCTTCGCCGAATCAATTTGAGCTTGAAGCCATGTGTAATACCATTCGATCTAATCCCATCTTATCGAAAGCGACCAAGAAGCAGCAGAGCGACATTTTAGCGAGAATGCCATTGACATTGAAAAGTAGGATGTTTGAAAGAAGCCAATGGGTGTGTTGGAGAAAATGACAACTTACTCGAACATGTAGACGCACCCAAACTAGCGCATCTTGCATTACCAGACGCATGCTTCTTATCTCAGTTTATTCCAAATGTGATTACAAAACTCGGTGAGGAAGGTTGCCTGTATGTCAGCAAGAATGCGGGCGTCGAATACTTTACTCCAGAGTCTATTCAGCCAAATGAGATTGTGAATGTAACGGGTGCTGGCGACTGGTAACACAGATGTAAAGAGAGCTCTTGTATGTACAGCAACAACTAACCTCCAGTTTCAACAGTTTTGTCGGTACCTTAATAGCTAATCTACAGAAACATGCCAACGCCACCATGTCCTCCAATGTCCTGAGATCCATCATTCACAATGCGCAAATGGCATCCATTAGAACATTGAAATCCAACAGAGCTGTGAGTGATGAAATTTCATCTGATTTGTTGCTGTAACATCATACAAATATTATCCCGCCCCCCTGAAATGAAGATTCCATTTAGACTGAATAAACAACGATGGTATAACATTGATTGATTTCACGGATAAACATTAATGATGTGACTGAAATCAACGCATTTCCCCGGGGGTTCTTGGCCTTCAACCTCACTCTGTATAAAAGGCCCAATGTCCAGTGGCAGAACCCCGCGTTTCCTTTGTTTATCTTTTTTTTTTTATATATATCAAACATGTTTGCTACCTCTCGTGTCTTCACCTCCATTGCCGCTAAGCGTGCTTTCTCTACCTCTGCTGCTAACCTCTCCAAGGTTGCTGTTCTCGGTGCTGCTGGTGGTATTGGTCAACCCTTGTCTTTGTTGTTGAAGGAAAACCCTCATGTTACCCACCTCTCCCTTTACGATATCGTCAACACTCCTGGTGTTGCTGCTGATATTGGTCACATCAACACCAACTCCAAGGTGACTGGCCACACTCCTGAAAACGACGGTTTGAAGGCTGCTCTTGAGGATGCTCACGTCGTTGTCATCCCTGCTGGTGTCCCCCGTAAGCCTGGAATGACCCGTGATGATTTGTTCAACACCAATGCTTCCATTGTCCGTGATCTCGCCTCTGCTGCTGCCAAGTAAGTATAATATTCAAATGAGTGGGTGGAATATATATATACATATACATATATATATATATATATATATATATATATATATATTGGAGAAGAAGGAGAAGAGATGATTAACTCGCCATCATCCATTCTTTAGGTACTGCCCTAACGCTCACTTCCTCATCATCTCCAACCCTGTCAACTCCACTGTCCCCATCTTTGCCGAGACCTTGAAGAAGGCTGGTGTCTTCAACCCCAAGCGTCTCTATGGTGTCACCACCCTTGATGTTGTTCGTGCTTCTCGCTTCGTTGCTGAGGTCAAGAACCTCGACCCCAAGGATGTCAAGGTCACCGTTGTTGGTGGTCACTCTGGTGTCACTATTGTCCCTCTCCTCTCTCAAACTGGTATTGAGTTCACCAAGGAAGAGCTCGATGCCTTGACCCACCGTATCCAATTCGGTGGTGATGAAGTTGTTCAAGCCAAGAACGGTACTGGTTCTGCCACTCTCTCCATGGCTTATGCTGGTGCCCGTATGGCCAACTCTGTCTTGGAAGCTACCGTTGGTGGTAAGAAGGGTGTTGTTGAGCCCTCTTTCGTCAAGTCTGATGTCTTTGCCAAGGAAGGTGTTGAGTACTTCTCTACCAACATTGAACTCGGTCCCGAAGGTGTTGAGAAGATCAACGGTCTCGGTGAGATCTCTGATTACGAAAAGGAACTCATTGCCAAGGCTGTCCCTGAATTGAAGAAGAACATTGTCAAGGGTAACAACTTTGTCCAATAAGTTATTTCGTAGTAGTATGCTATAAAAAAAATGACCTTCATCCCTCTCTATTTCTCATCCCTCACTTTCACATAAACACTCGATCGTATAATATCTAAAATCCAAAAATTAAATTTGATTTTGACATCCTTGTATTAAAATAAACCATTTGTAAATCTTTACATTTCAATCATGTTTGCACATCTCTTTTTCGCCAGATGATTGTGGGGTACAAGTTTCTCTTTTCGGATGTAATCTAATCAGTTTGGCCACCTTCCAAATAACCTTATTCATCTTTAATTGCACTCTGGGGTTGATTATCATTTGACGTCATATGAAAGCAAATGTCAAGACAGAAGCTTGTGTTCAAAGTATTTGTCATTGAGTGACATAATAGGTTATGGTGCGAACATAAGGACATTTAAGACTACCGAATAGTACTGCATTCTCCCTCATATGGTGCCATGCGCTGCTATTGTTTGTCGTCTATGTAATCAGATCAAAATTTCAAACACATCCAGAGATCTGATTACATAATGCGGCATCTATTCTTGCTCTTTCTTCCTACCATCATGTAAACCGCACATTGCTGTGATCAAATCCATGGCCAGATGTGAGATTTGATGCTATGTTGCATGAAACAATTATAAACGTATAATAAACAAGCTCACATAGATGCCTACATTTGCAAATTCATCATGATGAAACCATGATGAAAGGCGTTACCTCAAGTCATATCAAGTGAGAGGTTTTGAATCAGATTATGCTCAACGGTCTTGTAGACTGTGTTGAGTGCTTGGTAACAATCTTCAGAGTGCTTCATGGGTATCTTGTCGAGCATTGAGACTCTTTCAATTAAAATCGCATTGAACATTCAGACTTGAATATGGCTCAAATCAACGACTGTGGATGTGGACAAGAACCTTACGTCTATCGATGCATGAGTGTATGAGCTTCGCTTTTACAATATATTAAGCTTGCGCCTGTAAACATGTAAAAGTGCGTTGCAATGATGTGCTTGCTGGCACTGTACATAGCAGGTGTCTGTTTAATCATTTATGCGTATCCCCAACGTCATGTGGCAAGAGAGCTGTGGTTTCCTGCGGCTCTCGAATCGCCATGTCCATATTTAAAGCAGCTCATGCTTTTTTCCATTAGCCTAATTTCTTTTCTCACATCTTTCGTATATTAATATTTATCGATCTCAACATGAGTGTAAGCATAAACGCGTTGCATATGCACACGATCCTGTACTTAGAGCTTCAAGTAGGAACCCAAAGTTTCTTCAGTACAATCTCGTATGTTCCAAGCAAAAGCCTCTAGAAAACTAAGGTAAACTTCAGCTGGCAAATGTCCATCAACAGAGACAGTACTCATGCGACGTATAGCTTTGAGAAAATTGGGCAAGAATTAGGAGTGGACGAAGTGTATGCAGCAGCTATATTCTACGGACAGGTATACACGACTCTTTTTACACAGATTATTGGATTCTGATGCTCATTGATTCCAAATGAAAAAGGCCAAGCCCACTGAGGACCAAATCAAGAAATTAACAGCCTTATTGAACATCCCCACACAACATTTGGTTGAAGAGATGGGAGAGCACTACTTTCCATCCAGAGGAGGGTAAGTAGACGATAGGTGCGAGGAATTCGTGTGTGCGTGTGTGTGTGTGTGTGTGTGTGTGTGTGATACACAAATGGCTATCAGGATTATGGAGAACAACAAACATTATCTTCTCACACTCCATGTTTTATGGATAACATAGATTAATGTCAATGCCGCCAGAGGATCCAACTCTTTACAGATTTGTTGAAATGATTAAGGTGTACGGTTACCCATTGAAGGCTATTATTCATGAAAAGGTAAGAGAAAGAGGCTGTATTATCAAGTGAAGAGAGATGTGCCTATTTAAAATTACATGCACTAGTTTGGCGATGGTATTATGTCAGCCATTGATTTCAAAGCACATGTTGAGAAGGTAATCGAGCGATTAATACATGGCACCTGCAAATATGTTAATAATTCAAACTTAGGTGGAGGATCCAAAAGGAGATCGTGTTAAAATCACTTTGGACGGAAAATTCTTGCCATTTAATAAAGGATGGTAGAAATTGCAAATTTCTTTGTTTCAATAAAGTATTGCCGTATTTATTCAAATGAAGTATATTGTTTTGCGCTCTGTCTAGGCGTTAGTGTTTGCCAAATGGTACAAACCTTTCTTTATAGTGATTCAGGCAAGCGCTGCAATCAGAGTAAAGCAACTAGGATAGAAATGTAAATGCATATGCTTCTCATTTATCACAAAAGTTGGCCATTTACAAGAACAAATGATTAAATCATGTTCTTATTATATGCTATTTTTCTGAAAAGAACTACAAAATGTATCACTTGCTTGATTTAAATACATCGATTAAATAGTACACATGTATTAGTCATAACAGAGATATGTATGAATTGTGGTATGCGGTAGTGACATCGCTACGACAAGTAGAAACTCGTATATGACAACATTTCGCAGCGATTAAAGAGTTAAGCGAAGGCTGACGGAATCAAGCATAATCGACAAGTGTTCAAAGTAAAAAGACTCGGCATTGCGAGAAACATCAGAAATGTCCAGGCCTCATAGCTTTCGTTGAGATTGTTAACAGATATCACCGTTACAATTCATAATAAGTTCACAGGAAATGGTCAGAAGACTAGATGCGACTCGGTCATACTTATCGTATTGGTGATTCCATCAGTGCAGCATACCCTCGTTCGCGGCAGATGACTACCGAACGGCGAGTCTTTTGAGGAATCTCTTCTTTTGCCCCAAAGTACTGGAAATACAAGTGCTGGACAATTCAGAGCAAGAATGTCGAAGCTATTGCCACATGTTTGGACATGTAGGCTTGCAAGGGCACTCTTGTAAGAATTGCAACCACCATTATGGCAAGGGGTACTTTTGTGCGGATGATGGCGCTTCTGGTTCTTCCAAGTTGGCCCGTAGAATATCCAAGATCCAGCCAATTGTGGACAAGACTTTGGCCACAGAGGCTGGTGCTGCTGTTCTTATGGCCAAGAGCAAGGAAGTTAGTGATACTTCTATTGTGTCTTCCGTTGATGCTCCTGTTGTTGATGAAGTAGGGTCTGGCACTGACACTGATTCATCTTCCATGGAACAGACTAGGAATATTGGTACCGAGAACCTGTGTAGTCGCGCTCAAGCTTCGCTTGTAGACGGCATGGACGATGTGTCTGTTGCTGATGCTGAATCAATGCAAAATATGGCTGCTCAAGAACGTAAGTTGGATGCATTACTGATTTAGGAGGCCGTACTCATACTGGCTTTAAGGCTGCCGCTGCCAGCAGTGTTGTACAACTGGCATATGAAGTATCTACTGTTCCTTGTATTGGTTCCGTAGTGTTTAACGCCAATCATAATGAACTTATCAGTTCACATTCATTTGAATATTTTCATTTTATTTTAGAGAAAACGAGCCTGTCTTATTAGGAATGGAATTCTTTCCAAATTTGGTATTAGCCTTAGTGGTTGGGTAAATTAGCGTAGCTTCCAGACTAGCCCTAGGATACCAGATCCCATTGACGACTCATCAATAGAACTTAATAGCCATTTATTATCATCATGAACCGTCAATCAAATCCACAACAATGCCGAGTGGTGAAAACAAGCAACCGGGCCACCTGTATTTATCTTGCGTCCCATTCATCACATTATACCGTATCCTCTATTTGAATCCATAATAATGCTGTGTATTGTGTGTTGCGCTCCATTAGATTTGCACCTACAGTACTTCCCACTTTGTACACTAACAAACAGTTTCAGTAGAGGGTAGCACTTTATGAGAAAAAAAAAACAAAATTCTATTTCGAGATTTGGTTGCTAGCTGCACAAGCAAGTTTGGTTCAATCAAATTTTCAAGTGAGTTTATTAGGCATTTACAGTTAGTCAATTGCCAGTAACTACAAATAATGAATCGATAGGCAAGGTGCTAGAGCATCTTGTAGTCAAAACCGCTTGACCATACCTTGCTTCACTGTCATTTGGTAGAGGGCTAAAGTTTTGTGGTGCATTTTACTAGTGTTTCGATGCTATTACCCGTATAACTGTCAACTCAACCTGACTTCTCCAATAACTAAAATTTTCTCCCCTTTTTCTGCTCTACAAAATGAGACCTCGTTTTGACACCTACGATGTTTCATTGTAAAAATCGATTTTTTGACCGCCAAATAGGATCTTACAGTGGCAAAACCCCGTTTTTTTTAATAACTTCTCGAAATTGTCTGTATGGTGCGCATGTCTATAAAATATATCTAGGGCGTAGAATTTCTGATGTTGGCGCACAAAAAGAATCATATATGCGCGACTACAGCAAAGGCTAGCCTCGAGTAATTGCTTTTCGACAACAATTTGGCAGGGAATAGCCTATTAGGCGCTGTAGATCCACGAGAACTGGTGCTACACCTTCAAGTAAGACCTCAAACGAAAGGTAGCTCTTTGGTTCACGCAATAAACAGTACTGTAAATGAAGTAGCGCAAATTTAGTACATACTCTCCTTGAGATTCTTCAAAATATATGAAACACAAGCTTATTTGTGCACAAGCTATATAGCATCACTTACATGTGTGGTACTATCTGATGCGCATTAAAATTCCCTGTCAAGCTACGTGGCTAATATAACTGTATTAGGAATTTTTTGACAATTTTTCTGCCTAAAAATCGCAAAATACAGAATTTTGAGCAAAATCATGAAAGTGGTGTGCATTTGGAATTTAAAACACACATATCATAATAGATCCATAGTACAGCTATCGAATGTTTTTTGTTTTATCTAAATCGGATGCGTCTTTCACGAGATATAATCAAAAATTCCTTCGTGCAAAATCACCGATTTTTGGCCAGAGTTTGCCTACAGTAGCAAGGCGAAAATCTGGATGACAATTTTTTTGAGATACCAAACTGTTGGTATCTCATGATATAATTATGCTAGAGCTTTGAATCAGAGCTCATTCGGTAGGATTTTTTTTGCTCTACACTTTGATAAGTACTACAAGTACAGTTCTGACAACAGAAACTTGGTAATTCGTCAAAAACAACCAAAAAATCGCAAAAAATATCCTATCAAGAACCAGTCTAATAGCCTAGATTTATACACTTAGAAGTGGTATCGTTAGGTTTTCCTTTAAATTCTACCCTAAGTTTGATTAAGCTGAAAAGCATGGTTATTATCAGAATTGCATGGTTTTGAGGTTGAACAATTTCAGAAATCTATAAATCTTCATTTGGAGCAGTGTGAAAGCTGGGCTTTCCATATATTAGAATGTCGCCTTTTTAGTGAGTGGCTCAATTGGAAGGCAAAATTTGCTACCTTTGTCAAATATAGCCTCTTAATTACAAGTGACAGAACGATAAGTAAGGTGTTGACAAAGCATGAAGTAAAGATCGCTAGCTTCTACCTTGCTTTGCTACTCTATAACAGGTGTTAATACCTATGATACTCACTACACTGTACAGTGATGTTAGTAGTGACGGCTTTCAACTGCAGTTTTTTATTAGCATTCTTCCCTTTTTTTTTATTGCACTTTGCAAGCTTTCTACTCATAAAACAACGCTACCTTTATCGATAAAACTAGAGTATGTATAATTGACAACAGCACAATAGACGTAGAACACAATGCTAACGCGTATTATATAGTGATTGCACTTGTGAAGGTCCTGGTTTGGGTTCTATATCTGGCCTACTGCTACGCGCTTTGTGGTGGTCGCTTCGATGGTCTTATCCTGGTGCTTGCGTATCCCTTGGTCTGTTCTCTTTGGTGAATGCTGGTTTTCAAGTCTATCTCTGGCTATGGTACGTGGTAAGTAGCTTTTTTTCCTCTGGTTGCAATGATATAAAACGTCTTTGAACGTTTGTGTTATTATTATTGCTTCCTTCCTCATGATAATGCATTTTATCATGATGTTTGTTTTGTTGCGTTCTATTTGTTACGTTTTCTTTCTCTTTTGTTGGCTGTGATATGATCAGCTCAACAAGTACTTGTTGCCTACATATTACTATACCCCTATAGTAGTATGTTCTTTTCTTTCTTTTATTATTATTATGTTTCTTTGAAGCATACCTTTTTATGTTGTGTGGATGTGCCTATCGCTGAAGCTCAACAAGACTCTAACCGAGGCTAGGAGGTGGATAGGCTGCCTCCACTTAGTTACCACTACTTACTTCAGTGATGATTGAGAGTCTCAACGCCAGAATCTAAAGCTAGCAGGTGTGGTAAGGCATGCTCTAGCACCTGGGGGAGATTTGATGATAGCAGCGGCTATATTATTATGTCGGCGCTTAAAATTTTGCCTCACATCAAAACAGAGGGAAACCCTCGCAAATTTTTTTTTAGGTCAGCGGAGTTTTCAAGCAATCTGATTGGCTAAGAGGTTGAAACAACGAATATCTACAACTAGTTGATCTCCTATTAATTTGTCATTTAAAACTGTTTCGTTTTTGTAATAAAAGGGTATCCGAACAAACTATTTTGTATTAAATAATAAAATAAGATGCAGTTATTTGATTTGGCATCCATTACACATTCTTATGAGATAGATATTTATTAAATTTACAATGTGAAAATGCTTAATATTAAGTATTACTTGAATACAATGTTATTTACGTTGTTATTACAACAGTATTTATTAAGAATGATTGCAGAGTATTTATACGTTTGCAACTAGCTTGTAGGATTAGTGATGATAGAGAGCAATAGATGCTGCTATTGCGATATCTGGCAAATGTTGTTGACGTTTGATTTAAAGTGGTAATCAATATTATGTTCCTGGTGTTATCGGTGTTCCTGATTATGAATCTGAATCAGAGTTTGGATCTGCATCTGGATTTAAATTGACACGGTTGACAGCTGGCGATAAAGTGAATATCAAAGCAAAGTATGATGGTTTAGATGTGAAGAAAATGTGGAAATTGTCAACCGGTACTGTTGTCGAAGAAAAGATGAGAGAACGGGCATTAAAAGAAGATTATGAGCAGTAAGTATGAAATGTGTAAATTGATTTAATACTTATATTTTTATATTAGTTTGGTACATTCGTTTATTTTCAATATAAGAGACAAGGACTGGCTGGATTATTTCAGTGAATCTGAATTAAAAGAAATCCAAGAGTACAATGCTGTGGAATTGCCACCTGTTTCTGAAGAGGTAGAAGAATATTTGAATGAGTTGAAGGGACTTTCAACAACAAGTTTGTATACAAAGGTCTCCTCGGAAGAATTGGATCTAAGGACAGACGCGAAATGGGTCCAAGATGTGTTCTTACAAGCATTCCGTTTGTTGCAGTCTGGCTTTGTGCCTATTAGTAATATTACGGAAGGTGGATTGTTAAAACGTGTGTGGGCCTGCATCGATGCTTGTTTCGACTTTTCAAATATTACATGTATAAGGTATTTGTAGCCATGTTATATCAGTCTTTAGCTAATGGTTTTTAGTGGTGAGAGATGTAGTAAGCCGTCAGCTGACGCATTAAATGCGAACCGTTGTAGTTTGTTGTCACGACAAAAATCTGGTCGTAAAATGGATCATTTATTTTTGTATAAAAATAATGAGCTGGGATGCGGCGAATGTGGTTTAGTTGGAGGTGTGAATACCACAAAAGAGCTCTCTGATGCCAACTTTAAAATGCCAAGAGTGATGAGAGATATGTTGATAAAGTTGGTGGGCTTATCGCCGGCTTTGAAGAGAAATCCTGTAATTACAGGATTTTATATTGAAGGTCAGTTGTGTAAAGGACTATAGATTGCTTTTGTTAATATTTCAAATAGAAATGAAATTGAAGATGGTGGTGTTGGATAGCCCTTGTGGTTATGTAACAAGATATGATGTTATGAATGATTCGTTGTATCCTGAAGATAAATGCCAGCTGTATCGAAAATTGTCTGTTGTTGTTCGAGTTATTGTTGGTGCTAGAAAGTTGATGGAGCAAACTGCGTTCAAGCTGATGAATGATACAACAGAAATTTCGGTTGGAAAACATCAAGTAGAACATATGATACCTAGTTTTATATCTAATTCTAGTAATAAGAAGCGTAAGCAAGAATTGTAAAGATTTATTCAGTAAATAGTAACATTAGTATTATAATGTATATGTATTCATATGTAAATGTTTTGTCTTCAAAATATACGTAGATATGTTATTGCCTAAAACTTCCTTTGGCTTGAAGCCGATAGTCTCTCTAAGAAGCCAGATAGATAAATCTATTAATCAACTAAAAAGTTGACCTGCCTATTTAGCAGAATAAGGTCTCGTTCGTTATCGGAATTAACCAGACAAATCACTCCACGAACTAAGAACGGCCATGCACCACCACCCATAGAATCTAGAAAGAGCTTTCAATCTGTCAATCCTTACTATGTCTGGACCTGGTGAGTTTCCCCGTGTTGAGTCAAATTAAGCCGCAGGCTCCACTCCTGGTGGTGCCCTTCCGTCAATTCCTTTAAGTTTCAGCCTTGCGTCCCATACTCCCCCCAGAACCCAAAAACTTTACTTTCGCTAAGATGCTGAGCTAGTCATAATAAACAAGCCCAATCTCTAGTCGGCATAGTTTGTGGTTAAGACTACGACGGTATCTAATCGTCTTCGATCCCTTAACTTTAGACCTTGATCAATGAAAACGTCCTGGATCAAATGCTTTCGCAGTAGTTTGTCTTCGGTCAATCCAAGAATTTCACCTCTAGCGACCAAATACAAATGTCCCCAACCGTTTCTATTCATCATTACTTAAGTTCCTGAACCAACGAAATAGGGACTAAAGTCATATTTCATTATTCCATGCTAACACATTCAAGCTTGAAAGCCTGCTTTAAACACTCTGATTTGCTCATGGTAATCATCTGGCTAGAGACTATAAACAACCGAAGTCATTCATAGCATAACCAGAAAAAAAGCCTCGATAAAAGCGAGCTTAATCAATGAAGACCAGGCCACCTCATCTAAAGGCTAAAATTTGACTACGGACGTTTTAACTGCAACAACTTTAATATACGCTATTGGAGCTGGAATTACCGCGGCTGCTGGCACCAGACTTGCCCTCCAATTGATCCTCGTTAAGGGATTTAAATTGTACTCATTCCAATTGCAAGACCTTAAAGGCCCTGCATTGTTATTTATTGTCACTACCTCCCCGTGTCGGGATTGGGTAATTTGCGCGCCTGCTGCCTTCCTTGGATGTGGTAGCCGTTTCTCAGGCTCCCTCTCCGGAATCGAACCCTAATTCCCCGTTACCCGTTGTAGGCATTGTAAGCCTCTATCTTACAATCTCAACCATGATAGGGCAGAAAATCGAGTGGACTGTCGCTAGCACAAGGCCATGCGATCCGCTAAATTATTATGAATCATCAAGGGAAACTGGTTTTACCCAGCATTGGCTTTATCTAATAAGTGCACCCATTCGTAAGTTTGGGTTTTTTTGCATGTATTAGCTCTAGAATTACCACGGTTATCCAAGTAGTAATGAATATGTCACGTAGATAATAACTGATTTAATGAGCCATTCGCAGTTTCACCATATAAATTTATTTATACTTAGACATGCATGGCTTAATCTTCGAGACAAGCAGATGACTACTGGCAGGATCAACCAGGTAACTAAATGAATAAGGACACTATATCCGAGGATATAGATGAAAGGGCAATGAATAAATTCACTGCTCTTACCCTTTATTTCAAATTACATGGCACTCAATTACTTAAAATCGAGCTATAACGGCTTCGTTGTAATTTCGTCTGTTGCCAGAGTACTCTAACGCCATGACCATTACTGAACCTTTAGCAATCCTATCATTTTTCTTGCGTAATACTGAATCAGAATGTAATATTTTGATCCTGCACTCACTCGATGGACTCTTGATTTCCATTAAACTTTGCAGCTCTGTTTCGTCAAGTTCGCCCAGTTGTATTATAGTAATATCATTATCCATAGTTGGAAAGCAATATACAATACCCAAATCGTCTCTAAGCAATTCATTGCTGAAATGCCTGGATTAAATCGTAGCGATAATTTCACAAAAGTTCAACTACACTACTGAGTATACTACCGTAGTGTTCCTATATATAAAATACATAGAAACAAACATAAGAATACTCTGATTGCGATCTGGATAGAAGAATCACCAATTGTTAGATTCGTTTTTCTTCTACAATGAACGAACGAGGCTTTTTAATTGATGTTTAATATATTTTAGTTTTTATAAAATAGTGATACATCTGTCTTTAAATATTACATACACAGTCTTCCAAAACGTGATACCTTCTTACTGCAATTTCCTAGTAAGCAGACGGAGAATCAGTAATCTTTACGCGTCTCACACTAAAAGTGCAATTGAGATAGTATACACTAAATACCAAGTTGTTTGATATATATATTGACAAGCAAATGTATTAAAAACAAAGAAATTTGACAGCATTCAAGCCTTAATATCTTGACATGTAGGCTTTTATGAGCCATCAGAATAACGCTAAACAATTGTACTCGAGTAGCAGTAACTTCCTGGCACTTTTGCTCAACTTTTTGAGTCAAAAAAAATATGGTCAAGAATCGACTCAAAACCATGAGGTATCCCTCATAATTTTCATCGAAAATCAAACAATCGCATTTTTCACCTTGAAAACGAAGACTTTTACTATGGTATACGAGCCTTTCAGCACTTCGGGTGGTTTCCTGACCTACGCTTCGCTTCGGTGGAAACCAACCTACGTTCAAACGGCTCGCGCTGCCGCGGGCCTTTGGCTAATATCCCAAAATTAATATAGCTAAAATGTTAGAAGAGGAACCCTGATTGTTGATTGATATATAATCACTAATCATATGAGTGTTTATGCTTCGGATGGTTCTCACCGAAGCGTAGCGAAGGTAGAGAACCAACCTGCGCAGCGGCAGCTCGTGCTACTGATTTCTCTTGCGTATTTTATCAAAATACTGCTACTTTCATTTTGACCCTCCACTTACACATAGCAACCCTTCATATTATCTGTGGATCTGATTCTTATGTGATGTTCTACATCCATATACACGTAGCTACTTCATATACGGGCAAGCAGCATACTGGTATTCCCACTTTTTAGTCCTTAGTGTCCCTAATACAGCAAAATATGAGTGCATTTGAGCTGAATTTTCTTGCGTTCAAGGCCGTTTTAGATCGTCAGAATAGCCCCAAATGGTTGCTTTCATCTGGCAGTTACTTTCTGACACTTTTGCTCGACTTTTTGGGGACCAAAAAAACATGGTCAAAAATCGACCAAAAAGCATGAGGTATCCCTCATGGTTTTCATCGAAAATCAAACGATCGCATTTTTCATCTTGATAATGGAGACTTTTACTATGGTATATCTTGAATCAAAATGTTTCTATCAATCCAAAGCAACCTCTGAAATTATCTTTGTGGGACTTTGATATGTAAAATTTCGACATTTTGGCCATAAACCTCTTTTCATATGTTTACAAATCATTTAATAAGTGAATTCAAAACATCTATTTTACTTAGTACCATTGGAAGCGCCTTGAAAAGTACTCCAGGAAAGCTTAAGGAAGCATGGGGTGATTATCATACTTCACTTAGTCGAATCTGCAAAAATAGCTCGATCGAGTCCAAAATTATCAAAATATGTCCAATCTGGAACAGACTATGATTCTGGGTTTGAATTAATTTTGGCTGGTAGGGCCAGCTGGAAAACTCATGCCCTTTTCATAAGGCAATACAGTAGTAAATGCCCTTGAAGCGTATAGAAAGTAGGTGGAAGGTCATAGCACTATCGTTTATAATGATATTTTATTGCCTTCTATATCGTTCATAATGATATTTTATTGCATTCTATATTTAATAACGTTAGTCTGGACATTGACAATGCATGGGTTGCATAAAATGTCTGCAGTAAGTAATGAAATCTCTGAGGCTCTGAGACGTCGCTCAAATAAAACATTGACAGCATTGAGCAGAGGAAAGAGGGTAGAAACAACAGTGGTTTTTGTTGATTGATTGTAAAATCATTATTCTCATATGAGCCAGGACAGATAGATGCCTTGAAACTCAGGTTCCATATTAGGATTGTAAAGTGCAAAAGTACTGAACATTTATTATGTTATGATATGAGCCAGGACAGATAGATGCCTTGAAACTCAGGTTCCATATTAGGATTGTAAAGTGCAAAAGTACTGAACATTTATTATGTTATGATATTGAATCAAAATGTTCCTCTCAACCCAAAGCAACTACTGAAACTACTTTTATGAGGTTTTCATATGCAGGATTTTGACATTTCGGCCATGAACCTCATTTTGTATTTTTTAAAATAGCTCAATTAGCTCAGTCAGAACACCTATTTTTTTGGCACCATTGGAAGCGCCTTAAAAAGTACTTCAGAAATGTTTTAGGAAGTAGGGGCTGATCATCACAACTTACATAGTCGAAACCTGCAAAATAGTTTAAAGAAGTCGAAAAAGGACGAAATCTGGTCAATCTTGATTAAAAAAAAAATAAGTTGGATTTGAATTTATTTTAGCGCTGCTGGCTGACCAAAATGCCTTTTATACCCATTCAAGAATTATTTTATACATGTCCATTATACACAATTGTCTGAATAGACTAAAAAAAGGCAGATTTGCAGCAGTTAATGCTTGAAACACATCTTTTACATAGATTTTTGATAATCATTTTTAAAAATTTGACAAAAAAAAAGTGCAAAAACTACAGCAACCAGTATTCCCATGTGGTCCCCCACCATAGTACTGACTGGTCCAGATGTTGCTTAACTGCGGAGATCGGACGGGATCCGGTGCTTTCAACATTGTATGGCCGTAGCTTATAGTTTAAAGCATTACAATGAATAAGTGCTATACTCAAAACACTATATGATAGTGGATTTACCTGCAGTATGCCGCGTATAATATAGAAAAATTCTTAGAAGGTGTGCCATGCCTGCAAATAATGCCTGGAAGGTGTGTTTAGCCTGCAGATAATGTCTGGGAGATTAACTTTACTCACGTAATTCAACAGCATTGGACCTGTAATAAAACAGCCACCCAAACGCACTTTGATTGAAAACCAAAATTCATCAAATAGCACTCATTCAAATTCATGCTATTTGAATCTATTAATAAAGCGCTCAAATGTACATCAACAACCATTTAAACATACTAAAGTAAAGATGCACGCTTATCTCGCACATCGTGTGAATGAATAACTCCTGATCACAATGTATTCAATCACACCCATGATGGTCGTAATAGGTGATGGTATCTTTATTCAAATAAAATCAAATCAATAACAAGAATATTCAAATATATCAACTATGCCCTGCTGCCATAGTTGCACAATATCCCAGATAAAGGGTTCCATACTTCAATAACAAATATCACACTTTAAACCATCAAGGTTACATTAAACCATACTATAACGATAGCTCATCCAAGCCCATCAACGTTACTCAAATCGACCCTTATGGCCAGTGCTCTTGCGTTGATTACCACTTTAAATCAAACGTCAACAACATTTGCCAGATATCGCAGTAGCAGCACCTATTGCTCTCTATCATCACTAATCCTACAAGCTAGTTGCAAACGTATAAATACTCTGCAATCATTCTTAATAAATACTGTTGTAATAACAACGTAAATAACATTGTATTCAAGTAATACTTAATATTAAGCATTTTCACATTGTAAATTTAATAAATATCTATCTCATAAGAATGTGTAATGGATGCCAAATCAAATAACTGCATCTTATTTTATTATTTAATACAAAATAGTTTGTTTGGATACCCTTTTATTACAAAAACGAAACAGTTTTAAATGACAAATTAATAGGAGATCAACTAGTTGTAGATCATCGTTGTTTCAACCTCTTAACCAATCAGATTGCTTGAAAACTCCGCTGACCTTAAAAAAATTTGCGAGGGTTTCCCTCTGTTTTGATGTGAGGCAAAATTTTAAGCGCCGACATAATAACAATATAGCCGCTGCTATCATCAAACCTCCCCCAGGTGCTAGAGCATGCCTTACCACACCACCTAGCTTTAGATTCTGGCGTTGAGACTCTCAATCATCACTAAAGTAAGTAGTGGTAACTAAGTGGAGGCAGCCTATCCACCTCCTAGCCTCGGATAAAGTCTTGTTGAGCTTCAGGGATAGGCACATCCACACAACATAAAAAGGTATGCTTCAAAGAAACATAATAATAAAGGATTATTTACCAACTCTCAGTAGTGAGTGCCATTTGAGGTTCCCTGCTATTTTGGGACCCAGATTAACATAACACATTTTAAGCGATTTTTACAAAATCCACAGGAAAACAAAGATATTTATTAATGAAAATGCAACTATTGATGGTAAAAAAGGCTCAGCTAGAAGTGTTGCAATTTTCTTCTTTTCGTTTCTTCGTAAGGAAAAAAAGCGCCTTTTTGTAGCTCGGTGCCCAAGCGATCCAAAGACCAGTGGCGAGTGTTGAGCACCTTTTGTAGGGCGCCTACAGCAGAAGTGGGGGAGAGACCAAGATCCAGCTGAAGGTCTTCAACTGAATCAATGATTTTTTTACGGATATTGAACCTTTTTCTGTCGTCTTTTCTCCATTTAGCGCCCCACTTGTCTTCTAATTCTTGAACAGACCAGAATCCATCTCGACCTATTGTCCACTCGTCCCAAAGATCACACACAGTTGTCACTTGTCGACTCATTTTGTATAACGGTACACCTTCTTGATTGTATGGAAGTGAAATAGTTGCAACTGCGGTGTTGTTGTAACCTGGTGGTGGTGGGCTTTGTTGGGATTCTTCCGAAAATTGTTTTGATTGCGATACATCTTCTGATCTTGGCAAGGCAGAGGTTTTTGCGACAGCGCCTGTTGTCGCTACTGCTTGGTTCCCTTGGTCCATTCTAAAAGACAGTTGCAGTTGCTGCTTTCCGGTGACTATATTGTCAAACACTTTTTGCATTTGCTGCTGGATTTCATCCGACTTCTTTTGACGTTCTTTCAATTCTCGCATTGTATTTGCTATACTTCGGTTGATGCTGGAAAGCTGCTCTTGTACTTCAGGCGCAAATCTTTCAATAATTAATGAATGGGGCACTTCATTTTCTTCAACGTGAGCTTTTGCTTTTCTATAAACAAAGCAAAAAGATCAGACACACAGTTTTCATTTTGAAAAAAAAAAGCTTTATACCCTTGAAATTCTAGAAAGAGTGGGTTTCTGATTAAATTTCAGGAACATAAGTACAAACTAAAAGCGAAAAAAAAAGTTCTTTCAGGTGTTAATAACCAAAAGAATACATATATTTTTTATGATAAGGCCTTGGATAATGCACATATCATTAGAATGTATTAAATCCTAATATTTTTTATGTAAATGTCAAATATACACGCTTGGAACGAAAACTGGAACCCAAAGATCAATAACAATTGTTATTTGACAAAGTATTGGCTTATAACAAAAGTTATCACTCCAATCGGGTTCCAATTTTGCTGGGAACTCAATTTTTTTTGGAACCTCCAAAAAAAAATAATAAATGTTCAGTCCTTTTGCACTTTACAACCCTAACATGGAACCTGAGTTTCAACGCATCTATCAGACCTGGCTCATATGAGAATAATGATTTTACAATCAATCAACAAAAACCACTGTTATTTCTACCCTCTTTCCTCTGCTCAATGCTACCAACGTTTTCTTTGAACGACGGCTCGGAGCCTCAGAGATTTCACTACTTACTGCAGACATTTTATGCAGCCCATGAATCGTCAATGTCCAGACTAACGTTATTAAATATAGAATGCAATAAAATATCATTATGAACGATATAGAAGGCAATAAAAATATCATCATAAACAACAGTGCTATGACCTGCCACCTACTTTCTATACGCTTCAAGGGCATTTACTACTGTATTGCCTTATGAAAAGGGCATGAGTTTTCCAGCTGACCCCACCAGCCAAAATTAATTCAAACCCAGAATCATAGTCTGTTCCAGATTGGACAAATTTTGATGATCCTGGACTCGATCGAGCTATTTTTGCAGATTCGACTAAGTGAAGTATGATAATCACCCCATGCTTCCTTAAACTTTCCTGGAGTACTTTTCAAGGCGCTTTCAATGGTAGCAAGTAATATAGATGTTTTGAATAAACTTATCAAATGATTTATGAAAATATGAAAAGAGGTTTCTGGCCAAAATGTCGAAATTTTACATAACAAAGTCCCAAAAAGATGATTTCAGAGGTTGCTTTGGATCGATAGAAACATTTTGATTCAAGATATACCATAGTAAAAGTCTTCAATTTCGAGATGAAAAACGCGATCGTTTGATTTTTGATGAAAATCATGAGGTATTACTCATGCTTTTTGGTCGAATTTTGGCCATGTTTTTTTGGTCCTCAAAAAGTTGAGCAAAGGTATCAGGAAGTAACTGCCAGATGAGAGCAGTTGTTTGGTGCTATTCTGATCATCTAAAACGGCCTTGAAAACAAGAAAACGTAGCTCAAGTGCGCTCAGATTTTGCTGTATTAGGCACATTCTTGACTAAAAAGTGGGAATACTAGTATGCTGCTTGCCCGTATATGAAGTAAATACGTGTATATGGATGTAGAACATCACATAAGAATCAGATCCACAGATATTATAAAGGGTTTTCATGTGTAAGTAGAGGGTCAGCTTGAACGTAGTAGTAGAATGATAAGTTACGCAAGGGTAACCGGTAGCACGAGCTGCCACTGCGCAGGTTGGTTCTCTACCTTCGCTACGCTTCGGTGAGAACCATCCGAAGCATAAACACTCATATGATTAGTGATTATATATCAGTCAACAATCAGGGTTCTTCTTCTAACATTTTAGCTATATTAATTTTGGGATATTAGCCAAAGTTCCGCGGTAGCGCGAGCCGTTTGAACGTAGGTTGGTTTCCACCGAAGCGAAGCGTAGGTCAAGAAACCACCTGAAGTGCTGAAAGGCTCGTATACATAAAAAAAAAAACTTACCTAACAGATTTGATTGTGCTAAAATCAAAACAGGAATCAAGACAAGACCATACACGCTTAACGACATTTCCCTCGGTTTGTGATTCCATTGGAAAGAAATCAGACTGCAACAAACGAAAAGCATCACGGTATGACTTTTGAAGCCAACTAGAATCAGACGCAATGTCATGAACACCAGAGTCAACTTTTGCATATAATTGGGATGGATTCAAAGTGTTCAACGCTTGAATATAACTTTCTACTTCCGCTGACATGACAGGCATTTCCACAGAACGAAAACTACGAATTTCTTCTATTTCATCAGATTCAAACACTTCAGACCAACATGCATCATTAACATCCAAAATCAGTGAATGACAAGGACTAAATAACTTGAATTAACCCATGACCACAAATAGAACCAACAACTTACTGTTCATATTCAAATCCCAGAGCAACTTCTTTCATCTTATCTTCCACGATGGTTCCATTGGATAATCGCCACATCTTACTTCTATCCAATCTGTCGTACAAGCTTTGAATGATTTTTTTATCCAGTACACTCAATTTCGGAATCTTGGCTGAGGGAGAATCAGTATCACAAATTGATTCAGCAGCATTTGATTGAGCAGTTGATGATCGACGAGCAGAAAAGTCCGATGCAAATGATATAGCTGATAAGCCAGAATCAGGTGCTGATAGGCCAGACACGCAAGATTTGGAAACAGATCCTGATAATTCGCAACGCTGAAAGCCATACCGACATTTTGCAGACATATCAATGATACCTGAAGCAACAGTTATCCATTCTGCCTTTCTCGTTTTAGACTATCCAGATATACCATTAACTTACACTAGCATTCTCAAACTCATGTTAAAACTCACCAAATCAATGTTCTTGGATCTAAAATGTTCGACCATTACACGATTCCAGCGGTTAATATATTCTTGAAGCGGAGTACCATCATATCCACGGATGATTGCATCCTCCATTTTAGTAACCATGCTAAAGAATGAAGCTGGTTCATTCGAAATCATCATGTTCAAATGAGCTTCAGTGATTGCTGAATTAAAGAATTGTGTGTCAGTAACCATGAATTTTGATTAATTTTGATTGATTTTTTGGTTTTTTTAAAAAAAAACAGACACACGGAAAAACTTTTTCATTAGCATATGCTTGAAAAACAGTCAAAACCAGTATAAAAGAAAAAAAAACATTCAAAACTAAAAAAAAATCTTTTGCTTTTTTCCTTTTGATTCTTATCAAGTAGAGATATCTGCCAAAGAGTGTAAGTCGCTATAGTTGATTTGCTCATTATAATGCATCTTACAGCAGATACTCTTCTTTGTTTTTTTCTTGTCAAGCAGAGGATTGTCAAAGGGTGTAACTCGCTATAGTTGATTAGCTCATTATATCGGTTCTTACGACTTTTACTCTTCTTTGTTTTGTTCTTGCCAAGATATCCTCTATTGCAGTTGAGTATTGGTTCATCCGACAGCCTGGGATCGCGGATTATCTTTGTTTTATTCTTATTGGGAGAATGTCTTGTTATAAAGCGTTATCATCCTATCTTTAAACCAATTCACATCCTCTTTTATTGAAATTTATAACTTCTACTGAAATTTACTTTTTTGGGATTATAACTACTTTCACCTGTTCGCGGTTAATCCTACCAAATTCTAAAAATAGAATAACAAAGCAAAGTAGAACACATGGAAACAAATAAACATTTTATTTCTTTGATCTCTTCTGAAGCTGCTTCAAAATCATTGCTGTTCTCTTTTTCTTATACTGCTTAGAAGAGTCCGTAGTAGACAGGGAATCTCTGGTACGAGAACGCTTCAAGGCACTGAACAACACTTGGCTCTCTTCCTCATCTGTATCTTCTTCACCAGGCATCTCCATCGTCCCAGTTGCTGCTACACCCACAAATCCAGACGTAGCTATTGCTGTCCGACCAATACGACTTGAAAATGTAGAATCTGATAATGAATCCTCAAGCATCTGATATAAACCTAAATAATCAGGCTCTGATGTGGACGATTCACTAGTTCCAGAAGCAGTCTGTTGTGTAGTAGTAGACGTTGATTGCTCTGGCTGTTGGGCCATAGGTAATCCTGAAACAGCACCAACAGGCAGCTTGCCAGCCCTCTTTGCCGATATTGATTGAACAGCTACACCTGGTGGAGATGTTGATGTTGATATTTGTCCAATTACAGTTGCTTGAGGCTGTTGAGATGATGCAGATCGTTCCTTTCGTTTAGCTTGAGCTTTCTTCTGCAACACTGCCATTGCTACTGACGTTTTACTAGTTGATTGCTGCGGACGAACATCTTGTTGAAATTGCACGTCGACATCAAAAACACTTGAAGTAGGTGCACCCATCTCTTTAAAATCATCTGGCCCAAAGTCAATGTCAGCTTCCTCAGCCATTGCCAGATCCTCTTCCTGTCTAGTATCTGGAACAAATCTCACTTCACCAGTCATCTTGATAAAGTAAAAACCAGCCTTTGGACCAGGGCACAAATGTATAAGGCAAAATAGTAGGTGTCGCTCTATTGACAAATCCCTGCGGAATATAAGGATCAGATGGCAAGACAATGCAATCTAACAAATCCAATCGTTGTCTTGCTTCAGACACAGGCCCTGCAATATCCATCAACATGGGCACCTCCTTCAACTTGGCATGAAAATTGAGATGATGTGGCTTTACTTGCAATTCAGCAAAATTCTCACGATACATGTCTTCTGTACAACTAGCCGTGTACCATAATAGACCAGTATTAACATCATACACTGGAAAACAATATCGCTGCTGATCCCTATTATGTTTAATACCAAGGACATCAAATAAACACACTTCAGTCAACATTTTACAATAAATGAAAAACAAAAAAATAATCATGCCCATTGACATCATTTATTCATTTCTTGAGTAACTTGATCAGAAGCCAATTGCAGCGACTTTGTAAAATCGAGAAATTGTCTTTGTGCTTTGATATCCTTGAGCAACAGCTTCCATGCCTCCTCCATGTCGTTTTCCAATGAATAGATTGTGATATAGAGACCCAACACAAACGCACCTGCTTCATTACCAACCACATCAACCAGTTGAGCTACTCTTTTACATCGTCTTTGGAATTTACTGACAGCGGGGCTAGACTTCAAGCCGACCAGAGTGCGCAACTCCATCCAAGAATCCTTTGAAATCTGGTTGCTGTCGAGCTGCTTCAATGTTGATATGCATGTGATATAAATAGGCAAATACGCGAACTTGAGCAATCTCTCTGGCTGCCTCAGAACCCACGATTCTGGTGTTGACTGCTTGAATATTGTCAAGAAGATTAACTCTAGTGTCCATGGCCTTGAGAACAATAGTACTGTCCAATGTTGCATGAGTAAATCCATTGATCTTCTGACGAATTTCAGCCACATTTAAATCTTGAATCTTGCTAGTAGACTCACGATCCTTAGCACGATATAACTCAATACCAGCTGTCTTGCATGCTCGTTTGATTGTATTTGGACAATACACTTGCCATCTGTTCTGTATTCATCAAGTTGGTATCATCAGAGCTTATATTTAATGTGAAAAAAAATTTATTTTGTAAAAAAAAAGGAGGAACTATATCGCATTACAACCAAAAAAAAAACAAGTTATTCAAAAAAAACGGTCCAATCCAATCAATCTTTAAACATGACGCATTCGTCATGGATCATAACAGATGAAGCTTGATTGCGATTCCACAATGCTTACTTAGATTTTGAATGTATGCTGTCTTTTTTTTTGGCACTTTGATTTGATGTTTTGATATTTTTTTGTTTGTTAAAATGATACTGTTAGTTCTGATGTTACATATTGTACTGAGATAGTAATTTCATTGTCGTTGTGTATATTATCAAAAAATATGTTTGATTACAAGTTGCTGAATTCCAATATCTATATATGGTCAAATACCGAGCATGTGACAATTCTGAAAGCACATGATGGCTGCATTAAAGAGTATCTTGAAACCAAAAATTAACGTTGAACTCAAACATGCTATTTTGAACACAGAATTAAACCTTGAATACCAATCATACAGCCATAATCAATTTTATATGTATCCTTATACATCCCAGCATACATGCATATGTACCAAAATTGACTACAATATACTGTTGCGATCATTGTATTTGTACACCGCTACCAATCACGCCATCATGACATATACCAGTACACATCCAGTTTGATTGATAAAGAAAGGAAGGGAGAGAATAGAAAATACCCTTTTTCATCAACAAGATGTAGGCTAATACACAAAATATTGACCCTTGCTTTCAATTAAACAATATAGAACTAGCTGAAATCAAAACCTTCCATCAATATTGCATGTATAATGCTGCTGCGTATAGCGCTATCTGCCTCAAAAAACTGTATCCCGACCAAGTAATGATTTGGCCTAAAAGCTCAGAAATAATCACTTTCCCTTGCACTGAATGGGGTCATCCACCTTTAGACCAATGGCCTGAAAGTTGGATAGAAACAGACCAACTCTACGAAGGCCATCAAACAGCTCACCAACTTGAAGGCTTTATCGTTTGTAAAAAAAAAAAAAAAAAAAAAAAAAAAAAAAAAAAAAAAAAAAAAAAAAAACTGTGAAAAAAACGCAAAACCACCATTCCCCAAGTTAAAATATCCCGGTAAATACAAAACCACGTAACCAGATATCATTGCATTTAACATTATCATCCTTCTATCCAGGTGACATTCCCAGCAACGTGAAAAATTTGAACTACAGAGAGAAATCGTTACTTTCTCCTGTCAAGCTAATGACCAAAATGACTAGAAAATCAACTAGAGGTGGAAGAATTGGCCATTTTGAGATCTCAGGATACATGCAGCTCAAGTACAATTACGGATTTGGATCCATGTTATATGGTGGTATGTTAGGTCTATCCATTCGTCGAGGTATCCAAAATGTCAATATGGAACGTGTACAACAAGCCTATCGAGGTTTATCCCAATTAAACCCAATGCTACGTCAATACATACAAGACATAACAAAAGCTGAAAACGTAGTTCAATACCACGCTCAAGCCAATCAATCATTTGTACAAGTAAGACCAACATGGCGAGACAACATCCTCATGCCAACAGAAGAAACCGCACCCATGGCTGCCCAACTACCTATATACGATTTACCAATTGGTATGATAACAGACAAAATTACATATTCAAAAATGTCACTTAAGCATCATCCAACCAGGCACTTTGGGCTCAGCTGGAATTACAGTGGCTCATCCAAGCTTAATGGCCTTATTGTTCCCTTGGTTATTTATCAATGGAAAAGGGCATTATTCACTAGTCAGCAACGAAAACCAAATCATCAAAGATATCAATGGTAATATCGTCCCAGAGGAACGAGGTGGTATTGCATCTGCAAGAAAAGATCGAACTTTTGCCGCTTATATCAAACAGCAACTGCTTAACGTGGATCGCAGATTTGCTCGAGATCCTGCCTTTCTGTTTTGGGCTTTGGACATGAAACAAAAATCAAACATCCATTCAGCCAATCGTCATACTATTCGAACCAGTGGTAGAGATTTAACCAAATATGACTTACTCGACACAGAAGGCAGATACGATTACACCAAGGTTACCATTGTTCCCCACAACATTTCATCTAGCTACGCTTATCACCGCAGACACTATCTTGATCTAAAAGCCATGTGTGACAATTTGGGTCCACCACAACTGTTTTTGACCTTTAGTTGCGATGACAAAGCAACTTCGTTTCAAAATGCAACAGGTCTCCGAGATACTTGGCAAGATCCCGTACTATTTGCTTTACACTTTCAAAGAAAATGGAACAAGTTTTTCCAAACTATCAAAAAACAATGGGCTGAACGCATTGGAGGCATTACAGACTGGTGCTATGTCATGGAAATTCAAGGTAAAATGTTCCCCTTATCAATCTTTCAATAATTTCTAAAGCCCATTCTCAGACAGAGGCAGCCCACACAAACACATGGTGTTATGGACTAACAAATCAGCTAATGAACTGCTCGCTGATGAATCAATTATTTGTGCAAGATTACCACCCATGAATTCACCATTACATAAATTAGTCGCCAAACATCAAATCCATCGTTGCGACATCAACTCTTGCCAAAAGGGTGAACCTGGACGAAATTGCAGATTTGGGTTCCCAAAATTACCTTCACCAAACGCCTACTTTGATGAAAACGATAGAGCCATCTATAAACGTTCCGTAATTGACACCAACATCAACCCTTACAACCCTTTCCTTCTTGCAATGTTCGAAACCAATATTGAAGCAAAGCACGAAAACTTTAGACAACTTGTTAACCTGGATGGTGAGATGCATAGACTTGTAGCAATTGATTATCCAGCACAAAACCAAGCAGCAAAAACTGCATTGAATTTTGACACTAATCTGCCTGAAATGCTGTATATCAAAAATAATGCCATGGTCATGCTAGTCAAAAACTTAGATGTTGCAAAAGGTTGGAACAACGGCACACTCTGCATTATCAAAGCAATTTACATGGACGCTATTCATGTAGAGCGCTTACAAACAGGAGCCAGCAAACTTATTCATCGTGTTCAAGATTATGTGCCCAACACCATTTACACCAGACGCCAATTTCCAATTCGACCAGCATATGCCTCCACCATTCATAAAGTGCAGAGTCTGACATTACCTCGTGTTGCTATCAATTTCGGTAACTTTCCTTATCATGGTCAACTATATGTAGCAATGAGCCGTGTTCGCTCTGCAGATGATATTTTCTTTACTGCAATCGAACGTGGTAATGTGGAGCGCTTATTTCAGTTGTATGCTAACTGCGATGCCATTCAAATCATAAATGAGTTCACACCCAATGAATGACACATAGTGAATAAAACCGAAATATAGCATTGAAAAAAAGGTTTACCAATTAATTAATGAATAAGCAAAGATGGTTATTTTACAATAACCAAAGAGAAAGAGATAAGGTTATTATTATTGAATAAGCAAAAAGAAAGGGATTCAAGCTACAGGTGGACCACCAACTACCTCTGCGACAGGAACCAACTCTGGCAAAGGGGAAACACGATCAAACAGATTCTCCTATTTCAGCATTGCCAAAGTCATATTTACGAGCCTAGCATTCATATTGACAACTTCATTAGCAATCGCTCCAGGGCGAAGCCTTGCTCTTGGTTCCAACAGATCTTCTTGCACTTGAACAACTGGTTCCGAGCGCATTGGTATGAACAACGCTTGCATCAAACGCTCCTGCCGTTGAAGCAACAGACGAGCCAAATCAGCACGAGAACCTTTGTTATAATCAACTTCCACCTCATCCAACACTTGTTGACCCCAATTTTGTAATTGACATTTACATTAACATCTCGGAGTGAAATTAGTTGTTATACACAACCATTACTCAAAACAAATATTGATATATATATATATATATCTTTATTACTTAGTGTTTACGCTTTTTATTACCAGTACCAGAAGAAATAAAACAAGGCACCATGGTGTTATCGTTACATCTACCAACGGTAATATCTGTTACATCATAATCCAATTCATACACTGTTTTTTCCATCAAGATTTTAAGACCAATGATATTTTTCAACACAGCAGACAGTTGACGATGAACTTGGCCCTTTGATTTTGGATAAACTACTTCTTTCATGGCATCATATCTTGTTACATTAGTCGACGGACAATCCAAAATCAATAATTCCAATTTACTCTCTAATAAACAGTGAGTAATACATAAGTAAATATTTTTAAAAACTAACCTGCAATGTATAATCCACACACATGGAGTTTATTCTTCAAAGCAGGAGAGACAGAAACCAACTTAATGAGCATGTCTTTCATGATTTTTGGCATCTTAAAGTTTGCATCACACATCTCCTTTGTGGTATTAACACCACCCACCAAAGCACATTCACCACATCCCAATTCTAGGTCACTTTTTTCATGCAAGAACACATAATCCATTTTACGACCTGAAGATTGTCGACACATAATATCTGTGCGACTGGCATTCAAAGCATCAGCAGAGGACTTACTGCATTTCTCACCACTAAAAGTCATTAGTTAAAATTCACTATTGAATATATTTACAGTTACCTTATGCAGCTTATTTCAGAATAATCAAAGCACGTATCTAAACAACCCCAAACTCGTTTAACAAGACCACCCTCTGTCACATTCTTATTCATTGGGAAAAAACCAGAATCTAGTAACCGAATGCATTGATAAAATGAATCTTGAACCCATTTTTTGTCAGACTGCAATGGTAATTTCTCGCACACGACCTTGCCATACAAATCTTCTGGAGTCAAAGATCTCAAGTCATTCAAGTAGCTTTGAACATCTTCTGGAACATCAGGTAAGTTGATGGCTTTGTACGTAGTAATTTCTTCCAGTTCTTCAGATGTAAAATACTTCAACCATCCTTTATCTCGAACATTTAGTATCAGTGAATGAGACAAACTATATCAATCTGTCAATACCAAATCAAACAGATCATTTTACAACCTACTGCTCGTATTTCTGTTCCACAGCACATTTGCGCATGACCTCCTCAACTATCGTACCTGTGGACAATTTCCACATCTTCTTTTTATCCAATGCATCATATTTTGCCACGATATTTGCTTTATCTGAATCTGTCAATAGTGTCAATTTAACATCAGATTGCACACTGGATTGTAAAGTTGATCCAGATCCATATCGAGATCCAAAGCCAGACATAGATTCATGACCAGAAATAGATTCAGTGCCAGAAGGCACATGGGCAGCAGCAATTTGAAGTGCGCCACTTGAAGTTTGAGAAATTGCAGTTGACACAGATGCTTCAGCCACAGATGCTTCAGCCACAGATGCTTCAAATACATTGGCTTTTTTCTTGCTTTTGAAATCATAATCCTTAGATAATTTGGCAATGATCTTTGCCGAAATAATATACCAAACTGGCTTGGTTTTTTGCATCTGTTTCTAAAATTAGCGAACTGCAAAACAAAATCCCATATTATACTCACAAAAACAATATTCTCTGATTTAAGATACGCGCGAATACATTTTACCCAACTGTTTTTGTAAGTCTCAAACCATGTTCCGTCATACGCATCTACAATAACATCTTGTAATTGGTCAACAACTGCATTTACCGAAATCTCAGTAGCTGGGATGGATTTCAATGCGCTGGCAATTTCTAAAAACATAGATTTAGGCTCATATAAAATAGCAGTTGCCAAGTTACAAACCTTGTTTGTATTCAGTATCAGACTGCATTTTGAAGTTGGGGGGGGGGGGGGAAAGGACTGAAGCGAAAAAAAAAAAAAAAAAAAAACTCAAAACAGTCCAATGAAAAACAGTCTAACAACACCCACATGCCCCACTTTTTGCAACACGCCTTTCTCTTTATATTATCATATACCTCCTCACTGCTTTCCTTCATGATACTACTGTGCCATGCAAGTGTAAGACCGTGTCCTGGAGCTCAGGCATGGCTTCTTGAGCGCACATGACGATCTTTATTTTTTTTTGTTTGACAAAATCATCAAGCTCAAGTGTAAAGCGGTGACATGGTCCATCCAAGTAACGTTTCTTGAGTGTGTTGATTTTGAATTAGTTTATTTATTCTTTAATGAGCACCGTTGTTATGCAAGTGTAAGACCATGTTCTGGAGCTCAGACATGGCTTCTTGAAACAAACGGTTGCTCTATATGTTCATTGTAGATTAGATATATCTTGTATATTTATATCATTGATACCCCCCCCCCCTTTTTTTTTACACACTTTTGGGATTATAACTACTTTCACCTGTTCGCGGTTAATCCTACCAATTCCAATTTGGAAAACCAAGCAAAGTAGAATCTATAATAACATTTGATTTTCAAATAAACATTTTATTCACTTCAGACTACTTGAATTTCTTTTGAAATTGCTTTAAAAGAGTTGATGTCTTTGCTTTTTTTCTTTTGTTTGTTTGATCGATGTTGTTGATTGAGTATCTTTTGTACGTACACGTTTCAACAATCCACTACTCTCTTCAACATCCGTGTCTTCACTATTACTATCAGCAGCCACCTCTTCTATCTCTCCAGTTACCGCTGCATCCACAAATCCAGCAGTAATTGTTACTTTGTCATTCAATCTACTCAAAAAAGTTGGCAGCTGAGACGTCCCAGTCTGCTCTGTAGACTCTTCTTCAAACATGGTATAAAGACCAAGGTAATCTGCATCTGATGAGGATGATGTTGCAGAAGATGCCGTGGTTGCTGATGCAGATTACTTAGGCTGTTCACTTACTACTGTTGCAGATGCTGTAGCAGATGCTGTAGCAGTTGTTCTTGGAGTCATTACTAATGTGGATCGTGTAAAACTTGTAGTAGTACTTCCACTTGGCGACGACAAAACAAGAGCACGCTGCTTACCAGTTGCCTTTGCAGACAATGATGCCTTACCAGCTGCTTTTGTTGAAACTAGTTGTGATGCTTGAGATGCTTGAGATGCTGCTTGAGCTTGTGCTACTCGTGATGTACCTGGTTGTGATGTACCTGGTTGTGATGTACTTGGTTGTGATGTACCTGGTTGTGATGTACCTGGTTGTGGTGATGCTGATTGTGATGAGCGTTTTTTTGGATACCTGCCTCTGCACAGCTCTAATTGAAGCAGATGTTCTTGCAGATTGTTGATCAGCTCGTGCTTCATTTCGTGATTGCAAATCAGCATCAAATGTACTCAAACTGGGACCAGCAACCTCTTCAAAATCATCAGGACCAAAGTCAATATCTTCATCGTCAAACACTTCCATTGGCTCTTCCTCAGTGCTCCCTGGTACAAATCTTGCTTCAATGCAGGCAATGAGAAAGAAGCGCACAATGTTTCTCGGCTGGTAAACTCCTCTTTCCTCAAAGAAATGTTATCTGCGTTGCAAAAAACGCGAACGTTTGCTTTGACCATGACACGACACATCAGATCCAAAGATGTTTCATCTACAAACAATTCACACGTTAAATCAACTATTGTAAATCATGACATCCACTATACCTGTGCACAAATTCCATGCATCTGCAAATACTGTTTCAAGTCGTTTAATATCAATTTCATTGTATGAGGTCATTTTTGTAATTGTAAAATAGAAAAAGATTAGAATTTTTAGCGCTTATAAACAAAGATGTGGCTCGTTTAAATAGATACCTCCCTCTTCTCCCTCCGTCGTACACGTACCTTGGAAACAAACTTGCCGCTTTGGACTCAAACATCGAATATGGATCTCAGCAGCAACCACCAACAACCACCACAAAATATAATGATAACCATCCGCTTGCTTATGATGGCATGCAACATAGGCCATATTAGTACCAATTACCGTCAATCAGCTAGCGCATCGATGATACCCAACACACTCTAGATCACGATGCACCAAGACATCGTAATACCCATTCCTATGTTAAACTACTAGTTGCGTACGGTCGCAATAAATACAATCTTCAATCGTATATGAATCATGCTGATTATCTATTGATCATTATTTGAAGACTTGGTGTAACGCACAACACCATATTTAATTCTCCTTGTTATTCCACGATTCAGCATTAATCATACATCCACAAGATCTTCTAGAAACATCAATCAAGAGCTTTAAATTGTCAGCGTAAGGCACCCTTGAACCGTGCAATAACAGCATCAAACACAAGCCCATTTAGCAGTTTCAGGCACCACCAACATACACATTTATAAAAAAAACAAGGAGCATGACATATACCCAAACAGCAAGGGCAACAGCAAACCTCGCCCCATCATGACAGTTCCTTTAATGATTAACCCCGTATCCATGGAAAAATCATAGCAACGCACATCCACAACTGGATTTTTTATTTGAAATTCAATTAATGGATACTGTCGCTTGACAGCTGATATATCACGTCGGATGTTCAATCGAGATTATGCAGCCAGCTCTTGTTGCACCAGCCTTAAACATCCATCAATCAAGATTTTGGGTGCACTGTTCATACATTTTAAACCATGAATCTTGACAAATGCTTTACATTAAATGCTGCAGATATAAAACAGATCAAAACATTTCATAGTTATTGCATGTACAGTGCCGCCGCATATTGCGCCATCTGCCTCAAAAAGCTATATCCTGACCAAGTAATGATATGGCCTGAAGGAGCAGAAACAATCTCTTTCCCTTGCACTCAATGGGGTTATCAACCATTACGTAAATGGCCTAACAATTGGATGCACACTGACCACATCTGTGATGGACGTCAAACAAGGTTTCAATTTGATGGTGTTATTGTTTGCAAAAATTGCGAAAAGAACGCTACATATCCATTTCGTCAATTGAAGTATCCTGGTAATAAGAGACAGACGCATATACACACAAAAGCAATATAATACTGATAAATTAAAAATGCAAGGTGATATACCCGCTAGTATCCAAGTACTCAATTACCGAGAGAAATCTATACTCTCGCCAGTCAAGCTAATGACCAAAATGACACGAAAATACACCAGAAGAGGTAGAATAAGTCATTTTGAAATATCTGGTTACGTGCAATTAAAGCACAATTACGAGTTTGGATCCATGCTATACGGCGGTATGTTGGGTTTAGCCATTCGTCGTGGATCTCATCTGCAACAAATCAACATGCAACGTGTACAGCAGGCATATCTCGAATTATGCGATCACAATCCAATGTTACGTCAATAACATTCAAGACCTTACAAAAGCTGAAGATATTGTTCAATACCATGCTGAACAAAATAAGCCATTTGTACAATTATCATCAAGCTGGAGAGACAACATATTAATGCCCACAGAAGCTACTGCGCCCATGGCTGCTCAATTGCCAATTAACAATCTACCAATTGGTAAGTAGCACTCGTTCATGTTGATAAAAAAAACATTAATTACCGTATTAAGGCATTCTTGGTTCTTCTGGAATCACACTATCGCATCCTAGTTTAATGGCATTACTATTCCCTTTTTTTATATATCAATGGACAGGGTCACTACTCCTTAGTAAACGATCTCAGCAAGCTCATCAAAGATCCCAATGGTGATGTCATTCCAGAAGAACGTGGTGGTATTGCATCTGCAAGCTGCTTATATTAAACTACAGCTGCTTAATGTCGATCGCAGATTTGCACGAGATCCCTCGTTTTTATTTTGGGCTTTCGACGTCAAGGAAAAATCAAACATCCATTCAGCAAATCGACATACTGTTCGCACTGCTGGCAGAGATTTAACAAAAGATGATTTATTAAGCGCTGATGGGAATTATGACTACAGTAAAGTTACTATTGTTCCACACAACATATCCTCCAGTTACGCCTATCACAAAAAAAACACTACCTCGATCTCAAAGCCATGTGCGACAATTTGGGTCCACTGCAACTATTTTTGACGTTTACCTGTGATGGCAAGGCGCCTGCCTTTCAAAACGCAACTGGTCTGCGTGATACTTGGAAGGACCCCGTTTTATTTGCTATTCATTTCCAAAGAAAATGGAACAAGCTCTTTGAAATCATCAAAAAACAATGGGCAACGAAAATTGGAGGTATCACTGATTGGTGCTATGTAATGGAAATACAAGGTAACTTGTTTCCTACATAACTAAATTGCTTCTAATATTGATTACTACACAACCGTTAGACAGAGGAAGTCCACATAACCACATGTTGTTGTGGACCAACAAATCTGCGGACGAGTTGTTACTTGACGAAACTATTGTCTGTGCAAGAATGCCACCTATCAACTCACCTTTACACAACCATCAAAAATCAAGAGAAGTTGTATGGGTTCCTATGAATTTACCTCATGATCAAAGCAGAGGTATCAGACCTGATTTTCTCGACCTATCTATTCCTGGTTCCTCAAAACAAGTATTTGCCAAAACATTGGTTGATCATTATGAAGCAAGAACTGGAAATACAACGGTTCAGTCGCTCTTACTAATCGACTTTGTCAAATACTATTACCCATGTTCCACCACGAAAGAAAAGCAACAATACCAACGACTTGCTGAAGAAAACCAAATGGAATACCAGCAAGAATATGGCCAACATCCTCCCTCTGCCATCATTTCTGGTGAAATAACATTTAGGTTGAGAAAAATTAAGTGTCGTTTCTGGCGAACCCGACTGGTGAGCGCCATGTCAGACTCTGAAACGTTCTACTACCAACAAATCCTGACACACATGCCTGTCTATGGTCGCAGCTTTACTGATTTTAAAGACGACTCTTTACGTGCCAGTCCAAATGATGATCGAGTGTTCAGTTGGCACGATCTATATCAACATTTAGTTCAAAATGATTTGCTCCGTGTAACCACCATCATCCCAGATGACATTGTTGAGTACAACATACACGTAGCGACTATTCCTTTGGCTCCAGCTCAACAAACCATTTTCAACTCGATTATTCATCAAATTCAGCATCTAAACAGCAACATGCATTGGATCCTGGGTGGTGCTGGCACTGGCAAAAGTTTTCTCTTGAGAAAATTCAGCAAACATTTTAGTGATCTTGGTTATTAAATTACCAAAAAAAAAGGCAAATTTTACAGTCTATTTCTTGAAAAACCCTTCCGGATTATGCCGATTAATCCGTGTGAGTTATATACATAATCCACGTAGATACTAGAGCCAACAATCCACTTTCATTCCACCAATGATGTGTTTCCCTTATCACCCATTTTGAGCCAATCAGGGAAATTTCATTATATGATATGACAATAGAGAATAACAACAAAGAAGGTTGAACAAGAAAGAAATATTCAATAGAACAATTTCCAATTATCACCACCTTTAGCAAATAAACTTAAATTCAACCATGCACTAAACACCATACGAACTAAAAGTCGTACCTTGCGTGTTGCTCCTGCATTGTTTGTATGTGTCTGACTTACACTTGGATACGGGGTTAGGCACCTTGGTAGATGACTCCCCTGCAAGCCTCACAGACAGATTTTTAAATGTTCGCACTTGAAAGATGCTGCTGTTGTTGTTACGAGGAATGAAATTGAGCAGCTACAAACCCTCTACAATTTAATGTAGAGGCAGGTAACGAATGTAAACCTACAATTTGCCCAGTCTGCTTCATGTCGCATATCAAATCCATAACAAGAATGAAGCTTTCCAACACTTTAATGGCAAGCTCTAATTATGTTATATTAGCCTTTTACATAGCTGCTATAAATGTTACCTACCGCCGCAATCAAAAAGTTGCGGACGACAATGAAATTGTCAAATCAAGCAAGTTGTAAACTGTCTAGTACAGTTATCCTGTAAATCTTATCTAGAGTGAGGAATAGTCTACATTTATTGACTGTGCCTAGAATTGTTGAAATAATATTGAATAGAACATTTAACATTGAGAAGACTACTAATTTAGCTCAAAGTGCATACAAACAATAAACATCGTGGCCGACTTTTTATATAAAAGGAAACCTTAACAAGTCAAATATATACAATCAAAAAGCTAGCTCAATATTCTAGAAAGCCTTGACGATATAAATCGTTGAGATAAAATAATTTCAGTAGCAAAACCGTATCAGACATACTGATCAATAGACAGACCAAGAAATACATTACACTCCACACACGTGTTCGCCTGCATTAAGACACCAATCATGCATTTCCAACTATCCACAATGGCATCGTTATAACAACAGTTTGTTTTGATATACACCACGTTAAATTCCATCTAGACTAGCCAACAAATTTGAATTGCCCCGATAGTAACCAAGAACTTATCAACAATTGCCACATATCAAATTTTGCAGAAACAAACTTGGCTTAATTGGTTATAAACAAAAAACACATTGCAATATATCTTTAATCAAATAATACGAAAGTCAAGAGCACTCTCAAAGTAATCATGTAGCAGTTGGATTGATCTAATTATAATAGTACACTGACTCTTGTTGACAAAATTAGCATTGAAGATACAATCCAAGAATGCAAGTTGTGGATTTGTTAACAATACAAATTCACGGATTTACAGCAATTGGCTATTTCAAGTCAAATCGACTCTTGATACCAGCTTATTATACAACTAAAATCTCATATTTCTCTGTATACATTTCACAATCTATATATATATATATATATATATATATATATATTCGTTGCAACAGTTGACTCATTTCGAAACTGATAAAATATATTTTTATTAATATACGTAGATATATATCATCTCAAATTTTTGGACTCTGCTTATTATAATCTCTCACTCTCTGACCAAATGCTTAACTTGATTCAGTGCTGACGAGCAAAATTATCAAGTACAGTTGTTCCCATCTTGTAAAATACTGCAAGATACAATTACACTATACTTTCTTTAAACACACATCTACGTAGAAAATTACAAGCAATAAACGTAGATTTCTTAGAATACATGATATTAACATACTTGTGTAACCCATAAAATCAATAGCGTTCCCATATGTTCTTTATTGTGGATACTATGTCATACACTATAGCCGTTGCCAACTAGTTTCAAACGCATATCTTGATGATGATCATTTCTTTGTCATTAATTTTTCCATAAAATCCTTCAATCCACCAACCGCCTTTGACTTTTTCTTGGCCCATTTTGTAGCCGTCGTGTCACTAGAACGAGCTCTTTTCAACGTCGTTAATGATTCTAAATCATCATCATCATCATCATCATCATCCTCCTCCTCCTCTTCAGTTTGACCTGACTCTGCCTCAACATCACCTCTCACAAGCTGTGAAACCAGCAAGCTTTCATAATCTGCATTAGATGATACATCCGATTCTGAAGTTGTATCTGTAGTTTTCACCATCTTTGACACAATTGCAGATGTTGCAGTCGTTGCAGCAACCTTCTTTTGAAGCAAAGAATGTAAAATTTGAGCTTCCTGTCCCTTTTTTGATGTTTGATCACTTTTCTTCAACCGAGATTTTCCCATTTCAGCTTCAGTTGCTGCAGATACTTTTGATGTAACTGTTGCCTCTCCCTTTCTTGCTGTTTGTTCATATTGAATATCACTCGTTTCTTTTTGCTTCAACTACAATAGTAAAGATGCTTAAAGATTCATATTGTACAGCTGATACTGTTTGCTTTACCTTGCCTAATGATGCTTTTTCTTTCCCCTTGCCTAATGATGCCTTTTGTTTCCCCTTATCTATTGCTTGCTTTGTCTTGGGTAATGATATTATTTCTTTCATCTTGCCCAATGATGCTGTTTCTTTTACCTTGGCAGTTATTGATGATGATGTAGATGGCTGTTGAGAGGACATCAATTCTTTTGCTTGCCCTGATAATGTTGATGTCGTATCTACATCTATGGACTCCTTCTCCTTTCCTTTGTAACGCTTCTTTTGCTGCTTAGATCCAGATGGTTTTGAACTTTTTTCCACATACTGTAACTTTGCTCCATTACATCATCAACTTGATCATCGTCGTCCTCCTCCTGCCAAATATCGTGAGCAGTGAAACCCTCTTCCTCTTCCTCAATCTGATGGAATTTAGCAGGCTCTTTAAAGTTCACCAAGTAATAACCCTCTTCAGGACCTTTGCTAAAAATGTACGGCACACCGGTACCAATCAAACCCGTAACGAAACCAGCTGGCACTTGCACCTCACTTCGCGATTCATTTACCGTTCCAGCATAATCCGCCATCAAAGGCACATCTTGCAAATATCCAGCAAATACTATATGTTTTGGTTTCATCGGCATATTCACCACCACGCTATTGTAAATGTCCTCTGGTGTTGTAATATTGTACCAGAAATAACCATTATTCACATCGAATATTGGTGCACTGTAACAGTTAAACTCCTTATCCTCTTCAACTTGCGACTTATCAAATAAAGCAACATTTCTAACAAACAATCCTTCCATTTTTGATTAATCAAAAGTAAATTATATATATATATATATATAAAAGAGTATGAAATTAATCAGGTAAAGAATATTGTTTTATATATTATTCGAATTGAGGGATTTGATAGGAGGACAGATGGGTTGATTTGGGTGATGGGATAATAGATCCAATCTATTATCCTGAACATGATGCCATAACTAGGATCGTAACTGAATCCTGTTTCATGTGAGTGTTTATGATCTTTGAACTGATTGTTTCTACGCATTTAGACATTCAGTTTATAAATGATACATCATATTTTATTCAATATAGTGCTAATTCCTAACTAACTAACAGGCAAACCATTTTCATCAACAGTCAGCGTCATGCAATACACGTAAAACTCAGTCTGGCGTTTCAAATCATTAACTAGTTCCAACCAATCATCATTACCCCCATTTTCCAAAGTAAAGATGGGGATATACATTCCTAATGAACATCCACCTGCCTGACCAAAGTATTCCACTAATTCATCCACACGGCGACACTTTCGCTTAAACTTGCTTAGCTGTTGCGTTTTTGTAAACTCCAATCCCTCCATCAATCCTTCATTAAAGTCTCTAACGTTGGCTTCCTTTTCCGCTCGTCTAATGATGCTGTTCATTCGCAATAAATAAACAAATGTTGCTGTTTGAGAAAGGTATCTTGCCATTGTCATTGATTTAATTTTGCGGTTGATTTGAAGACAGTGTTGAACGGGATCAGTTCCAGTCAGACGTAATCGTAAATCCAGGTTGGCCAAACTGAATGATTGAATACGTTCCCTGTGTTCCTGAACACTCATTGCTGATGTCTTTAACTCTCTCTTCTTTCCGTATAGAATAAGCTGCACTTCCTTGCATGCCTCCAATATAACCTCCTTGCAAACTTCATTACCAAATTCGTCCTTGATTGCTGTAACTAATTCAATTGTTGTTTTCTTTGCCCTGTCAACAGAACCAAACAATCCATCCTCTTCATCATTGTTGTCTACAAACAACGCATCCTGTCCATCATTGCTGTATGCAAACGACTCATCATCTCCATCATTGCTGTGTACAGATAACTCATCCTCTCCATCATTTTTGTGTACAGACAATCCAATCTTTTAATCATCTTCCACACTGTTGGCTTCATTGTTGGCTTCATTGCTTGCTTCCAAACCACCGGCATTCTCTTTAACATTGACACTTGATTCGCCAACAGACAGCTCTGATCCATATAGCCTTCCCAACATTATGAGATCATCACCATAAGCTCTGTAATTCATTTTGTAAAGAGAAAGAGCAAAACACTAAAACCATATAAAAAATCAGATAATAACGTCACACATACCATGTTACATATTGCCTTTTACTACAATAAGCCAAAAGTGGTCTGTGCTGCATTGCACACACTTCATTTCGTGGTCACTTGGTACCACCCTTACACCATCAATATCAGCCACAACTAGTATAACTGATCTATAGCATCACATAGATCTACGCAAACTATTAAACTTGACCATTTACTCGACCTATCTAGACTATTATCAATAGCTTGCACAAACTAAAAAATCAGCTTTTCAATTGACTGGATATTGAAATGCATCATGATGCTGTGTCACAAAGTAATAATTCTACGTAGAAAAAGATAATATCTATGTGAATATCGACATGATTCCTGTATCCCACTCAACACACATTTCATACATATATCGCACTTGCAAGTTGAAAACGTTCACACAAACGCACAATCGAACCATTATTAAAAAACTCTTTTTATTGATAGCAAACACATAAATGGAGGAAACGAAAATAAGCTAATGTGAGGTTCTATAACAATAGATACAAGCTAATATGAGAACCCCTAGGTTGCAATGGTAGGTTTAGGAAAGACAATTGGCTCCCTCAACCAGCTAGTATGTACTTTTTCACATAAATCTTCTTGAAAATCCTTATGAATATCATAGTCATATGCAGATTGAACAACCCCAGGTCTTCGGCTAGATGTGGCAGTTTGTAAAACATAATCAACTTTAGTAACAATAGGTGGCGTATCTTGGCTTAACAAATGTTCCATCTTCAGCTTGCGTTGCAAACCCTCAATCTTGTCATACAACTGATCCCTATCGCCCTCATCGAAATTCAACTTGATGCCTTGATATTGTTCTTTGCCCCAATGTCTCAACATAAACACACTAATGACCAAATCCAGTTTTACTGACTCTTCCAATTCTACTATATCAATCTGATACTCGGTCTTGATGAGCCCATTTTTGATTTCACCAACACCAACTTTCTACAGAGATACGTCGCAACTGTACGCAGGCTTGTTGGACTTTGCTTGCTTGTAAGCTGTAATCAGGCTTGTAGGACTTTGCTTGCTTGTAAGCTGTAATTGTTGATGGACCATAAACAGAATGATAAGAACCAGAGCCAGCCACTGCGAAATACTTGATAAAATACGGATGGTTAAAGTAGCAAGTGAATCTTGTTCCAGCATCTGCGAAATTGCAACTTGCTGATACAACGTTATTCGCAAGCTTTAATTTAAAGCCTCCATCTAATAACTTTGCCAATGGTGCGTCCGAAAACATTTCTAGTTGCTAGATGTAGAAGTGTGTTGTACAGTAAAAGCGTAGTCCAGAAGTAAGATTGTAATAGAATAAGATGGAATGTAATATAATAAAAGAGTAGAACATAATAAAAATGCATAATAGAAAAGTAATACGTCACTAGTAAATTATCCAATCAAATGATTCGCTTACACCTACCATATATCAACGTATATTTTGAAGACAAAACATTTACATATGAATACATATACATTATAATACTAATGTTACTATTTACTGAATAAATCTTTACAATTCTTGCTTACGCTTCTTATTACTAGAATTAGATATAAAACTAGGTATCATATGTTCTACTTGATGTTTTCCAACCGAAATTTCTGTTGTATCATTCATCAGCTTGAACGCAGTTTGCTCCATCAACTTTCTAGCACCAACAATAACTCGAACAACAACAGACAATTTTCGATACAGCTGGCATTTATCTTCAGGATACAACGAATCATTCATAACATCATATCTTGTTACATAACCACAAGGGCTATCCAACACCACCATCTTCAATTTCATTTCTATTTGAAATATTAACAAAAGCAATCTATAGTCCTTTACACAACTGACCTCCAATATAAAATCCTGTAATTACAAGATCTCTCTTCAAAGCCGGCGATAAACCCACCAACTTTATCAACATATCTCTCATCACTCTTGGCATTTTAAAGTTGGCATCAGAGAGCTCTTTTGTGGTATTCACACCTCCAACTAAACCACATTCGCCGCATCCCAGCTCATTATTTTTATACAAAAATAAATGATCCATTTTACGACCAGATTTTTGTCGTGACAACAAACTACAACGGTTCGCATTTAATGCGTCAGCTGACGGCTTACTACATCTCTCACCACTAAAAACCATTAGCTAAAGACTGATATAACATGGCTACAAATACCTTATACATGTAATATTTGAAAAGTCGAAACAAGCATCGATGCAGGCCCACACACGTTTTAACAGTCCACCTTCCGTAATATTACTAATAGGCACAAAACCAGACTGCAACGAACGGAATGCTTGTAAGAACACATCTTGGACCCATTTCGCGTCTGTCCTTAGATCCAATTCTTCCGAGGAGACCTTTGTATACAAACTTGTTGTTGAACGTCCCTTCAACTCATTCAAATATTCCTCTACCTCTTCAGAAACAGGTGGCAATTCCACAGCATTGTACTCTTGGATTTCTTTTAATTCAGATTCACTGAAATAATCCAGCCAGTCCTTGTCTCTTATATTGAAAATAAACGAATGTACTAAACTTGTTAAGCACAAAGAATAAAAGGATTATTATTTGTAGCTTATAAAAAATGTTCGATATTATAAAAACAAGAAAAGACTTATTTGAATAAGATCAGACACAAAAACTAAAGATTTATTGATGAAGACAAGAGTTATTCTATTTATACTAAGTTCTGAATGCCAAAGTAGCAATTTATCTTGTACAACGCTTATCACATCTGGTGAACCTCAGTATTTAGATAGCTGAGATGCACTTCACTTATCATAGCTTGTCCATGTTGTTGCACAACACAGACATATCTACCCATCAAGAATACCTTAATCTTTATAGACAGTTGTAGCCCTTCTGGCACAACAAAACTAATATAAAAATATAAGTATTAAATCAATTTACACATTTCATACTTACTGCTCATAATCTTCTTTTAATGCCCGTTCTCTCATCTTTTCTTCGGCAACAGTACCTGTTGACAATTTCCGCATTTTCCTCACATCTAAACCATCATACTTTGCTTTGATATTCACTTTATCACCAGCGGTCAACCGTGTCAATTTAAATCCAGATGCAGATCCAAACTCTGATTCAGATTCATAATCAGGAACACCGATAACACCAGGAACATACAGCAGCTCCTCTCTTGTAAATAGCATGATCATCTTCATCAAAATGAGACACATCGGAAACTTGCTTTGGATAACCGAAACGACATGGTGCTTCAGGGTTATTTTTCCTGCAATATTCAACATTACACTTGTGGATCTGATGATCAGCAACTAACTTGTGGAAAGGACTGTTGATCGGAGGAAAACGAGCACAGACCACAGAGTCATCTGATAGCAATTCATCTGCCGACTTCTTTGTCCATAAAACCATATGCATGTGAGGACTTCCACGGTCTTGAATCTCAAGAACATAGCACCAATCTGTAATGCCACCAACCGTCGGCCCAAAATGCTTGTGCAACACCCTCAAAAACTTCTTCCACTTTCGTTGAAAGAGGCTTGCAAACATCACCGGATCTCTCCATGTCTCCTTCAATCCTATTCCACTTTTAAGAAATGCAGCTGAATCATCACAGGAAAAGGTCAAAAACAACTGAGGAGCACCAAGATTATCGCACATTGTCTTCAAATCCAAGTAATGCGAGCGTTTGTAAGCATAACTAGAAGTAATAATGTTATGAGGTACAATTGTCACATTTGAGTACTTGTAATATCCATCCCCATCAACCAAGTCATTCTTTGTCAAATCACGGCCACTTGAACGAACTGTATGTCGTTTAGCAGAATGGATATTCATTTCTTCTTTATAATCAAAGCACCAGAAGAAGAATGCGGGGTCACGAGCAAACCGACGATCCACATTTAACAATTGCTGCTTCGAATATCTACCAAATGTATAGTGTTGTCTTGATGAAGCCACACCACCTCGTTCTTCACTAATGACTTGGTTATCGATATAAACCTCAAGATCCTTGTCATTGACCATGGAATAGTGTCCAGTACCATTCACAAAAAGATAAGGAAACAACAACATCATCAGACTTGGATGACCCATCGAGATAGCTTGGTCATGTAATCTCCCTATACAAAAGTCAGCCACATATATCACATACTATCTATTCCCTTCAATGTCTTTACCAATAACCAAATCATTAAACGGCACTTGTGCAGCCATTGGAGACACATTTTCCGTCGGCATCAATATGTTATCTCTCCAATTCTGCATATCAATGAACTTTTTGTTTTCCCGCACATGATATTCGACTGTCTCTGCTGCTTTGTCCATATCCAACATACACTGGCTTAACAATGGATTTACTTGGCACAAATCCATGTATGCCTTTTTCACTTTATCAATATCTACGTGTTGCAATCCTCTACGATATGGAAGCCCAATCATTCCTCCATACACCACAGAAGCAAATTCATAATTGCTTTTCAACGCCAAATATCCTTTCATTTCATAATGTCCAATTCGGCCAGTTGTGATGGTGGATTTCCGTGTAATTTGTGTCATCAGTTTGATAGGTGATACCATTGACTTTTCTCGGTAATTGAGACTTGCCACTGATACGGGTATGTCTCCTATAAAAACTCTTCAATATCACATCACATCCCTCAAACATTATTTACTTACCTGGATACTTCAACGACTTTTTAAAAGGAGGATCCAATTTTGAACACTCTACACACACAATTGGACCATCCAAATTGAACTTGGTGAAGTTGTACGGATACATGCTGTCTAATTCAATCCATTTTACAGGCCAAGTGGTCAAAGGTGCTCTGCCCCAATCCTCACAAGGGAATCTCATATTGCTTCGATGATACATCTTTACTTCCTCTGGATACATGAACCTCAAACAGATTGCACAAAATGCCTCTGGCCCATACATGCAGAACCCATGGAACTTTTTAATCTGCTGCAATTCCAT